TAAGGAAATGACAGCCGCTTTTCAAATGCAAATATTGAGTCAATCTCTAATTTTTTGATCAAAATTGAAAGCAGAAATGGATTCCTCGTACGTTTAAATGGTTAGAACCTTCATTAGATAAATAAGAACCGACGGGATAAACCCTATTTTTAAGGAAGACTGTAGTCAATGGGCGATTGTTTACATCTGCTTAGTGATAACAGACATGGACATTAGCTCAATATTTGGTCATTTTCATGAGTTTTTACTTGTTTGTCACTATTTGAAGGTAAGTTTATTTTGTAAATCAATTGTCTAGTGTCTTAGGATCATGTTAAAAGCTGTAAAGGTATACTTTGTTACTTATTTATTCAGAGCACACTCCGGCAGTCCAACGCTCAAACCCTGGATGTTCTCTCAATGCGTGTAAATCATTCTTAACTCTTCAACAAACATCTCAATATCATTCAGAACGTTCCCACGTTTTATAAACTTATGTTATTTTAAAATCCTGTGTGTTTTAAATGTAACACTATACAGAAAAATTTATCGATAAAGTCTGGTAATCGAAGAAGGATCCTACGTCTACTTTCCTTGCCTCCAGCTAAAACATACCGGTCTCCTCATCTCATCAGTATTGTTAAAGGTAAGTTTTTTTTATCATCAATGATTGATACTATCATTTTGGTGTCTTCAGTGAAGCATTAAAGGGTGAAATAGTAAGATATAACAACTGACTCGCTACATCCAGGTTTGAGCGTTGGACTGCCGGAGTGTGTTCTGAATAAATAAGTAACAAAGTATACCTTTACAGCTTTTAACATGATCCTTAGACACTAGACAATTGATTTACAAAATAAACTTACCTTCAAATAGTGACAAACAAGTAAAAACTCATGAAAATGGCCAAATATTGAGCTAATGTCCATGTCTGTTATCACTAAGCAGATGTAAACAATCGCCCATTGACTACAGTCTTCCTTAAAAATAGGGTTTATCCCGTCGGTTCTTATTTATCAAATGAAGGTTTTAACCATTTAAACGTACGAGGAATCCATTTCTGCTTACAATTTTGAACAAAAAATTAGCGATTGACTCGATATTTGCATTTGAAAAGCGGCTGCCATTTCCTTACGGGAAAATACATTGTAAGTGATGAAGAAACCAGGTCTGTCATATCATTTCACGTCACAAGTATGGCGGACCCGAAACGACCGTTTTGAAAATCCAAATTCTGAGGCGTTTTTAAGTTGATTTTTTGGGGGTTTCCGGTGATCAAAAAACTCCGGGAAAATTCCTGTGACATCAGGAGCCTTAGGTCTTTCGATTAAAGCAATAAAAAAAATTGGTGCAACAGGCCCATTGTTATTCCAGCGATAGTGATTAAGTGGTTTTCTCCTATCTTTCAATTCTTTTTCTCCGCTTACGGAAGTGGAGAATGAGGTGACCGTTATAATTATTGAAAAAGAAATTTTAAGTTGAATTTTATTATTATCATAGTTTCTCCAAGCAGAAATCACAGTTGGACTGAGATTCTCGAAATCCCGAGTAGGAGTAGATAAAATCATTCACAGGTTCTCAATACCGTTTTTGACCGGAAACACCGATCAGTAGTCGAATTCGTAGCACTAATCGCTCTCGCTCTTTCAACAGAGGGCATGGAAGGGAATTCGCCGTAAAATCCTTTCTTTTTGCTTTTATTCCTCCTCTTTTAATTAATTATTACGTAGTCTGCAAGTAGTTTATTTACTTTCGCCGCTCGAGACAATCTAGTTCCGCACCATTAGTCCTCTCTCGACGATGACTTGGCAGCTTTGGCTTTATCCAATCGACTCAGTATTATTAATTGGTCAATGCTCCTTGATCAGATGATTTATTGTTAGCGTTCCTGACAGTGCTGCTAAATTTATGAAGAAAGTTTTGCATTATTTTTTGCATTTGCGATATTTTTGTCCCGGGATAGTGACGTAGTCAGAAATTGTTCGTGGGGATGGGAGGGGGGGAGTGGTACAGTCAGAAATGTATCAATGCGGGTAGTCATAACGTAAAAATTTGCTGACGAGCATGAAATTGACAGTTTTGGGAAAATTTTCCGCAAAGAAGGTCTGGACCCCCCTTCCCTCCTCTGGTCACGCAACTGACCCTTATTAAAGAAGGAAACATAAATTTACTTCACCAAGAAGTTCTATACCTGAGAGCTTGAGTAGTTGCGATCGTCTCAAAAAATCAAGTCAAGTTATTTTAATTTTGTCATTATTCTAAAAGCTTCACCTACCACGGTCGGAGTCAAATGACCCTTTTTTAATGCCTAATGATAAACTATTAATCCCTAGTTATATACAACATAATATTTCTACAAGAAATATACTAAAAAAAGTAGTGAAATGTATCAAGACAAAAGAATACGTGCTCTGCAGTATTTTTAGAGGAAAAATTCGTAAAATCCGTAAAAACCAGTTCATTCTTTCCAATTTTTATACCTCTATTCATTTTTTTTTTGTTTACGTAAAATGCTGGTTTTCTGACATTTCCGACTTTCCAACATATAACTTTCAACTCGTAAAAATTATCGGTTTTAACATTTGTTTTACGAGGTATTTTACCTGCCATGTTACCGAGGAGTAGTAGTCATTCCACACAAAACTTTTTACAGCGTGTGCTTCATAAAACGAAACTGTACTAACGGAGCTCATTTTGTCGCCTGACTAACACCATGGTTGAAGTTCATTGGTATTGAATTGCTGTGTTATTGAGGCTTAAACATTTCGAGGAGTAAGAGGGTGACAGTGTATACATGAAAAGTATTCCCTAATTAATTATGAAATGAAAAACTCTAAAATATGCAAATTGCTGAACCGTCGAAACAGTCTGTAATTGTTTATAATGACTCCAGGTCGGCTTAAATATGCATATCGGTGGTAAATACCAAACCAAGGGTTTCGATTGCGGTGTCTGCGAATTTCTGCCCATGATTTTCTCTACATTTTTACACGTTTTAAAATAATAATCAAACAAAATTTTGTTCAAGAGCAATATTAGGCTATTCTTAATAAACAGAAAAGTGACAGGAGGTATGTAAGTACACAACTCGAGATACTTTAGTCCTTTCACTATCGATATATGTATAGTACAAATCTCGTGTTTTTTCTCTCCTTTTCAAAACAAATTTCGATCAAAAATTTCACAATTAACGTTGCCGTGGGCAACACCCATGCGCGCAATTGCGCACCCTAATCATTCGGCTGTCACCGCCAGCCTGCGAGACATATTTATAGGCGATGATTCGAGGCATCGTATCGGACAGGCGCGCAAAAATAGGTTCAGAGAACTGGTTCGGTCATAATTTGAAACATCTCGGGGAAAGTATGCGAGCGATTAACTTTTGAGGTGTTAGGTGAGAAGAGATAGTTAAGTCATAGTGACGTGACGGCTGGCATAATTAATCCGTCGAAATCATAACGGAGCCGGATCATAAAAAATACGGATGATGAGCCGAAATTTCAAGGTTGAGGGATTAGCCATGTAAGTTCGGTACTTTGATTGAGCTGCCAGAAGCTGGAGTAATATACCGAGTAACAACTAGAATGGAATCATCATTAAATATTAATAAGTTGCGCCTCAAAACAGAAACCGCTGTTGTCCTCTGGGAGCCTCAAAAGATCAAGCTATTTTTTTTTGTTACGTAATGCATGAATTAATGTATTCACTTTTATCATTACTAATCCTCCAAGCGCATTTAGACCGTCTATTCAAGCACTCTGTTTGAAGGAAAATTTGAAATGATAGGCTCTCATCTTCACCACATTTATTTTTATACTTTTTCGCTACTATGCCGATTTTCACCAATTGTTCTCCTGTTTTTTGTTCGCAGCAAAAAACGGAAAAAAACTTAGTTCGAAACATTAAATTTTCGTTCATGTGGGGCACGCGTTTCCGGTCTAGATAGGTAAATCCGAAGTCTTCGGTCTATGTAGGTAACCTCGAAGTCTTCGGTCTAAGTAGGTAACCCCGAAGTTTTCGGTCTAAGTAGGTAACCGTGAATTTTTCGCTCATAGGACTCTCGGCCTTAGGTTCTGACAACCATCAAAGGTTTTATCAGCCGCAAGAGGACTCGTATTATTCACCGACAACTTTGGTTATCTTGATACGAAGTTCGGTTTCTACGACTTTAAATTGGACGTTTTGCTGTCAAACGGAACTAAGCGCCATCGGGGGAGGAAGGGAGAGGGGGGCTTGGATTGGCGGCGGAATCGGGCGTCGGGCTCATTCCGTCCTATACTCGCAATGCTTTTCCATGGCGCTTAGTTCCGTTTGACAGAAATACGTCCAATTTCGATCATCTAGACCGAAAACTTTGTTATTCTCGACGAAAGTTCCAAGCGTTCAGTCCATGTAATCAAATTTTTTTTTCTCTCTCTCCTCTGATCGGTACGAAATCTATTGGAATGGACCGCTTGCAATCTTTCGAGCAAAAAGAAGACATTATTCTTACAGAAAATTGCTCCTTAATCATTTCCTAATGTATGCGCTCATCATGACTTTCAAGTCATTTTCTAAATGAAAAAAACTCCTCATTTTGCCCTAGCTGAAGTTTGCAATAAATACACTGGAAAAAACACATTGGATCTCTTAAAAACATTGACAAGAAAAAATATTCTTGATTCAATCAGCTTTAAGCTTAAATAAAGAACCCAGCCTCTTAATTTGAGCGGATTTCCTTTTGATTTAAGCTTAAATCTGATTGAATCAAGAGTATTTTTTCTTGTCAATGTTTTCAAGAGTCTGGACTCTAGATCCAATGTGTTTTTTTCCAGTGTAGGCCCATGGGTGTCTTCACTTTGAGTAGGTACCCATCTTGCAGGTTTTCCTCGCAAGTAATCGGCTGACTCGGCCGCAATTTTAGTCGAGAACGTAAACAACCGCGTAGATCACAATCAGTTCAACTCACGTAAAAATAAAAATCTTGTCTCGTCGGAGCATTTCTGACTCGAGTAAACAGTCGTGAATTGTTTCTGTTTCAGGCGCAAAACGCGGACGACTACGAGCGATGGGTGCGGACTTTGGCCGCGGAACTCATCTGCCAGACGCCGTTCGACCACGTGCGCTTCCTGGACATCCTCGGCATCACGGCCACGCTGCACCAACACCGACAACAGCAGCAGCAGCAGCAGCTCCGCAGCGCCGAGGAGCCGCAGCTTCCGGGTCACGACCCCGAGAAAAGCACGCTGCTCAAAGAGAAGCAGCAGAACATGCTCAACACGGTCGTCCAAAGTTCCTTCGTCAAGAACTGTCTCCGCTTCAAGACGAACGCGCACCGCAAGTACGAGTCGCACCGGAAGAACAAGGTCCAAGAACGCATCGCCCCGGAGTCCGACTCGGAGAAAGAGAACGCTGACGAGAACTCGAGAGTCCGCTCGAGAGTCCCTGAGACCGAGAACATCTCAAAGAGAGTCCCAGAGTTAAGGGATGTAACCGATGGCTATGAACCGAGAGTCCCAGAGTTGAGGGATGTAACCGATGGCTGTGAACCAAGAGTCCCAGAGTTCCACTCTGAGAGGCGGTACTCGGAACAAGACTCTAGAGCGAGGTCTCCTTTCAGGGTCTCAGAGTCAGACTCCGAGAAAGAGACAGAAGCTCCAAGCAGAGATCTCACCAGACTGGACTCTGAGAGCGCCGAGTCGACGACGGACACGAGGACCGAGTCTGATTCCGAGAGGGAAAGTCGGCTCGAATTCGACGGGAAGAAACGGGACAACAGGCTCCAGACCAAAAAGCTCCAGACCTCGTACTTACATTCGTTTTATAGGAAGATGAAGAGTAGCTTTAGCGACGATCCGAAATCCGATAGCGTAAGCGGGACGTTCCGGAAGCTACCCGAATCGCAGCCGTTACCAGACGTGGTCAACAACTTGCCCAAAGTGACTTTCAAGCGGCATTCGGACCTCAAGCCGAACTCCAGTTGCCCGAACCTGAGGCCGGCGCCCAAGACGAAGAACTTGCGGAAAGCCCTCAGCTCTTGTAGCGAGTGCGATAGCGACGACAGTAGTTCTGGTTTCCGCTTCCAGGCGGTTTCCACTCTACTCGCTAGGTGTCAGGAGAGTGTCGACTATGTCCCTGTTAAAGACAAGCTCATGCTCTTCGAGTCGCTGTGCGAACCCCCGGACTCGGGGCTGAACAAGCTCAAGTCGCGGTCTTTGCATGATCTGGGACGCGCTCAGGACGAGCAGTTCGAGTTGGATGCCAGGAAATGCCCCTACCATAGTTCCACGTCCAACCTCTCTTATCGGCTCAAGCAAGACTCAAAGAAAGGGAGCAGCAGTAACTTAGTGAGGAATATCTGCAGGTACTTCGAGCACCGGACGTCCGGACAGGTTGCCAACGCGCTCTGGTGGCGAGGCTCGCAAGAATCAGAGGAGGAATCCATCGGCAGGTGAGAAAAACTTAATATTTGTTAACGAATTTAGTTTACATCAGCGTGCGGCGTCGTATCTCAATGGCATAATGATACTATAATAGTCTCACTGGTAGCGTTTCCCCATTATCCAATATTATTGCACTATACAAGAAATTTGGGACGGCATTCAAAACTGTCTGTAAACACTACGAGCAGGGCCGGATTAAGGGGGTGGCCACATGGGCCACGGCCCATATGGCGGCAAATCTATAGGGGGCGGCATATTTTGCGCTTTTTTTAAATGTAGGTAATAAAAAAATTGAATTTAGAAAAACAATTAAAAACGAGAGAAAACGACAAAATCTCTCATTTCCTGAGAGTATAGTCATTTCTAATTTTGTCGTCTTTCAGTGATACAAGAGAGAGCACCTTTAATTAGTCGAGTTAAGAGAGAAACCAGACACGCAATTTGGCCTGGAACGGCGCGGCGCGGCGCAGAGAGCAATGATGACGAGGACTTGAGATGAAAAGGAGAAGCCCTCGGCGCGGCGATCGGCATGTAACACATATTAGCACCTACAAGACTGCACGAATACTTCACGCATTGCGGCAAACACAGTGCGATCAGCGTGAAATGCATAGCGCCTACAAGACTGCGTGAATACTTCACGCATTACGTCAAACACAGTGCGTTCAGCAGCGGTCAGCGTGAAACTCATCGCGCCTACAAGACTGTCTGAATACTTCACGCATTGCGCCAAACTCGGTGCGGTCTGCGTGGCGCGGCGGCGGAAGTTAAAATCATTAATCCACATTTATGTTTGTTCTTTCATAATTTTTTCGTTCATTTCTTATGAAAAAAAGGCCTTGTCCGCACAGAGATAGGTTTACGAAACTTAACTTTCGCGCAAAGTTCCGTGAACTTTTGCTAGTATTGTTGACGGAGCTTTTCCGAAAAATGTGTTCAACACGAGAAAACGCGTCTTATGCACCCCTCCTCCGCTGGCACGTTCATTTGATGGTTTTTATTGATGTCTCAAAACGAATGAGAAGGGGGCGGCAAAATGCAGGCAGCCCATGGGCGGCAAGTAGATAAATCCGGCCCTGACTACGAGAATAGTTAAGAACCTATCTTAACTTTTTATTCCTCTTAAATTATTCTCCTAGCGCATACGAGAAAAGCCGCAAAAATTTGTACGATACTAATTGAAGTCCTTGTAAAATACTGGGCTTGGGATTGATTAGTGATGAAAGAGGTACAAAAAGAAATGGAAAACCCTAAAAAATCGTTTATTTTGAAGGTAAGCTTCTAAAGGACCAGAGTAAGTCAGACCAACCCCAGGATATTGTTTTAGCATACACGTAGAGTCCACGCCAAATAAGTTCACGCACTTCTAGACTGAGACAGAAGATCGTCTGACGTCACTTTTACGTGTAAAGTAAAATACATGAAGCAAGATGACGGGTCTCCTGTCGTAGTCTGAAGTGTATAAACTTATTCGGCGTGGATTATATTCAATGAATACTTCCCTCTCCAATTATTTGGTCGGTCAACTCAATAATCGTGAAATATTTTCAGCTGTGCTACTTCGAAGCAAAGTAGAACATTTCGTCTCTTTTCGGCCAAAGCGTCGCAAGCACCATGCAACGTTTCAAAATTTTCGCCGCTATTTTGTTTTTATACAGAGAAATTGTTCAACGAGGCTGTCCGAAAATTACACTGAATGTCCTTACGCATTACGCTAAACAGTGCGGTCAGAGTCCAGCCCATGTCAGCGCCTACAAGACTGCATGAATACTTCTCGCATTGCACCAAACGCAGTTTAGTCGCACAATTGTTTCTTTGTAAAAAATAAAATGGCGGCGAAAATTTCGAAACGTCGCGTCGCATGGCGCTTGTGATAAACTATGCCGGAAGGTGACGATTTGAGTATTAACAAGTCGGGAAAAACATGCGAAGGAGGGAAATGAGGCTTCAACCGTACGTGCCCTGAATCCCGGCGCACTCATTCGTTTCCGACTCCTCAAGCTGAGGCTCATTGTCAGAGTCCAGTTACCGATATTAATAACAAGGTCTAGTTATTAATGGTATCAAATGAAAAGCAGCGCTATGTAAGAGCGCAGGGAGAGGCATCGACAGCGTGGAGGGCGTGAGCACCGTTGCAGTTTCTGCTTTCTGATTACGTTTACACACGCACACATCTACTCACGCACGCGCCCCGACGCATGCGCATGCGTTGCGCAGTGTCGGCGCTCGCATGCGCAGGGGACACCTCCGGAAGGTAAACCTCTAACTGTAGTTGTAGGAGAGTTTCAAAACGATGTGCAAGTGACCGAGGTCATGGTAGAAAACTGTTCTTTCGAAATGGTTTTGCATGAATGCGCTGCATGGTGTGTGGATATTGACGTACTGGCGGTCATATGCCCTCAGGGGAATGGCTGCCAAGAGATCTTCACTTCCGTGCTGAGGAAGAACGCCGTTTTAGCATTCTAATATTGTGGAACACCCCTCCTCCTCCACCCGATAAATTATTTATTTTGAGAAAAATTAGGTGTGTTTTCCCTCGAAATTTTTAGATTCAGGAGAGATCGATTATAACGTAAACTGATTGACATTCAAGCAAAATTTCTAACGAGATGGAGCTGTTTGATTTGTACAGCATGACAGGAATGGCTTACTCTGAAAAAAATAGATGATTAATGGTTGAGAGCCCCAAAAATCAAGGAATATAGATAGATTAGTTTCGAGCAATAAAAGAATGATTGAAAATCAACCTCTCGTAAGTAATAGAAATTCAATGTTTCAATGAAAATATTGCTAAAACATTTTTTACTCATTATCTTAAACTTAGAAATGTCCCTTTCTTGAGGGGTTTTGAAAATACCGTCCTTGTTGAACTCGATATTTAGGAACTGATCAGAACACCTCATGGCGAGTTTGAGTTATCAGTTCAATAACCATGCAATTCAAGCAACTGGAATTTTGAAGCCGTTAAGATAAAACATGTCGCCCGAAAATTGGAAGCGCTCGGGGATAGGTCCTCATCGATCACAGGATGATGAAAGTCGGAGCGCCTTCATATTTTTACATACCACACGCGCACCTATCGAGCAGGAATAGTTGTATGTAAAGGAGTTATCGTGCTATACCATTACTAGGCTTTTCATTTCACATACGGGGGTACAAAAATAGCGTTCATTTTTTATGTAATGTGGGTTTCGTATTAAAAAAGAAGTGCAAAAAATAAGATTTTACAATTGAATGCACGTAGTAACTTATCGACTTATTTTTACCAACGTAACCTTGGTAAGCACTGGGGTCTTTTTCTTCTAACTTTAGGGATAACTTCTCAGTAGATTCTGTAAGTACCGAAGTAGGTACAATTGAAAGTACTTACTGTCTATTTCGTAAAATTTACGAGAGAAGTTGGTTTTGGCAGAATGGCTAAGTTACTTGATCGAAGGATACGAAGTGAAAAGCGAAATCAGAAAAACTTATGGATCAAGGACATTTTGGGATGCGTAACGTTAAGTGATTAAGCATATTTAAAAAATTAGAGGATACACGGATCCCAAGGTTCTTTGGTGACCACTTTTTTTTTTTTTTTTTTTTTTTTTTTTTTTTTTTTTTTTGCATTCACATGAAGATTCATTCGAGATTTCATTTTCTGAAGATTGTCCCAGTATAGTGACATTGTAGACAATTCTTCTAGATTAACCCAGACAGAGTAAAACTCGGCCACTCGGCCCTCTTGACCTTGTAGATTCTCAGGTTATCACTAATATCGAACACCATTAGTATTTTGAGACGGATCGAGTTTTAAGGGTTTCTCAGACTGATGGCCAAGCTATCGACTCGAAAGCAATCAAAACTCACGGCAGGTTTGGAAGAACATAGGAGCCATCGCCTGTTAAAATTCGAACGAACTCTGTATCGACTAAGGCGGAAAACTTTGCGAGATTTCCTGTAAATCGGCATCACTGGACGGGCGATGCAAATCACCAGAGGATAATGGCCGACTCGATACCAGACATAATAGCCATTAACCTAATTTGAGAGACTTAGATTCGATGGAAAAGATACTGTGCGAGGCGCCACCACCAGTGACACTATGAGTATGTAATGCATCGGTGGCTCCCATCAATTTCAATTTTCTCATTTTCTTCGCCTCGTAATAGCATTATTTTCTTTGAAACTAAGCCAATAATTTTGTCGAGTGTTCATGTTAAAATAATGACGTGCTTACCTATTGCACGATGTTCCTTTGCGATCGATGGACAAGATATCGATGGCTAAGGAACAAAGCCGTCCATCTGCAAACGGACGTTTTAGTAGGACGAAGATTATATTTGCCATTTTTGTAATTATGAGGTTGCCGGCAGGCCGGCCAGGTTGGCCGACCGACCAGCGCGTATGACTCTAGACCATAGGTCCCGGGTTCAAATCCCCGTGGTGGCGACAAATTCTCACGGAACTGACGAGTGGATCTGCAGAAACATATCCTACTATGCATTCATTCCTGAAAATTTGAAAGCCAGAGCATGGATGTGCCAAAAAATCCTCTGATGTCTACTGACAATATAAAATAATCCCTACGTTAAAAACTCTTGTCTATAGATGGCTGTAGATTCCTAAAACTGGAATAGAAGCCAAAATAACCAGCCCAAGAAAGAAAAAAAAAACAACAAAAATTTGAGGTTGGGTGTGCGATTTTTTCATACATTACAGCGTCATCAGTCATCACAGCTGCGCTCATGTTGTAATTTTTGAAAGGAGAACAAATGGACAGGTTCTTTGGAAATTTTCTGTGAATTTTCTTCACTACTTAAAAAGAAAAAAACCGAAATTGCGAGAAAATATATTAATTTGTTTACTCTGGAGAAAATGAAGCATAATCGGAGATTTTCGAACGTAATTGAATGTGAGATACGCGTTTATCGCACTCGGTCACTGATACGATAAAAAAAAATATAAGATAGACATTCTCTATCATTCGCAATGAAAACGGGATTTATGTGTTAGCGTCCGAGAGCCTGTTTCCTGACAAAATCATCCTTTCACCTGAGCGTCCTTCTCTTTTTCCTTTCGGTCTCTGGGATAGGCAATTTCATACACGCACGCACCGGCCATTAACGCAACTTAATAGCCTTTGATTCCTTGTCACCAAAACCCAACTTTCTCGCCTCTCTCGGGGTCATTAAAATTAAAGCCTTAAACCGGGTAGCAGTTTTGCTGTTCGTAGAGCTCTTATCAGCAGCTGTCTGATAACCCGATGGAGGTGAAAGTGCGCTAATAGAGTGTAGCGCACTTAACAAAATATTTTTACGAGCCCACTACATAAGTTTCGATCGTAGGATGGAATCTGATTGTGCAGCTGCAGCGAGTCGATTTTTGAGTCGTTATTGAATGACCTTGGTCGATACGTCCCTATTGTGGCAATGCCATCTATCGATCATCTTTCGATTATCTTTCGATCATCTATCGATCTATCACTCGATCTGAAACTATTACTGAGCCAACTTCGTTGCTCTCTTCATGCAGCCTTCAAAACTATTCGAACATTCAGTGTGACGTTTTGTCAAACGTATATACCTCCTAATTCCATCCAATAGTTTGGTAATTTTGCTGCATCGCGAAAGAATTTTAAAAGCTCGTGCTTACTTAAATCACTTAATCTTCCTCACTTAGAGGGACTTAGGGCTTACACTGCCGTGCTAAGGAAGAACGCCGTATAAGCCTTCACGCGTTGCCAAATTTTCCTTGATAAAACATGTATTTTTGACAACACTCATGCATATTTTTCCTTGAAATTTTCAGATATTTTACATTAAATTGCGTACAAAATTGTCCGAAAATTTTGGGAAGTAATATTCGCAATTTTCCCTGTAAATTCGGTTTTTATCGGAGGAAACTTGGCAATGTCCGAAGGCTCATACGGCGTTCTTCCTTGGCACGGCAGTACAGTACCCCGCTCGTATACATTCTTGATAATAACCATCAGTCTACCGTAATGAGTCATTTTCTCACTTAGTTCCACTTAGTTCCTCTTCTTAATATAACAGCAAGTAGGATGAAGTTATGATAGCAAACTCTGCAGTCTTAGTTTTACCGTTTTTGCAATTGGAAATTATGTCCTTTAAAAAAGGAAGAGAAAAGAAGGGGAAAAAAAAAAAAAAAAAAGAAAAAAAAAAACAACTTCTTTCTAAACTGTATACCTATTTTATATGCATAGTTAAATTATACAGTCTTGTACTGATACTCATTATATTAGGGCTCTAAATTTTTGCCTCTAATTGAAATTTTTCGCTTTGCTTTTCCTTCAAAATAGTGTTCACCCAGCATTACTTACTGTACCATTTTATTAAATCATACATAAAGTCTTAAACTTTCAGCATTATGCTCCGTCCTTGATGTTGCATTTTCCTTGCCATAATCTATACTACTTTCGACTGTCTTCGCCCGATCATCAATGATGCACTGAGATTCTTGTAATTTTCGCAATCATAAGTAGTGTCATCAAGAAAATCTTGATCTTTAATTCTTTATACTATTTTAAAGTTTCGACTTGACAGGGATTATTCGCAGAGGTTTTATACTCACACTGGAAAAAAAACACATTGGATCTGGAGTCCAGACTCTTGAAAACATTGACAAGAAAAAATACTCTTGATTCAATCAGATTTTTGCTTTAATCAAAAGGAAATCCGCTCAAATTAAGAGGATTGGTTCTTGATTTAAGCAAAAATCCGATTGAATCAAGAGTATTTTTTCTTGTCGATGTTTTTAAGAGTCTGGACGCTAGATCCAATGTTTTTTTTTTTTTTTTCCAGTGCATAGTTGACGGGTAGAGGGCTTGTCCTGGAGTACAAGCCCTCCCACCTCTTAACTTTAACTCGATGATTCAAATCGCACACCCGCAAAGCCGCAACAGGCTTTCTACGGAAGAACCGGTTGAGAATCGGTTCATCAGGTTCAGGTCGCGGTTCACGGTTCATAATTTCAGCAGTTCAAAGTGGCCAGCGCGCGTCCCTCCCAGTCGTAGTCACACTGTCAGACCCCTGGCCGGAACTTATCCGGTCGAACTCGGTAACCTATTCTGCCCGCCGTGAAAAACCACCTAACTGCAATCGAAACTACGCGGTTGATGAGCGGTTCTTTCTACGTACGGCAGCACAACTCAATACTCGCATCCGTCCGAAGCTGCCGCTCGGCGTGACGTACTCTAAATTCTCCGATGAGACATCAGTCACGACTGTGGATTTTTATGCCCGAAACGGCAACAATGCACGCACGCAGCATTGACATTTATAGATTTCGGTATGCATTGCATTGCGCATGCGCGATGTTGGCGAGCGACAGCTACTTTCTCAAGAAAGAAAGCGTTCTGTACGCTCGTTTAATGGTTCATAATTTGTCACAAGTACGAAATAGTGGTGGGTCAATCGGTGCACGCATGCCATTCGACTTTCGCATAGTGATATCTATGGCTACTAACTAATAGTTAGTTAGTTAGTTAGTTATTATAATTTTGAGACATTCAGCGACTTAGGCTATTAACGTCTTTACAGGTAATTTTGAAAATATATAGGAGTATAAACGAAAATTTAGATTTTTAAATTAAGAGAGGTGAAGAGTTTCAGAATTTTGGTGGCAATATTAGGTTCATCGCATGTAAGAGGGTTTGTATTTCTGTTGATTGTAGGGGAGTAGATCTGTGATTGGAGATGTCGGAGGGAAGAGCAGTCCAGTCACTAGACAAGCGACAAGGTATATACATATGCATTAAAGCAGCGCGTCCTATGTTCTCTCCTCAAAATTGTAGGTACGGGAAAAGCATTCACGTACAAGGAAAAGTTCAGAAACAAACAGAATCAAAAGTTTTTAAGGCCACATCTAAAATGTAGTGCAGCGTACCTCTTAATTTATTGAATTTGGTCCTTTTTCGATCAGTAGTAAATACTTATAGAACCCTACAAACCTCGAAAAGCGCGTAAATAGATTGTCTCAAAAGTTTTGATGATAACTTTTGATAATAATTCAGACTTCTTTCTTAACATCATCAGCGTTTTTTACAATAATAATTCAATTATGATAAAAAACGCTGATTTATTCAGAGAGCTTTATTGAAGAAAATTATCATCGAGACTTTAAGGCAGTAGACTTGCTTTTAAAACTGCCCAACTCTATTGTGAAGTTCTATTTCCTCTATTTACATTTTTAAAAAGTGCATCAGCCAATAGGTATCTGATCAATAAAAACGATTCAGAAATTCACATAAGACTGTTTGTAAAAAAAAAGAAAAAAATACCGAATTTAATAATTGTTGGTCCTCTGTTCATTGGAGAATAATTAACACGAAGAACTGAAATTCCTCACATAGAGGGGCAGTTTCCGAAGCAAGTCATTAAATTATACCAGCGATATCCGCCGGAACGCTGAAATTTGCACGATTACATTCAGTGGCGTAGCGTGCTTTGCGATTTATTGATCGATCTAAAGCGTATTTTCGTTGATGATCGGTCGAGCCAAAATGTCGCGGCAATGGCGGCGGGATCATAATCGGGTTTGTAAACAAACTTCCGAAATTGATGCTGGTCGGATACCATCATCTTCATCAGGTCATTTCTAAACCCTACTTTTTGTAGGATTATATTTTGGCTCCAACGTTTGCAAGAATTCCACCTTCTATCTGTCTGGTGAATCACGATGGTGTTCCGAAAAATTATGATCGCGTCAAAACAAAATACGGAACCGCTTGATCCACCCATTTTGGTTCGACCGATCATCAACGAAAATACGCTCCTACCATTTAAACCTATGGAAAAGGATCGATAAACAGGGTGTTTTTCATCAGCACGGCAGTACCTATACTCCTTTTTTACGCGTGAGGAAGCGATAGCGAAGATACCTTTGTGGAGACTTAAATGCTGAGTAGAAAAGTTGCCGCTTAGTGAAGAAAGCAATCAGTGGCGTGGCGTACTTAGCGACATATCGATTGATTTGCTATTTGAAACTATGGAAGAGGATCGATAAATATAGGGTGTTTGCAACGAACACCTCATTAATCGATTCTTTACCCCAGCTTCAAATGGGGGAAATATCAATAATAATCGATCGTTCACACCTCGCCACTGAATTTACATCACTCCGTTGTTGCATTTGCAGATTTCTATATTCGTATCGAACTAAATCGAATATTCTCGATTCCTGCTCATGCAATCGTCTGACCTCTCGACTCGTGGTGTCGGGACCTACTGCTCCTTGTCCGTCACAGCCGTGACTTAATAATAGGTCATTGATCAAAATTGTTCCGCCACTCAGGATGGGATGAAAACAATAACCTCGTAACCTCCCTCCTCAATACTAATTAATTAGAGAAGTGATCGCATTGATTTCTCTTGAAAGACGGAACAGAACAAGGTCAATCTTTTTGAAGGATTCGAAAAGGATTTCCAAGCTTCGTTCGTGTCGAAAATCAAAAAGATATAATAATGGCAAACGCCCAGTGTTCAATTTTTAACTTTTCAATGAAAATCTCAGGCTCTTTTTGGATACAACAGGAGGAACCGAGTTATTAAACATTAAGGTCTCTGCAGTAGAAATTAATTTGGCTTTGAATTATCGTGAAATGTTTATACCTACTTGTAGTTGCTCTTATTGTGAATTTAATTTTTAACTGATTTCGTGTGTTTCAGATCGCAGAGTTCCGAGTCGAGAACCAGTGTATCTCTGCAAGGATCGTGCAATCGAGAAGAAAAACTTTAGACACAGCTTTTCATAGATCAAATTCCATCACAAGCTGACTGCGTCGGTGCCTACGAGAGGATCCCGAACTCTGTGGGTCTCCATCCCTTAGTGTCTGACTAAAACAAACAAAAGGAGCAAAAACAAAAAGATAACTTTCGCCGGTGAAACTCAGAATGTCCCGTCTTCAGACTCCTGGCTCTTCTCCATCGTTCCTCTGAACTCCATAGCTTTCAGTGGCGAGGCGTAAATGGTCGATCATCGATAGTTCCCCCTCTTGAAGCTATGGTAAAGAATCGATTAAGAAGGTGTTTTTTGCAAACACCCTATATTTATCGATTGTTTTCCACAGTTTCAAATAGCAAATCAATCGATATGTCGCTATAAGCACGCCACGCCACTGATTGCTTTCTTCACTGAGCGGCAACTTTTCTACTCGGCATTTAAGTCTCCTCAGAAGTGACTTCGCTATCGCCCCAACGCGCGTAAAAAAGGAGTACCTATACCTGCCGTGCTAATGAAAAAAGCCGTATGATCTTTCGATAGTTGCCGAATTTCCCTGTTTAAAACATTTACTTAAATAGAAAGTTATCCATATTTTTCCTTGAAATTTTCAGACATTTTAGATCAAATGCGAAAAAATCGTCTGAAAAATTTGAAGAAATACATTCTAAATTTTCCCAAGAAACTCGTTTTTCATTGAAGGCAATCTGGCAACGTCTAAAGGCTTATACGGCGTTCTTCCTTAGCACGGCAGTGTAGTATACTGTCGTGCTAAGGAAAAACGCCGTATGAGCCATCAGGCGTTGCCAAATTTTCTTCGATAATACGAATTTCCAGGTAAACTTATGAATATTTTTCTTCCGATTTTTCTGAGAATGTTCTTCATATTTTGTCTAAAGTTCCTGAAAATTTCAAGGAAAAATATTCATAACTTTCCTGATATATAAACATTTTATCAAAGGAAATTTGGCAACTCTCAAATGTTTATACGGCGTTCTTTCTTAGCACGGCAGTACAGTTGAACACAGCACAGACATCCGTTTAGTTCGAGATCCATGCTGTTGTTGATCAGGAGGAAATAAACTATTTCAGGACTCGGTAAACGCAAGAGAGTGTGGAGGCAAGGTGGGATGTGAGTCATGATTTCATTGATTTTCTGCCTCAGGGTTTTGTCATTTGGCGCGTGACTCATAAATTAGTCTCTTGCTCCTGAGCACTGCACCCAGCCCACCGGAGCATTGATTATCGCGAATCCATGCCAGTTATTATGTCTCAATCATTTCCATCGGCGATCAGTTTTCCTCTCCCTCGAGAGTATCGGGATCAAGGATTTGATGATAAGTGGTGGATTCAAATGAGGCGTAATCACAGATGAGGGCGGAAAAATCCATAAAACTAGAGAAAGCTGATTTTTAACACTAGGAAATTAAAACCGGAAAAAATTTGTCTTGAGATATTATTTCGACTTAAAGCATCGTTTCTTGTCGACAATTGATTTTTTTTTTAGTTAAATCTGTACGGATTTAACTTAAAGTCAGTTTTTTTGAGTTAAAGAAACAATGTTCTGTTATTGTTAAGTTTAAGTTTAAGTTTAAAAAAAAAACGATAGAAAAACAACGTTTCCTTAACTCAAAAAAACTGACTTTAAGGGAAATCCGCACAAATTTAACTAACAAAAAAAAAAAAAAAAAAAAAAAAAAAAAAAAAAAAAAATTGCTGTCAAGAAATGACGCTTTAAGTCGAAATAATTTTCCGGGAAAATTTTTTTCAGTGAAATTGAAATTCAAAATTGTATGTCCGTCTGCTTACGGTAAAATAGAAACTATCGATACTAGATTAATGATAATCATGTAATTCGCAGCCCTGGTAAATAAGCAAACAATGAGTCGATCTTTACATTACCAATTGAAATAAATATTGAAGATTGAGCTTGGTCACTCATGAACGTTGATATATTTGCTCTTCTAGTTTGGCATCTTCGATTCGACACAAAATATGTTTTTCCCAAAAAAAGATCGTCTATTCATTGTCGTAGGATTTTGGCGCCGCGTATACATTTTTAAACTTTTTAATATTTTACGGACACATGCATTCGAGAATCTCTTTTTAAAGTTAAGTGAGTAACATGGTGTTTTCGGTGCTGTATAAAAACAACAAGGATATCATGACTACTTCGAAACTCTCGAGCGATGGAACAACTGTGATAATTAAGACGAGATTCAATGAGAATTCCGATTTTATGATAAAACTTCCGACCTGTTAATTATGTTAACAATAAAATTAATTTGAGGTACGTGTGAGGCGTCTCTCATTGGTCATTTATTTTTCTTTCTGTCTTTAAAGCCGAACAATTGAATCCAATTTGACCAGAAGAGAGATAGCATATCAGTGATTGCCTCTCAATTATTTATGTCCTAAATCAATCGAGTCACCCCAGAGTGGAGCAGAGGCGGATCCAGCAATTTGGAAACACCGGATTCCCTCCATTTAAACCTATGTTAAATAATCGATTCTTATCGGAGCACCTGGCCCCTGCAAGAATCGATACATTTCCATAGGTTTAAATGGAGAAAAACAATGTTGCCAATTTTGTGGATCCGCCAATGGAGTGGAGACCCCTTCAAGTGGAACCTTTCACCCCCTGTATGACGCACAATACCTTTAAACCAGAAAATCATTGCGTCTAAGTGCTTTCGTTTTTTTCTCTCTGCGATTGCACCTTTGTCGGCAAATGACAATTTATTACTTCAGCTTGAAAGCAAAAGATCGGTATCACTTGTTTTTTTTTTAGCATTCTTCCCCTCGCGGTTATTTTTACTAGTCCTCCAAGCTCAGTGATATATTTAAGTTTTTGTTGGCTCTAATTGAAATTAATAGAAGTAAAGGGTGTTGTTATTTATTGCGACGTTGCAAAATTTAAGGAATAAATCAGAATATATTATATTCTATAAAGATTGGAAAACGTCTCGAGGAAATGTGGGTGTGATTTTCTTTTTGGGGATCAGGCATCTAATAAAATTTCCTCAAGAAATTCTCGATTAAGTCCTGACCCTCATTCTTTCCAAAAGTATACTCCAAAAATTCTGCAGCGTTTTAACATTTTGATTTTTAAACCTATAAATTATGTTTTGTAAATTTGACCTAGATGAACTGTAAAAACGAATTGTAAATATAATTATTTTGTGAAAGTAGGTATTTAAAAGCGTATTTAAAATTATTTTAAATGTGTTGTGTGTATAAATGTAATAAATAAAAGTTGAATATTTAATTTTTCCCGACTTCCATTATTATCTATTTATTTATAAAACGAGGCGATTCCTTGTACCAGTAAGATCTGTGGAGATCAACTTGGCTGATTCTATCAAAACTTTTTTCAAGTATACTGCCTAAGGAAGAACGCCGTATGAACATTCGAGAGTTGCCAAATTTCCTTCAATTAAATGATTGTTTTTGAGGAAAGTTATGAATATTTTTCTTTGAAAATTTTAGGGACTTTAGGTGAAATTGCGAACAAAATAATCTGGAAAATCGGATGAAAAATATTTATCAGTTTACCAGGAAATTCGTGTTTTATCAAAGGAAATTTGGCAACTCTTGAATGCTCATACGGCGTTCTTCCTTAGCACGGCAGTTCGATGCGTCTAAGGATTTGTCAAATTCGATCAGATTCGAGCCCTTGAAATCTCTTCGATTTCTTTTAATAAAATGGAAGTTCGTTTACGCATGAGCGCTGCTCTCTTTGTTGCCTTGCGCTGTATTTCACTCCCAACTCTCGCCTTTGCTCTCGTTGAAGTCGTAAAAATGTCTCGAGGCGTTTCCCGATATTATTGAAGCCTCAAGAGATCCACTTGCGGCTTCAATAAGTAGTTCACATTTTCGACCGATCCTGTTTTCAACGGAGCGATTCCTCAGGCATGACTGTACAACGTACACTAAATGGACTGCATTTTGCAATTTGGAACTATAAATTTCAGCCCGATTTAAGAAAAAACGTATGTGCCATCAGTTTTCCTATGCACATAAGTGTTTTTCAAAATGAGTCGGAATTCATAGCTCCAAATTGCAAAATGCAGTCCAAATCTGCTTGTGAGGCTCGTTGGAAAAACATAACTGCATGAAGAAAAACTCGAGAAGAAACATTAACTTGATTTTTGTCGACACCTTACCTAGGATTTTATGCGAGAACATTACGCCAGCTTTCTTCAAATATTTCATCACTGATTCGTTTTTCTATCGACTTAGTTCACTGGTGCTCCGAGACGATGATCCTGAAGCAACCAGTGATGTAAAACATATTTTTTACAAGCTTTGAGTCCTGCCACACCGGGCTCTGAATTAACCGTAGGTAATTTCTGGCTGAACTTTTCTAATCTAACTCCTAAGCGAGAGAAAAAAAAAAATCAAAATATGTTGAGGTACCCGCTGGAATTTCTCCTGAAAACATCATGAGGCAATTTTATCGACTTTGTCGTTCATAGATGGAAAACACGTATGGGGGCCATAGCCTACATTTCAGGGCGGTAACTTAGTTTTATATTTAAACAATCAATGCATCATTCGGAAAATTGAAAAAATCGCGATAAAAATCAGTAATACTTCAATTCATCGGCTCAATAAGCAACAATAGTATTAATTGTAAGTTACGGTGTAAGAGAAACCAGCGCCATTGGTGAGGAGACTCCTTATTTTAACTCCTGGATGCAACTATTCGGGCTCCATGGATGTCTGTGTTGCATACGCACGTAAATGAAGGCGTTTTGACCGTCCGGGCACTCGCTGCTTCACCCGCCCGCGGCGCACAGTGGACGGAATCAATAGGAGAGGTCGGACAAAATTTGGAAACTTCAAAAGCTTATGACTCCGTTTTTACACAATTTTGAGGTTCTAAAAGTGGTTTCATTGGTTTCCTCGTAAAATTTTTACTGTAGAAGTATCCCTTAAAATTTAAAATGTGACGATTTAAAATCAAAATTTTCAGTTTTAGTCCAAAATTACGTGTCCGACCTCGCTAATTGACTCGATCCATTTTGCGGCGCCAACAACGGCAGGCTTTACTGCGAGTATCTAAAATGGCAGAGCGCTTTCAAATCCTCGTTTATATCACAAAGATATCTCCTATGCGCAAATAGTTACGTACAGGCGCAGGATGTGAGTGTCTCTCCGTGCTTCAGTTTTGATAACGTGATGTACTGAGCATGATTTGTAGAGCAACTGTTCATGCCTAAGAGATGTCTATGAAGTATAAATGAAGAATTGAGGACATTTTGTCATTTAAGATCCTCGCAGTAAAGCCCTTCGCACAATGAAACGAGCCTTTTAGAGAAATCGGACGTGTAGTTTGTTACTACAGCTGCAAATTTTGATGTTCATTTTTCACATTATAAATTATATGGTGTACATATTGAGGGAAATTTCACGAGGAAACCAATGAAACCGCTCCCAAAATCTCTGTGCGTTCCGTACATAAACATCAATTTGAGCTTTTTTCCATATCTTGCATGACTCCTCACATTGACTCGCTTCACTGAGCTCCGCCGCTGCGCTGGTGAAGAGCGTTAGTGTCAGAAGTCAAAACGCCTTCTCTTCTGTTGGTATGCACCACGCACAACTATGGATCCCAAATAGTTGAATCCAGGCGTTAAAATGAGATACATTCAGCACATGTTGCGGAATTTGCAGGCGCTACACTACCACCGAAGCGTCAATTTTTTTTAGAAGAAATTTTATATATATTGCCAGTGATGCAGAAGAGGTGGAACAATTTTTACCGTTGATTGTTTCTCTTTACATCTTAACTTAATTCCAGCGTTGCCTGCTATGCCGATTAAGGAAACTATCACTGATGTTCATCTAGACAATGTCCGTTTTCTGAGAAATACGTTATTTAAATGTATTACAACTAAATAAATTACATGTATTACAACTTTGTTAAATGTATTACAACTTTGCCGGTCTTCGAAATCGCAAAAAAAATTAAGAATCGGAGCATAATATGTAGAGTTCCTTTTAACCTAATTAAATGAGTCGTCCTGTGTGTGGATTTTTTTCTTTGGGGAAACTAATTTTAGAGATTAAAAGAGAAATTTTCAAAAAAAAAACAATCCTGGTGAATCGCATGGAATTTGGAACAAAAACGATGACTTTTATGTATGTCGAAGGCAAATAGTTAAATCATGCATTTTGTCAAATGCCTGGGAAAGTAGTCAAATATTCTTACTTAGATTGAAATTTTGATTTTTTACCCTAATTTTAGACAAAATAATTCGTTGCTCCTGTAAGGAAGAATTCTCAGTAAAGATGGGCAGCATACAATAGTATTTTAAAAAATTTTAAGGTCCTGAATACACATTTATTATGAAATTTTCAGCACGTCATAAAACATAGAATTTTTAAAAATTTTCAATTCACTTCGAAACCATTTGTCAAGTTGCCGAGGCTTATCTGACATGGGAGCCCCTTCAAAAACGCTCGAAGCAAGAAGTTTAACATGCCAACATATTTACCACGCTCACTGAAATCTCCACAATAGTAATGGGAATGAATTGTGGATCTCCATCAGTTTTTCACAGTAGGAAAGGGAGTGCAACAACAATAATTAATCATGAATGAGTATACTAAATTAAAGTACTTCCTCTCCTGAATGTAACGATTGCGTAGCGTACGCAGAATAATTAAAAATTAAAACGCAGGAGTAATTTAAGTAAATAATAAAGGGAACTCGAATCAAAATTTTATCGCAAAACTATTTGCAAAATCTCGTCATGTAAATACAGAAGATTTGAAAACGCCTTCAAATGAGGCGTTATACCTCACGCGTTCCGGAGAGTTCAAATAGTTGTATGCCCGCGCCTTAGCAAGACGATAGAAGCTTTACATTGAAGTAGCGTCCCCGCGTGGTTTTTCGGTTTTCCGGTGCCGCTACTGCAGTATCGGCCGTTAAGGGCGCTAAAAGCAGGGTTGTATTTCTCAAATGGATAATTTTTGCAGAATAATTAAAAATTAAGAAGCAGGAGAAATTTTGCTAAATAATAAAGGGAACTTAAATCAAAATTTTATTCCAAAACAAAATGGAAAATCTCGTCATGTAAATACAGAAGATTCGAAAACGCCTTCAATTGAGGCGTTATACCTAACGCGTTTCGGAATGCGTATAAGGCGCGCCGGATCAAATGAAGAGGCCAGAACGAGAAACGCATTTCCGCGCTTAAGCCCGAGAGACGCAGAAAAAGTGCTACACGGAAAAAAAATTGCTAATTCAACAATTCAATTGCTAAAAACGGTGAGTGTAATGTTTCAACGCAAATTTTACAACAAAAAAATGCTACTTTAACCACATTGTAAACTAATTTAACCACGGGAGTGGTTAAAGTAGCATTTTTTGTTGTAAAATCTGCGTTGAAACATTGCACTCACTGTTTTAGCAATTGCATTGTTGAATCAGCAATTTTTTTTTCCGTGTACGGTTTCAGGTGACTTCCTGATTCTCTCGCGATTATAGTCTCTTGCTGGCAGATAGACGACATCTTCAACAACACGTTTATGGAGCTAACTCAAAACTTCCAAAAATCTAGATACGTACTTCTGCACTTTCACCACCGATTTGTTTTTATACAATGTTTCCTCCCGTCTGGTATCAACGTATAATTCTCTCGATTCGAACACTCGATCCTCGACCGTCGCGTCGCGTGTCGCGTCGCGTGTCGCGTCGCGTCGTCGCCGCCGCCGAGCCGTTTTGAAAATCGCGCCTCTTAGTTTCAAATTTGGAACACGGACCGAGGGGACCAATCTGCAGGATTCCGCTCGTTCAATGTGGAACCTGATAGCTGGAACCGAAATAAACAATGGGCGGAGTAAATCTCCCGCTCTACCAAGTTTGGTCGCACAGTAGCTATATTCAGAACTCCTGAAGACCAGCCAAGATAAAGTTAAGTTTTTAATTCTACCATAAAGTTTTGTGAAATACTTGGATTCCATATAATAGAATCAACTACAAAGAATGACTGGAAGCACGCGTTGATGGTATGGCACTTCATGTTTTGTCATAATTATGGAATCAGATTCATGAGTCTGCACTGTTCATTTCACAAACTCCTCATTTCTATTGTGCGCTGGGTCATATTACGTATGGCCCACCTCGTGTAGTCGTCGGTGCAGGATCTGAGCGAACTGATAAAGCATTTGAGCTCTCACGCGTTGCGGTGTGATATTTCCTTTCCATGACGTACATTGCACGGAGTACGAAAGTAAATATTAATTTGTGAAAAATCAGCCTTTAGTTTTCGGCTAAATAGTGAATCTACGTGTTCGTCGGCGACGAAAGCTTGAGGTCAAGTGGTCAAGTGGCCCTGTGTTTGGAGCTTTCCTGTTCAATTTTTTGCTCAGTTCCTCATCTCTGAAGCAAGAACTACCAATAAAATGGCAGCAGAATTGAAGTAAGTGTATCGAACTATTTCAGGTCTAACTTAAGCCTCAAAAATTTTCTCATCTGCAAGATGATACCTTTAAGGAGTCTTGTTTGATGCGTTGACCTTTAGCGTTACGCTTGTGAGAGAGGGGACTCAGAGAACCAAATTATCTCTATTGCCTTGTAAGCACTCCTTCTACCAATCAAAGGATAATCCAGGGATGATTTGGAGTCCGCAGGCTGTAGGAAAATTCTCTTACCCTCCTTTATATTGGTCCTGTTAAGCTTTTTCGACGGTGTTGGTCGAATTGATCTGTGCCCTGTGGTGATCCGCAGCTCATCTCATAGCAATCTAAGAACAGCTTTAGACCAATTGGAAGTCCCATTTAGCACCTGATTATAATGACACACTGTAGTTTCTTGAGCACCTACAGTTTTCCAGCTGTTGTAGTGTTCAGTTGATCAATACGTGCTTCAAGCTTCAAGTGATCTCTTATCTCCTGTTATCAGACTCCTTCACTGTTGGTTGATTTTCCTGATAACCTGTCATCATTCCATTTTTTCATCAGTTTGTTGTTTCTCAAGAAATCTGAGACACACTGTTAATTCCAATTTAAATTTTTCTTTTATTTTTCGCTTGTTTGCTCAGCATTTTGTAGTTTTCTATTTTTCGAAATGCTTCTGATGATGTTTTTTTGCCAAAACGTCTTAGGTTTTCAATTTTCTATACTTATAACTATAATGGAAACCTTCGAATCATATCAAAACTTTAAATTTTCATCCCCCCCCCCCAAGAAAAAACCCTTTTACATGCATGAAAATCATACCTTTTTCGGTGCAATACCATTGACCGTCCATGTCTGTCCTGAAAACTTCAATGCAACTCCTTAAACTTTCCTTTTTCCTCTTTTTTCTCTCTACGAAATCATTGAAAATCTCAGGTATATAACAGTTCCTCAAGAAACACCCTACCACCGAGTTATCTAAATTTTTTTTGGGGGGGGGGGCTTTAAGTAGGTATTTCTAAAATTATCGGACATTCTGTCATGGTAGGATTAGGCACTCTGCGTCTAGAGTTAAAGCTTGGGACTTAAGAATTGTAATTTTTGGAATCTTTTCTAATAAGAATAATCTACTGCTTGATTTCGGAATCCATTTTCGGTCTGTAAGAAGTCTCGTGACTTGTCATACCTACTCATTAACCCATGACGTTATGGAGGCAGAGAAAATATCTGCATCCAACCTTTGCTTTCACCTCTGTTTATAAACTGTGGACGGAAAAAGTATCTTTCTGTCATATTTTCAAATTATCCATGCGAAAAGTATGCATTCACCCTCTAGGCAAAGAAAAAATTGAGCCTCCTTCCCTCTTACCCTCCACCGGAGAACCTTCTAAAAAAGTGAGTTTTCCCTTTGAGATCTTAAATGAGAAGGGTGTTCAGCTCTTTACAGTTTTTCACTTCTGGTAACCGATTTTTGTGCAATATGATCCATAATCATTGCTACAATATTCTCAGGAAAAAAAAAACTATCTAAGAATTCCTTAAACATCTCAGAGGAGGGGACAAGAGGTTCTGCAGAACAATTTTGTTCCTAAAAAACATCATACTCTCCTTCATTCCAAATAATCTTAGCTTCGAAAAATGTGCACTGAATCCTAAGAGGAAAAAAAAAGTACAAGTAGCAGTCATAATATGCGTTTATTTTCAGCAACTAAGTAACTTAGCAAGTGTGGCCATTCTTACCCTTACAATCAAGGTGTTAAAATTTGCCAAAATTACCATAAAATTCTCAAGAAACTAATTCGAATTTTAAATAGAAAGAACTAGAGCGCCAATAATGTGGAATAATATACAACCGAGGGTTTGAGAGTTTCATCAAAGTAAAAAACTCTGCTGAAAATAATCTAGTTTATCGAAGATTTAATTTGTTAGAGTGCAACGTTTTTACAAGTTTTTATGGTTTCCTCAAAATACAAAGACGTGTTCCGCGGTGAGGAGTTGTAGTTGGGGTTGGCCGCAGGATGCACAATGGGGATGAAGCAGCTGCCGGAGCGGCACCCAGCCGCAGATGTTCCTTCAAAGACTGGTGCGAAAAAGCAGTCCAGCAGTATTTCAACTCCGCGCGCGCCGTAAGCGAAATGCGCCAGATAATAGAGGTTTCGGGTACTAAAAGCCCGGAGGGTTGATCAAACGTGGTGCTTGAGAAAGTCACACCCAGCCCGCCGCTAATTCTTGAATCAGTGATCCCGTAATACATTTCAACTATTCGCGTGCACCCCTCGCAAAGTTTCCTGCGCAAAAATAACGACGGTGTAAGTCGGCAATCGAACAACTCGGTTTGCGACGTCGCGTCGCAGACCTCCTGTCATACTTTATTTTTTAAGCGGGAAACTATCCAACGGCAATTCTTTAAAACTGCCGCGATTTTTCTTCTCTGTGCGAAGAAAATTCTGCACAAGCTTCAACGAATTATGTTAATTTGTTCTCCTTTAAAAAATGGCATAGAGGCGGAGATTTTCAGACACCGCAAACGAGATATGTGATTGCGGACTTGCGCCGTCGAAATGCGCCCAATAAAAGAGGTGTCGGGTTCCGAAAACGCGGAGGGTTGGTCAAACGTGGTGCCTGAAAAAGTCACACCTAGCTCGCCGCGCGTGCACCCCTAGCAAAGTTTCCCGCGCAAAAATAAGTAACCCAGGAATGTTGCCAAATGGACAAAGTCGGGAAAAGTTATAGACTCTCGTTGCAGAATTTTTTGCCTTCGACCGAAATATTGCATTTTTACTTTTTCGAGATACCTCGCGCTCTGAATCACATTTGATTGGAATTTTTATCAGAGATTAAGTATGCCAAAAATCACGGAAAAGTCGGGGATTTCCATGTTCCAAATATCTGAAATATGAGGAAACTATTAAATCCACAAAAAATTTCGCGATGACTAGGATTTGAGATGAAAAGGACAAGCCCACGGCGCGGCGGTCGGCATGTAACACATATTAGCGCCTACAAGACTGCATGAATACTCCACGCATTACGTCAAATACAGTGCGGTCGACGTGAAACGCATAGCGCCTACAAGGCTGCATGAATACTTCACGCATTGCGCCAAACACAGTGCAGTCAGCGCGGCGCGGCGGCGGAAGGTAAAAATATTAAACCACATTTATGTTTGTTCTTTCATAATTGTTTCGTTCATTTATTATAAATGGGAGGCCTTGTCCACACAGAGATAGGTTTACGGAACTTGACTTTCGCGCAAAGTTCCGTGAACTTTTGCTAATAGTGTTGACAGGGCTTCCGCAAAAAATGTGTCCCACACGAGCAAACGCGTCTTATGAACCATTCCCCCTCCGGCACGTTCACTTGATAAATTTTATTGCTGTTTCAAAACGGATGAGAAGGAGGCGGCAAAATATAGGCGGCCCATGGGCGGCAGGTAGGTAAATCCGGCCCGGAACTAATGTGAACTAAAAAAATAAGCCTAAAAATTAAAGCTAAGATGACTCCTGAAGTGGAAATACTAATTGGACCGCATTAAGCAGAAAGGAACCAAGCCACATCAGCTATTGCCAAATTTAACTGGGCAATTTAATCTCTAACGAAAGAACGTTTGTGCAGAATCCTTTGATAGTTTTAAGGTATTTGCTTCGCACCGAGTGTAAAATTCACTGAAATTGTCACAGAAATCCGCACAACCGTTCTCATGTAAAAAAATTAACCGTCCAATTAAATTTGGCAATAGCTGATGTGGCTTGGTTCCTTTCTGCTTAACGCTCTCAAATTTCTAACCCCTCGCCTAGCGATGGTTGTCTGTTTTAGAAAGAAAGACAGGTAGTAGTAGTAGTACATTTCGTATAGTATACACAACGTAGTATCGTACGTTTCTCTTAAAGCGATGCCGGAGCATGCAACTACGGCTATTGACACTTATGTAGTCAGGTTTTAGGGTTGTCACCACTAGAGGAATTTTTGAAGGTACTTATGAAAAGGAAGGAAGAGAAAAAATAAAAGAAATTCCATCGCAAAACACAATCTCAGCGGCAAACAAGTGGCTGCAGTTTCGCTGCCACGCCGCTATCATTTTTCTTCTTCTTTTTCTTCTTTTTTTCTTTTCTTAATTTCTTCTGTCAATTAGCTAGTCTCTCGTTTGGGGCGTGTTATATGCCGATCTGCCATCATGCCAATCTTCATCTTTTTTTGTGGAGCTTAAGTTTATTTCATGCCTTAGCACTCTATAGACTTGATGCACGGCGGTCGTATCAGTTATAAACTCACTCTAAACTTTGAATATGCAAAATTACGTAACTTTCGTCTGTCGATCGCGCCACACAGAAGACCTCGCCAGCGAGACCCTCCCTCCCCCATCCGACACCTCCTGCCTCCCCTCTCTACATATCTCGTCTTGTTGTATCCCACGTTCCCACAGCTACTTTCCAACTTCAAATTGCACTGTGTAGCACCCAATGAACCTTTTGTGATCTCCTCGAGTACCTACTAATAGAAGTCATCGTTAACTGTGTGTACTTGAATTCAGAGGGTTTCAGGTGCCAATCAAGAATCAAGACTAGAATCTTTTTTTGCTTCTTGACCAAAGGTTAAGAAAAGCGGGAATTTATTTCCTAGTTTGATTACCGTTTATTTTAAGAAGTTTCCTAATTTTGGAAAAAAATTTCACGTTCTTCTTGATGAACAAGGGAGCCTCTACTGTCCATTTTAATTCCATCTGCAGACTCAATTTGACAGGATCAGAAAAGTGGATGTTTTGTCCTTTGGCTTTTCTGGTTTTTTTCTCTTGCTGTTAGCCTAGAATGAGTTTTAATCAAATCATCATATAGGTAATAAAAAAAACCAAACCTTGGAGAGAGTTGTCAGTGCTTCACTTCAAAGTGATGAAATTCTTGAGATTTGTGTACCATGTAATCGATTTTATCGCTGCACGCAATTATTAAAAATAAATTGAATTACCTTTTTGAGGTACATTCTGCCTGACTTTATAAGAAATTATTGGCCTCCCATTTTTTTTTTGCATTGTGCGAAAGTGATTCTAAAAGTTACTGGTTTTTTTCTCAATAACTTTAAAGAAGTAATTATTTTTGCTTTGGAATTCACCTCCGAATGCAACCATAATCGGAGCTTTATCTGCAATCATTTAAAAGTTATTGGAATCCATCTAGCATATGCTAGAAGAAGAAAAAAATTCCCTCACATAACCAGANGGGGGGGGGGGGGGGAAGTTGGCCGTTCCAGAGTTAAATTTTGGTGTTGGGGATACTCTAATTTTTTCCAGCCTCACTCTGGGGAAAAAGAAGAAATAAGAATATACCTCGTTGGCACTTCATTACCCGATTACGATTATTTCGTATGTCCTGTACAAGCAGTAAGAGATCTTTCCATACCCTTCATTCTGGTGAATGCTACATGATGTAAAACTTTAAATGCCCCACAATTCTTCTCTTCTTATCCATTTCTTTCGTTTTTCTTTCAGAGAAGGTCTTTTGTTCGGAATTTGCAATCCTCTTCTGGACATGGCTGTCAGTGCAGACAAAGAACTATTGGACAAATATTCCTTCAAACCCAACGACGCTATCTTGGCCGAAGAGAAACACCTTCCCTTGTACGATGAGCTCGTGAAGAATTATAAGGTCGAATACTCAGCAGGAGGTTCTGGTCAGAACACTTGCATGGTTGTTCAGGTACTTCAATGATTTTCAATTCCCCTCATCCAATTTCATTTTTTTCCCTTTCATAATTTTTGATAGATTGAAAGCAGAGATCGGTTTTTACCTCGTAAATCAGTTTAATATCTTCAATTGGCTGTACCAAAGAGTTGCTAAATGAAAAATCATGGAAAATCAAAGACTGTGACTTAAAAATGTTTGAAACTTTGAGCCTTTCTGGTCATGTAGAGCAGATAGAAATAACCCTCACAATCAATTATGCTCTCACTATATCCCTCATTTTTGCACTTTTGATGGAATAATAATTTTAGAAGTCTAATAACAAGACCAAGTTTCAAAGTTCAATTGTGTCGGCATATTCATTTGGCAAGTAGAGTAACAGCAATGGTAATTGTCAGCATTTAAACTGTACCTGCCGAGTCGACTCACAATCAGCTTTCCTTCCATGCTAGTAAAGTGAGGAGAAACACATTTTCACACCTTTGAAAATGTTCACTTTCTTTACTTTACCCAGCTTTAGTTTAAGTGAGGGACTCTTGGTACACAGAATGAAAGCAAAATGGCAAAAAATTACGGAACAGTGAAGTAACAACATATCTTTTAAACCTATGAAATTGCGCCCTGAAAGTGTATCAAAGAAAAAAATTCACTCTGAAGAACAATTCAAAACCTCTGAATAAAATGCTCCAAAGCTCAGAAGTAGGAATGATGATTTCTGTAAGCATTTGGTACAAAGTTGCTTAAACATAACTAATTTCCATTGAAAACCAAGGATCTTTTTACCATCACAAGTGATTTTTCAATTAGTTTAATTTTCCTTCTCACTGTCACTCTTAATTTTAGAATTGCTGGAAACAAGTTGTTTCAATTAAATACTTCTCAATCAAAACGCCCGAGGTTTAACAAACTCTGGACTCATGATTTTTCTTCTTCTTTTTTCATTGTTTTCAGTGGCTATTAGAGAAACCTCATTTAGTAGTTTACAGTGGATCTGTTGGAAAAGACAAATATTCCCAAATCTTGGAAGACAAAGCTCATGAGTCTGGCCTGAAAACATGTTATCAGTATCAAGACTCTTACCCCACAGGTTTGCATCTTTATTCTTGTTTTTTCTTCTTTTTATTTTAGTTTATTCTTTATCTCTTTAATTCACGTATTCTTTTGCTCAGTGTTCGAAACTCAGCTTTGAGTTTCAGGAGCCATGTAACCCATCAAGCTCGATTTTTAGAGGCCATTGAAGATTTTTTAGGGGCCAAATTAACTTTTTGCCTTTATATCACGGCGCATTAGTGAAAAGTTAGACGCAAGATGTTTTAGTTACAGAAATTTGGATTTCAGGATTTCATGAGTCACAAGATCCCTCCGTCTGTGTTCTAGGTACTTGTGCTGTTCTTATCACAGGAAACGGGACCAATCGCTCTCTGTGTGCTAATTTAGCAGCAGCCAACCACTTCTCCCATGACCATTTGCACTCCCCTGAAAACAAAAAACTTGTGCAGCAAGCAGAATATTATTACGCTACTGTAAGTTATCAATATTGGTTTTTTCTTCCACGTGTCTTAAATATTTAGATATTGAGTTGAGCTGAGAACTAAACCTTACATTTTGAATGAATTGATGCATTAAGTTAATGGTAGAAGGTATCTTATATGCATCTTTCAAAGCGTCCGCCAACAGTTACTGTTGCCATATTGGAAACCATCTGTGGCTTCTTTTACGCATCCTCGAGCTAGTGATGTCACTTGATGAGAATTTGTGATGGCCTCCTGCCACTCGTCTTTCCATTGCCTGCTGTTTTCATTTGTGACGTAACTTTCCAACAAGCTGGTCTGATTGAGACATTTGAGGATGCTTGAACACAGTTTTACCTGATAAACCGCCCAATTATGTCCAGACTTAAATTATTTTGTAAAGGAAGGATAACCATAAGGCAGGTGCAACTTTGTCCTTGGACCGTATAAGTTCTAAATTTTTAAATTTTGTTTTTGATTGTTATATTTTTTAAACTCGTGAGGGTAGCAATATTGTTGTGTTGGAGAGTTCTTGATGTAGAGTTGGAAAAAAATGAAGGAATTTTAAAATCAAAACTTTCCTTCGTGTCTAGTGGTTACGGAATTTTCCATGAAGGATTATGGGAAGGGTAAGTCAGGAAATATCTGTAGATTTCAAGATCAAAAACTTGAAAATATCAGAAGTATGTTTTCCAGCTCCAGCTTAGGTAATTACAAAATTTTTGACTCCAGATCAAATAGTAAAAAGAACATTTGATGCTGGGTCAGGTGCTGGCCATCTAATGATTATTCTTGCCAAAAGGTTCCATCTTTGGTAGCAAGTCATATTCTGAAATTATCTGTTGCGATGAAAACAACTTCAGACAAATAATATTACCGACACATTTTGAACATTCGCATGATCTTCATATTTTCTTTTTTCATATTTTTCACTGTTATGAATAATCTTTGTTTTCCTTCAGGGATTCTTTTTGACTGTTTGTTTTGAAACAGTGCTGGAACTGGCTCAGATTGCGCATCAACGAAACAAATTATTCATGATGAATTTGAGTGCTCCTTTCATCTGCTTAGTCTATGCTAAGCAGCAAATGCAAGTTATGCCATATGTTGATATCATCTTCGGAAATGATGATGTGAGTCCAAGGAATTTATTTTTACTTTTTGCTCTGTTACTTCCTCTATTTTCTTTCAAAAGAATTTCAGTGACTAGGCAATTGACAGTCACCCAAAGCAAACAGCAACAGTGATGAGTAGAACCTTTTTTGAAATGCACATAGTCAGATCATTGTTCCTTTTAGCAGCCGTTAATCTTTTTATGCCTTTTGTTTATGGGACGAACGTACAAACAGTCTGCAGAAAAGCCAATAAATACAAAAAACTCAAAGTTTTAAATGCACATCCGTACATTGTCGTTTTTTTCTTTTTAATTCACATTTCAAATAGTAAAGCAGACAAAATGGAAAAGAAAATTCAATAACCTACAGTTATAATTTAATATTAAAAAAATATCTCTGCCACTGTAAACTCTCTTCTGACCACACAACGTGTCTGCTTTGGTGAATGATCAGTGCAGTCCTTATCATTGCACTAGGGGGCTACGCCCCCTGGCCGCTACGCGGCCCAACCCCCTGAAGGCGCTCCGCGCCATCAATGGGCCGCTTCGCGGCCCTATTTTTACCCTCCTATCGGTGTTAGTTTTATTTTTTCCCCTAAAAAATTACGATATAAGGTATACTTTACTTTTAGAATGAAATAATTTTTGGTTTTGATGAATAAAGAAACAAAATCATTTTTTTGAAGTCTAAAGGACGCGTTTTGGAATGACTACTTGATGAAATATTGCAGTAAAACAACGAACATTGATAATCAGGTAATAATTAAGAGTTTCGGGAGACGGGGATCGAACCCACACCATATTTCAAGTGGACGCTTCCGACGTCTTTGACGACTCGGCCACCGCTCTACCTGAGGCAGATGAGGCGAATCTTGTGTAGATAAGTGTAGAGCTGATGCGCAGGCTACACAGCTACTGCGCAACCTCCTCGACCACTGCGCATCCTCCCGCGCATAGCGGTAGCAGTACCGGAGCATTCTCTAAACTCACTCACTTTTATAACGTGATTTTAAAAAAACCTGGGTCCTTTTTCCAAAATCTGATTACAGCGGGCTCATCTAGGGCCTATTACCTGTCGATTTACGCAAAAATCATGGAAATCGGCCCGGTAGAACGCTCAAACGAACTATGACAAAAAGTATAAATTTACATTGTTTAAATGGGAGAATTCGCAACTTTACCACGTAATATAAAAAAACCTGGGCCATATTTTGAAAATCTGAAAAAAGTTGGCTTATCTAGAGACAATTGCCCGTCGATAGCCGCAAAAATCATGAAAATCGGCCCGGTAGAACGCTGGAACTAAGCGTCACCAGTTTCGCAAAATTAGGAGGTCTTGGAGCTTATAGTATAGATAATTTTTGGTTTTGATGAATAAAGAAACAAAATCATTTTTTTGAAGTCTAAAGGACGCGTTTTGGAATGACTACTTGATGAAATATTGCAGTAAAACAACGAACATTGATAATCAGGTAATAATTAAGAGTTTCGGGAGACGGGGATCGAACCCACACCATATTTCAAGTGGACGCTTCCGACGTCTTTGACGACTCGGCCACCGCTCTACCTGAGGCAGATGAGGCGAATCTTGTGTAGATAAGTGTAGAGCTGATGCGCAGGCTACACAGCTACTGCGCAACCTCCTCGACCACTGCGCATCCTCCCGCGCATAGCGGTAGCAGTCTCGGAGCATTCTGAAAATTCACTCACTTTTATAACGTGATTGTAAAATAACCTGGGTCCTATTTCCAAAATCTGAATAGAGCGGGCTCATCTAGGGTCAATTACCCGTCGATTACCGCAAAAAACTTAGAAATCGGCCCGGTAGAACGCTCAAACGAACTATGACAAAAAATATAAATTTACATTGTTTAAATGGGAGAATTCGCAACTTCACCACTTAATATAAAAAAACCTAGGCCATATTTTGAAAATCTGAAAAGAGTTGGCTTATCTAGAGACAATTGCCCGTCAATAGCCGCAAAAATCATAAAAATCGGCCCGGTAGAACGCTGGAACTAAGCGTTACCAGTTTCGCAAAATTAGGAGGCTTGAGAGCTTATAGTATAGATGGCTGCATGGATCATGGATGGCAGCAGAGGCCCTGCTCAGAGAGAAGGGAGATTACAGTGGCCAGAATATTTTTAGACGTCATCTAGGCTTTCTCTGAGATTCGCTAACAAGTAGAGGCTCCAAATACTCAATTTTGAACTCATTTTTATGTGTTACTTTGAAAAAAAAAAAAAAACACTAGAAAAAATTCTGTGAATTATGTGTATTCTCTTCTTTTCTAAAACGCCTAATGCAAGAATTGAAAGTTACTAAACAAGTTTATTGTAAGCAAAAATTCTAGTCAAGAAGTATATGCAAAATTACAGTCTATCAATTTGCATAACTTTTGGCACTCTTTCTGAGCTATCAGTCATCAAGAGGAATAAGTTTCAAATCAGTTTATATAGTTCTTGCAAACTCAACAGTTAGAAAAAACATAAAAACCATTTTAGTCTTTTGTTTGTTGCTGCAAGGGTATGAAGAGAACCGAGAAACTTATTGCATCAGCATGATTCAGAAGATTAGAAGAGAAACACTCCGAATGTGTATAGAAACTAGCATAAAAATGAACAAAAAAGAAGATTAAAAGTACATGTTATTTATAGTTGAATGTGGAACGATCTCCTTATCAAATTATCATGTTGATTTTGCCCTGATTTTGTTGGTACATATTGTCCATGTCCATGTTGTCCAATATCAGTTCTTTTAAAGTATAAATGATCCATCAGCAAAAGTCTTGATTCATAACTCTCTAATTTTCCAGGAAGCAAAAGCCCTAGCGAAGGAGCAAGGATTTGAAACTGAAGACATCAAAGAAATTGCCCTTAAAATTGCAGATTTACCGAAACAGAATACAGATCGATCAAGGACTGTCGTTATCACGCAAGGCCATAATCCTGTCATTTTTGTTAAAGGTTTGTTATGTTCATCTATATTTCCTAATCTCTATGAAAGGCTCATTTCTTTTTTGTCTTGTAGCCTGAGCATATACAAGAAAGAAGAAAAAATAAGAAAAGAAGTGAAACAAAAAAAGAAAGAAAGAAAAATCAAATGAATAATTTGACCAAAAAATTAAAACATTCCAAAATACAACACTGCCTCGTGTTCTTTCTAAATGTTATCCTATGAGGAACAGCATAACGATGGTGGAAGTGTAGAAATGCGATCTCGAATTGTAGTTTTGCAGACGTCCTGTCATATCTTATTTTCTGCATGGAACACTATGACGTCACTTCTGGAAAGCTTCGGTGATTTTTATTCCGTGTGTGACGAATGTTTTGTGAAAAGCTCAAGCCATGTTGTTGGTTGAGTCTCATTTAAAACAGTAAAGTATGAGCGGAGATTTTGCAGCACTGTAACCAAGTTACGCATTTTTGCAGTTTCACTGTCGATAATCTCTTTGTCCCTTTTTCATTTCTCCGTGGCTGCACAACTTTTGTTTTATGTGAAATTTTGATGAGGAAACATCCACACTACCTTTATTTTTTCCTGAAAAGCTACCTATAGTAATTTGGAGAAGTTTAAACCGAGGTCAAATAAGATTTAGAGGCATATATGTTGGTATGTTCAAAGCTAAGAAAATCTTAATTCAGCATATTACCAATTGACTTTGATTTTCTACCTGTTAGTAAAAAAAATGAATCTGAAAGATTCTAAAGTCTTGATGTATATGTTTGCACTTTTTAGTGTATTTTCCGAAGGAAATACACTATTGCGTTTTTTTTATTCTTCCTCTTTTAATTTTTTGTAAGTATCCAATTTCTAATATCTTGATCTGAATCATCTTTCAGATGGTAAAGTTGAAGAATTTGAAGTTCCAAAAGTGCCAGCGGAGAAAATTATTGACACAAACGGAGCAGGAGATGCCTTTGTTGGTGGTAAGAACATAGTTTAGACTTTCCTTCTAGATATCTTTTTTGTCTTCCCTTTTTTTAGAGAATTACCATGTGTAGTATCATAGCATATGGTCTGGTATTGATGTGTGTGAAGAATGGTAGACGATTGGTTGCCCAAGCAGGTTTTCAATTGGGTTTCTCTGAAGACAAGACGCCACATATGTCCCATGAAAGGTTGCTGACAGGGAGTGGAGAAAAAGAGATCTGTGGGCGGCTAGGGGGCAATGGTCTTTGGATACCGTAGAGCGCAAAACTGTGCTGTAAAAGCGGCTGTCAAATATGTAAAATACATAGTATCATTTTAAACAGAGAAGTCCAAAGGAGACATGAAAAGCTCTCTTTTTAAAACTTGTTACTCTTGCATTAGAAATTTGTATTGGTAGTCTGTCTATTTTCATTGTTTTTAAAAAATAAAATGTTTTTTGCCACCCTGCCTGTGTCCGTAATACAATTTGTATTTCACATAACTGGCTTTTTTATTACTGCCATGAGATGAAGGCATCATTAATGAGTCCTCCGAAAGTAATAAGTTAGACTGTCTTCAAATTTGGGGGGGGGGGGGTATTTATTTATTAATGTACATATTTTTGTTTTTTTCAAATTACTCAAAGAAAATGACATGAATATATGACAAGGCTGCAAACTTTGGGCACTTTTTTCCTCTGAACTTTGAGTTACCATGTCTGTTTATATGAAGGAGCATGAGACAAAAAATCTCAAAGGACACTACCCTTACTTTAAGTATTCCTTTACTTCATTTGATTCGTCTAACCTTTAGTAATATTTTTTCTCTATTTCAGGTTACTTGGCACAACTCATCTTGGGAAAACCTTACCAAACCTCAATCAAGTGTGGAATGTGGGCTGCATCTGAAATCATTCAAGTGTCTGGCACCAGCTTCAAGGGTAAAAAGTACTTTAACGGGGATAGTTAAAAACAGTACTTCTAAGTGGAATCACACTTTGGCTCAGTTTTTCGAAGCTTTACTGAGCTGTATGATATTTGCAAGCAGCTTAATGAACAATTTTTGAAACTTAAAATTTAGCTATCTTTGGACAATGCTCATGTTCAATTAAGTTCTGCTTTTATTCTAGCATGCTCTCCAATTTCAGACTTCATTCTTTTTTTCCTCCACTGTATCCTTTGTCAGTAAGTTTTAATTTGACCCTCATTATTTTTATTACCGAAGCATTTTAGTTTTGTATTTTACGTTTTCAGTTTTTAAGGTTTTTATCGACATTTGTATTTCTAAACTCAACTCCATCTTATGGGGCAAATTTTTTTTAGTTGTCATGAATATGTCTAGATAGACTTTCAAAATAGACCTCCATGAGTCCCTCATGAAATTTTGAAAATAAATGTAATGCATCTATTTTTTTTAGCAGTTTAAGTAGCTTGCTGTAGAATTCGTGTCCGATGAGTTGGCAGTTGTTTACTTTTGACTGTCAAGCTCCATGGATTGATTTACATATCTGCATCCGGCGATGGTGGCCAATCCTCGATTGCGAATGGACGACTACAAGGCATTTGCTTGTAAACAGGAAATAAAGAATTGCCAACTTATCTGACGCAAGTTCTATTTATTTTACTGTTTTTGTAATGAAAGGAATTATGAAAAAATAACACTTGAATAGTTGATATTCCTATTCCAATAATGAAACCTCAAATTAATCTTGAGCATTGCACAATCAGAAAAATGTCTCGTAAATATCTATGAATAGGCTTATAAAAATATTTTAATCATTGAGGTCAGCACATAGGTAACATACTGTTTGTTTACCACTCATACAACAATTTACTCTAGTTTTACACTCCAAGATTTTGTTCGGAAGTAACAAGGTAAAATTTTAAATGCAAAATCACTGCAATTCTCTCTCACTACGTATTTTTTTTTCTCTCTCTTTTTTTCACAGACTGATTTTATTCACAATCAAAACTTATTAGTTCTGAATCATTGGAAAGTTTACTTCTTATTCGGCTGTGGATTGTTTAATCAAGAATGCTTAGTTTGTTTGTGAAGATTCATCTAAGCTTATTTAGATAATTGTTTTGAATTGATGAAGTAAGTCTCATTAGCACATACCAATTGTATGATTATTAATTTAATAGACCAAAAAGAACGCGCTGACAGACCCCAGAGAGCATTTTTAGGTAGAATTTTATGAAACTTAAAATCATTATTATTCCCATCATCTCGACCAAACGTCCTGCTGGGTGTTTTAAAATTCCATGTCCCATTTTTATTATATTCTCAGCTAAATTAAGACTTATATTGCCCAGGTTCAGTGCAAATTAGCCCTGAAAATGAGCCTAAACACTTATTCAGGCACAAAGGATTGGACCAAATGCAACAGTCAGTAGTCACAGATGTATTATTCAATTGTTAGAAAAATGTGAACTGTGGAAAGTTGTCATGAGTGAGAAGCAAGTTGAGGACAAAAAGGAGAAAAAATGAATATTGTCAGGTCAAAACTTGATTTCCTTACAGGATTATTAGCTATGCAGAACGAATTAGGTGCCTAGTCTATTCAGGAGTTGCCACAGCAAGTAAACTGAATTGATTTTAAATGATTTTGCCCTGATCAAGCTATGTGTACATTAATCTTAAGCAAGAGGTGACCCATTTTTTTTTCCTGCCAAAATTCATAAAAATGGTACATGAAATTTCTGAGCCCCTAGGGGAACTTTCCTCAAAAGAATGAAGAGAGTGACGTAAGTTTCTTTAAATTCTTCCGAAAGTAGACTTTAATAATTAAAAGCTTGCAGGTTCTTTTTTATGTGATTCCTCCGATAGATTTATTTTTTTACTTTTACGATAAGAGAACTTGGTTTGAACAAACCAAATTGTTGACTGTAGGTGAAGGACTCCCACATTGCTGACTTTTCAATTGTTTTGTTTTTAAACCTGCCTTGAATGTGAAGCACCATATTTGCTGTTTTAAGTAGTGAAATGGAAACGTGTACACCCACTCTCCAATTTTGTACGATTTTGTATTTTCTGAGAAAGAATTTTTCTGAATTTGTGATCTCTTATTATTTCTATGTGGTTGTATGTTTATTTTAAATCTCTTGTTACCGAACACCATGATGTTAAATAATTTTGAATTGAGATGTTACCTATTTGTAATAGAAGGATTGCATTAAAATGCCTGGAAACATTTTTAGGATTTATTCAAATGAGAGACACCTGCACAAGGTCCTCCTTTAAACCTGAGGTTTACATCTAAAGTTGTGTGCAAACCGCATCTTTATTCGCTTATGTACAAGACAAGAAGTTCGCTGTGCTTTTGGGGCTCCCTTTGTAAAAACTGAAAAATGCATACCTATGGTTGGATTTCTGTTCAATTGTTCATTTGCTATAAACAATCTTTACACATGAGAAATTGACAGATTACATGCACTTATCTCCTTTTTAAAGTAGACCAATCATCTTGCAAGCAATGCAAAATTTTAATGAACACTATTTGTTCATTCCTTGAACTCCTCAGTTTTGTCTGTTAATGAGGCCATTTAGACTTAGCATGTTGTGTCATATTTCTTCATTTTGTTACTAAACCATTGCATGACTTTTTTTTTATGTTTTTCAAAAGGTGTCATGTTACTGTCAACTCTTTGATTGTGATAATATATTCCTCCATGTAATAATACTAATAATTCGTTTTTCTCTTTTTTTTCTCACTATTTTGTGATAAAATGGATCATAACTCAAAGAGACGTAGAAAATCTATAGCTGAGTGACAAAATCTAAAAGTGAAGAATTAAATAGAACTTTATTTTTACTTACCCCAATTGATTTTCCCACACTGTCCAACAATCAAATAATTTTGAACCATAAAAATGAAAGTAAACATCACAGTAAGTAGGCTTATAGTTCTAAAATTAGTCTCATGACAGCATTTCAATGCTCTTTGAATTCTGTTAAAGATGTATAGTGTTTCTAACCGAAAAATCAATAATTTACTTTTGCTCTTTTCCTATTCCATAACAGACTATATCTTGCCTTTAAAGCCTGTCAAAAATTATCAAAGAATGGTAAAAACTCTGGCAGGAAAACTAGAGAAGAATTAAAATTCTACACAGCATAGATTAAATAAAACAGAAAATAAAACCCAACAGAATAAATATTAGAAAAGACATGCACTTCAAAAGTAAAAACTGGAAATTGGGAAGAACAAATCAACGATTAGTTGTGAGAGCTTGTCATTGACTCATTGGGCAGCTTCAAATGCTGACTACACAAGATTGTATTGCCAGCATGAAAGTTGAGCAGAATACTTGACCTGGTATCGATTGATCTGTTACCACAATTAGCACATGTAGGATGAACTTGAGGAACCTAAGTGCTACACCACATAAGGCTGCCAGGCATTTGGGAATTAAAACCAGTCCATGAATTTTACTGTAGTTAATGCCACCTGAAATGCCAAAACAATTGCAAAGTTTAAAGAATGGAGAAAGACAGCATAATTGTAGGTATGTATGTTCAGTTAAAAAGAGCCATCACCTAAGGGTTGACTTGATTAGCAAGTGAGAAACTTTGTGACCCATGCTAGGTATATGCAGGGCTCAATTGAAGGACAAAGCACTTACTTAAGTGCTGTTTTCGAAAAAAACTGAGATATATTAACGATTTTAAGAAAAACTAGTCCTAAAGCTTATTTTGTGAAAAATTCGCTCCCGAATTCTAATTTTGAAGCATCGTAAAGTCAGTTTGAACGTTCTCTCCGCCGTAAGGATCCATGTAATTTCGAAACTACTAACACGTATTTCTCAAAATAGCAAAAACTGCACTTAAGCGCCCCGTCCTTCAAGCTCCTCATATTATTTAGTGGACCACAGGAAAGAAAAAAAAACTTATACCCTCCTAGACACTCGACGCGCCATTGTTAGGCACTAATGGACGAAATTATTTTCCTTTTAAATTCATTCTTTTAATAAACGTTATTTCTTGGGTGAGTTTCTGCATTTAAATGGTCTCATCCAGGTGGATAAGGGGGCGAGGGGGAACTGATTAAGTATTTTATGTACAGTGAACCTATCTCGGTCAGTAGATAATTCAAATTTGTGGGGCACCGTCAGCGGGAAAGCCAGGGGGTGAATTTACGTAGTATTACTGGGAAGATTTGACTATGTACGTAAGTCGTATGTAATTAGTACGTACATATGAATCTTTATTACGCATGAACTTCCGTCACAGCGCGCGAGGCGCGGCGGCGGCGGCTTCTCTGTCTACGGATCTACCCCCCGCCCGCCCTCCACCACCTGTCCATCTTGTCCATCATTTTGATGTACGGTGAGAAGACGCCATCTTGTCAATAAATGAATGTTTGTAACAAAAGTGAAGAATAAAGGTAATTAATTTGTCCGTTTATCATATTGTTTTGTCCGAATTTTAGTGCAACTATTATCGAGTCCGGTCGTTGGAAGTGTGTTTTAACGTTTGGTACCATCCGTCGACCCTGTATTCAAGTTTTTCTCGGAATTAAGTTGTTTGTATTCCTTGCTCGTGCTCTGTGTAGTGTCAATGACGACGTATCAAACCGCTTTTCCCGTGAATTTTTCTCTTTGTGAAGGTTTTATCTTGCTCACTGTAATTGCTCAGTAGAATTCTCACTCTTGTTGACTGCAGATTTTTCGGAACCGACCTTTCTTTCCGTCGCTTTTCCTTCTCATTGACCGAATCACCTGGTTTATCGTAAATTTGGGCTATCAATATGGCGATTCAATCGGAAGCTACTCCATGTAAAACTCGCTAATCGCATCCATTCGGCGCGCACGAATTTTCGCAGCTTTTATCACGGCAGTGAAAATTTCTTTCCAACTATGTGATTTGCGATTTTTTCGTCAGTTTCCGTCGGGTTTCTCATATTTCCCTCCGAGCATTGTGCGCCAAGCCTGAATCTAGGCAGATGGCTGGGCTGTAATCCTGCAGGCAGTTACATACAGCTTTATGTACTGTCCGATTGCCGTGTTTATTGTGTTCGGTCCACTTTGCCGCCTGTATGTCTTGACTTCCCTGTGACCAATTACTCAGCCTGTCACCCCTTTTAGTTTCTTTATGGCGCTGTGTTTGCCTCTGTGGAATTTTATCATCTTCAATTTAACTACCCTGTGAGTTTCATCATTGTTAATGAAATACTGATGTATTGATTTCACTTCCAGCCCCTATCACTCATTTTCCTCCTAGAAGGTTAGTCGTAAATCTCTCTTCTTCGCATATCATACAGGGATTGCGTATGTAATCGGTAAAAAAGAAATCTTGTCTAATCAGCTTTATCTACCTCCAGTTTTGATTTCCCGTTCTTACCCATCTCCATTGTTCAAGGTGTAAGTGATTAGAGCGACGGTCTCTCTCATGCGTGGGCTCTGGTTGACGTCAGTTATTATTAGTTAATACATTAACTCATAACCCTTGTAATCCTCTCTCTTTTAACCAGTTAATAAGATTGACATGGTTGTATGAAATCCTGATAGTTATAAGCACTTAAGGTACATAGCTGAAATTGTGTCACGCCATGTCAAAGTGTTATCAGGAACACTGGCACTTGTTTACTTCCTTTCTGTACATAGCCATTTTGTTGCTGTTGCTTACCTTTATCATATTACATCACTTGTCTCTGATCAAACAAGATTGATTGACCATTTTTTTACTCGGGTCCGTTGGAAGATTGGTAAATTGAACTTATCGATGTATAATTAGTGCATGATTTATTGTATGGCTGTAATATTGTTTATTTTAAATAGCAACGGAAGAAGCCTTGTTTCACCAAAGGGCTTTTTTTTAATCGCGGATCAGGGTGGATCGCAGTGAAACGCACTGGATCGGAATCTTGAGCGATCCGGACCGATCCAAGTGTTCCGAGTGATAAAAAAATCCAAACTTGGAATTTGGTTTGATTTTTTAGGGACGGCAACTTCCTCGCATTAGGTTAGGATCACAGTGGATCGCGAGCTCGCCCCACCTTGGAAGAGTGATCCAGCGTTCCACCCTGATCCACCTGGAACGCTTGGATCACGCTGAGGAACGGAATTAAAAAAATACCGATGTTCATCGCGATCCACCGCGTTCCACTGGGATCGGCATAAGAAAAAAGCCCTCAAGTCTGTTTAGCCAGTTGAGTCTATAAGCAGCGGTATGACTAAAATCTGCCCTCATCATTGAAATATCAGTTAATAATAAGTTTACCCATTGGGTGCCCTGAAGATCTCATGTATTAGGATGTATAGATCAGTACTAAGGGTAATTCGTTTAATGGTAACTTTTAACTTATGATTTTGTGGATAGAGCTCATTCATCATGTTGGACGATATTGTCTAATTCTATGCAATCTTATCTAAGAGGATGTAGTAATCTTTGATATGAACTTAAGTTGCTGAATGAATGTGGATTTAAAAGTGAAATTTCGCTTTTATCTTTTCTGCTGATTAGCGGACTATGATTTTTATAGTGCTGTTTTTTTTAATCTACGGACCAAGTTGGAATCATGTCCCTAGAATAATTGAATTGATAGGATTTTCCGTAACTTAATGATAAGGAATTGACCCTTTCAACTGAAATTTCTCTCAATGCATATCTTTTTGCAAGTCGTGTCCTCACTCCTCATGCACCTGATTTATTTTTTGTTTCAGAATGTAGAAAGCACCTGCGCTACATCTGTGGGAAAATGACATCTTTGTTGATCATTTTTCATTGAAAGCTACCGAGTTGTGGTAGCTCTTATCTAGCTACATTCGTTTATTATTATGTAGTCAAGAACTTTGAAGTATGTTAATCGATCCTTTGTATTTCCTTTCGATATCCCAGTATGCGTGAGCAAGAATCAACAAGTTCAGCGGTGTGGCACAAGTGGTTTCTTGATGCCATATCCAAAATAAGATCGCAGAAGCAGCGACCATCAGCAGATAGAATTTGCCATGCTATTCGGCAGCACCACCAATTCAGTGAAGAAATCATTAAAGAACAACTAGAAAAGAGTGTTGCCGAGAAAGCTATTCTTAAGGTTCTCAACAAGGGTATTTGTTCATACAAAGACCCAGATTGTAATCAAACGCGGAATGTGCATGTCTCGAAAGATTCTGATTTAACAAGGATCGTTTATAAAGCAATTAAAGAACTTAATGAGCCAAAGGGATCAACGTTAAAAAGCATCGAAAAATATGTACAGCATTCCAATGCCCTGGATCTGGAGTCGGATCTTGACTTAACTTCTCTGATTAAAACAACTCTCAAGCGTGCCATCGAAAAGAACATAGTTATCCAAGAGGGCAAAGTTTTCAAAATCAACTCTAAAATCAATTTTTATCAGCTGAAGCTTCTTGAAAAAGGTTCGAGGAGTAGTGACTCGGATGATCCTGTAGGCCGGAGATCGTATCGCAGTAGTAGTGAAGATCACGATGATGGTAGGCGAAAATCCCGAGGCAAAAGATCTCCGAGTAAATTGTCAGAAAGTGATTCACCAAAGGTAAGCTCCTTTTAGTTTTTTCATTTCTCTTTCTCCAGAATGAGGTTTCCTCATCATAAAATTGAAATAAGTTTTCTCATCGTCTTTAATTGCTTGCACCATTAAATTCCTGTTGTCATTTCATTCTTTTTCTTTTTTATCACATCTCTAATTTTTAATTTTTTTCATTCATATCTCATAATTTTATACAATACGCCTTTCTGTAGTGCGTTTTAATTGAACTATCAGTCACTAAATGAAGCAAGCATGCCCTTATTTTTGACATTTTTGTAATTAGGTACTCCAAGTATCAACAAAATGTTTACATTTTTTACTACAGGATGGCTGTTCCGGTATGAAAAACATCTACTAAAGTACATCGTGCCCTCACTTAAATATCGTTCAATCTATATTCATATACTTACAAAAAATTATCTCGAAGCATGCAAAGCTCACCCAATCATTTTCGTGTCACTACGAGATCTGAGAAAAAAAATACTTCTTTGAAATCAGCATAACAGCTTGAGAAGTTGTTGACTTACGCAGATTAATGGTACATTTCTCGCTTACCACCAGAATTAAAAATTTGCCATTTTATTTTATATTTTGTCAAAGTGGATTATTCAAATTTGTTTCAGAAATCTGCATTGCCGATTTGTTTGGAATGCCTTGGAACTGAGACTAAAAATCGAACTGGTGTTGAAGAAAAACTTAGCTCTTGTTCTGCCTGTGGGACATGTGTGCATCTATCATGCGTTCCCTCTGGCAGAGGACCTGAACTAGCAGTTTTAATCAATTTGGGTAGTCAATGGACTTGTGAAGAGTGTTGTACGTGTGAAGGCTGTAAGCAATCAAAAGAGCAAGTGAGTAGTCATCCAACAGAACTGTTTAATTTTTTCATCTGCCATAAATGTCTGTATCCATTTTTATTTCTCAGTGCTGCAATGAATGAATAATGGAAATGAATGTTCAAGTTTTTTTTTTAATGTGTATATTTTGCATATTCTTCTAGTGCATATTTTAAGGATTACAACGATTTGGGAAATTCTTGTTTTTTCTGTGAAGATCCCTCATTTTCCCAACGTAAAATTACGCATCCGTGATTTTGCGGGAGACTTGCAATCTTACATTGATGCAAAGCAGCCTTTTCGTTTTCAAATTTGCTATTTTAGGGCCTACCCATTGAAGGGCATTCCACTGGTCATGCAGTCGAGAAGTTTTTGCTCCTCTTTAGGCATGGACTGCGTTAGATCGAATAGATTCTAGAGATGCAGAGAGTTCTTGGCCTCCCCATTTTAATTAACTCTTTTCTCTTAAAAATGTCAAAGTGATGACCTTTTAATGGCTCTTTGACGACGACAATCAAATTTTGCGAAACGAGCATGTGACTTTTACTGCCCCAAAACTTGATTTTGTTGGCCTCCCCATTTTATCAAACAACTAATCGCATGGTCAAAAAGTTTCGGCACCCCTGGTTACTTCTTTTATTTATCAAGAAAACGCTTATGTTTCTGTATGTCATATTTTTTTTATCGCAATTGACTTTCTTTCTTTTTGTCTGTGAGCAGATGTGTTTGTTAAATTGTTATACCTGTGAAAGGAGTTACCATCTCAGCTGTCTGCAGCCTCCAGCCGAAAGAAGACCGAAAACAGCGTGGCGCTGCAGTCACTGTCATGAAACACTCAGCAGTGCCTCATCAGTTACTCCTGTCAAGAAAATGGCCACTCCTACTCCAGTCCGAAAGATGGTTAAACTCAGAGAGAAGAATAAAGAACTACGCACTCAAAGGTAGTTAAAATCATCTAATTTTTTCCATCTGTGTATCAAGTCTTTGTTGTCAATCTAGATGTTGCCTAGCTTGTCTCTGAAAATTTAAGTTCCTTTAGGGACAGGTACCTTAATTATTCTCCAAAATTTTTGTTATTAAGGGTTTCTTAGGGTAGAATATATAGGATGCCAGATCTTGGCACCAAAAGATATATATGAGGAAAAGTGTCAGTAACTTATTTCTCAGCCTGTAAGACCTTTTGTTCAGAATCACAATTTGACCCTGTTACAATATGCACCCAACTGAAATGAAGAAATTTTTCATTCACGGAATCCAGCCTCTTCTCTGGTGAAACTTTGCCAAGAAATGAGATGATTTGTGAGGTATGGACTCTTGATAATTTTATCTTTGTTTAAAGTTACTCTTAGTGCCCCTTAAAAGTTGCAAAGATTTTGGCTAGTAATTAGTTTATTTGCCTTTTTCATGAATGGTCGTATTTTTACTTTTGGGAAGCAAAGTTTGTGACAAACTATATTTACTTCAAACCTTATATATTACTACTTGCATGTTTGCATTATGTTTCCCTAAAATTTGTGTTCATTTTTCTGTTATAGATTAGCAGCGAAAGGTGCAACGCCTAAGCGTAAAGGAAAGAGAGCGAGTGTTGGTGTACCTGAGAGCAGCTCTGAGGATGGTAATGAATCCCCCCCTCTTTCTCCTGTTCCCCCCCTCCTATCCTCTGATGGCTATCGAGAGGAGAAAATCTCTAAAGAAAAACAGAAATTCTTTCGATTAAGTGCTTTCTATGCCCAACATGGGAAAAGTAGGAGACGCAGTAGCGGAGTATCAGGCAAAAGAGCTCGGGGCTCGAGCAGTAGTAGCTCAGATAGCAGCTGTGAGCGCGGAACCAAATTCTCTTCTAGTACCTGTTCTCTCTTTTCTAAGCCCTCGGCTTTCTCTACCTCTAGTCCATCCGCTGAATCCTCTTTTCAGCCAAAATCCTCCAAAGTAGAGATACCCGTTAAGTCAACCCCTAGCTCTCAGCCTTTGCCGAATCTCTTTAATGCGACAGACACTGACACCATGTCAATGTTTTCCCTAGATTGCGTCAGTAATGTTCCGAAATTTGGTAGCAAGGTAGACTTTTCTTCAAGGAATAGGACTAACCATGATCGGTCCATGAGTTTTGGCGAAAAGAAAGGCTTGTTCAGTGGTGATTCATCTCCTTCAAATAGTCTGGAGTTGCCGAAAAACAGAATGTTCTCTGAGCTGTGTGATTCTCCTCCTTTGTTTTCCCACTTGTACCATTCTTCTCCTGCCCACTCCTCTCGACCTACTTCCGCCTCAGCCTCCACCCCTGCCCCTGCCCCTGCCCCAGCCAAAAGCCCCAGCCCTGCTCTTACCCCCACTCCAAAGTCCTCCTCTCAATCTGTATCATCCTCTGGCAAGTCCTTGTCGAGCAAAGCCCCCACTCCTCGTCCGCTCTCTAAGCCTGGCAGCAGCATGTCTTCGTTGATAGCGAGCATTTCCAAAAGTTATCTGGCAAAATCCTCGGGCTTTTCTGGTTTGTCAAGTAGAAAGCCTTTCACTTCAAGATCTTCAGTCCCATCCAGCGACAAACCTTGGGGTTTTGCGGCTGCTGCTGCTTCTAAAACCAGCACCCCTAGTCATGTCCGAAAGGACAAAAAGGTTGTCGCGGAGAAACCTCTGAAAGCCTCGCGTCTTGGTGTTGAGGAAAGGTCCCTTAAAGTATCCCATCCCTCCCCTTTTCCAAAAGATTTCGAGAAAAACAGTGATAATTTTCCAGGTTTTGGTCAAATTAAAGGCCTCTTTGATGCCCTTAGTCATTTATTCACAACTCCAGATGTCAGTCGTTCTCGAACTGTCACAAACTACAGCCTTAGTAGGCGGAGAACCTCTCGTGAAAAAAAGACCTCCACCTCTCCATCTGCCCGACGCTCGTCTCCCCACTCCCCTGGACTCTCGTCTCCCCACTCTCCCAGACTCTCGTCTCCCCTTTCCCCCCAATTTTCATATCGGTCTCCTGCTTCTCCTGATATAGCAATCCCTGAAAACAGCATCGAGAAACCTGTCGCTATTTCGAATGGGAACCTCAAAAAAATCAGCCCTTCGAGCCTCGTGAAATCAGCTGTTCTATTGAAAGCACATGAACATATAACTAGAGAAGCTCTCTTCTCTGGTGAATATTTGTCCCATGGGTTGAAAGGACACGCAGCCTACCCGTACCTCCCTACCTCTCCTTCCTCCAGTTCTTTATCATTCCTCCAGAATGTACCACCTCGCATCGTGAAATCATCTGACCAAACGGGTAAGATTTCTGGCCCTTTCCCCTCTCCTTCTTTTCCAGTTTCCCTTCCCTCGACTCCTCTGCCTTTAATCGCTGCTGCCTTGCTTGTTGTCTTCATATTAGCCACTGCACTCACACTAAGAACCCTCTTTGAGTCAGGATTTTTATTTTACTTTGCTCCCTCCCCACTTTTTTCTGAAAAATTGAAATTGGCAATCCATTGAAGTTCTGGTCTTAAGTAAGCATTCTTATCCTAACAATCATTTTTATTCATTGTTGACCTTTTATGGTATGTTTTGCCTTTTAAGAGAATTAAGTCTCTACTGACATTAAATGTGGCAACAGAACTACATTCTGTCAAACTTATCGCCCCTAAAACTTCTCATAGCAGAGCTTTAGTTCACAAAATGGGAAGTTTTCTTCAAGCAGATTTTTTATCTCTTACTTCCTGCTTTGTATATTACTTTAAACATCAATCCAGCAGATGTGGATCGGCTTCGTGAAGTAAATAGATTTTTGCACTCACTACACCGCTGGAAAGATCAGTACCTTCAAAACATTAAGATATAAAACTTTACTTAGTACAAGAAATCATTCTGCATGATAGATTTTATTTGTTGTTATCCAAGAGCTGTGCGTCATGTTTTTAATATTTTATAGAATTATACAAACACTCTTTTCACACTATGTTAATGAATCCAAATATTTTTGATAAACTGCATGATGCAGCTGTCTAGGAATGAAATGGTTTATCTAAATCCTAAAATAGCAGGATGCTTATAAGAGCGGAGAAATAACAGGCTCTAAATTTTTATCATAGGAATTGCAAAAACGTGCTCTCCCACTTTTTATGAGGAAAAAAGTGTGTTCATAGTTATCAATGTTTCAGTTTATCTTACTGAAACCTCTCTTGTTTTCAATATTAAGTTCATGTTCGAAATAGGCCTCGGTTTCACCTGTCTTTAAAGTCGAGCAACCACTGTAAATGTGTGTATTGTGAATTAATGAATCCAAGGTGGAAGAAACCATGGCATGTCCTAAGGCAGTAGATGATGCCATACACAATGTTTTTTAAAAGGATATATTTCCGTTGACAATGGACGCAAAAACTTGGCGTCTGAACAGCTCTTATTACTTTTTAACAATCTAGAAGCCTAAACTGTCGAACCACAATTTTTGACTAGTGCAACTGACTCAAGTTGCTACCACACCTATAAAGAGAGGGTACCTTGTTATTGACAAATATTTATTGTATTCATTTGGTTTTATCATCAGATGATAGGATCTCTCTTACTAGATTTTAAGCTGTCATGGTGTTGGTCTAATCATGGCAAAATCTGTATGAAAAGTCTTTACACACACTACCATTTGCATGATTTTTTCATCATGATTTATGTCAAAAAGTGAGACTTAAAAGAAAATTGAATCAATGGAAGGTGAAATTTTGCCATTAAAGGTCAACTATTCTGCAAAATGTAATCATACGCTCAAACGTTTTTAAATATGAAAAAAGAATAGGCATTCTGCTGTCAAAATCCAGGCTAAGTCCAGAACTCAATGTGGGCCTTTATTTATTCATGACATCTTTTCCTCTCCTGTTTTGCTTCGATTCATCTCGACTGTAATTATTTTCATTTCTCAGTCCTTCTTCCTGTCTCTGATCTAATTAGTTTTGGTGATAGGTCTCTTGCTAGGCTGTACATACTTTCAACCAATAAAAGACATCTAGCGTAACCATATTGACTGGTAAGAAACCATTTTTCCCATGGTTCAGAGGAAAAATTGGATGATTTCCACGCAAATGGTAATGTCATTGACATAAACTTGCATCAATGCATGCAAAATTACCCCACTCTGAAGGGAATACTGACCAAATTCTTTCAGCCAGAAAATCCTGTTAACCCTCGGTAGTTGTAAAATGACCTTCCAAATCGCTCCACTTGCACTTTTCTTGTAGTATTTGGGTTGATGTGTATTTCAGCCAACAATTTTTTTACATTAGCACCTTGAGGGTGTCTGGCAAGTAAGGCAATTCTAGAAGTCCAGCTGTAAAAAATCATTTAAAGTTACTATCTTCATTTAGGCCTATCTAAATTTCTGTAGTGTATGTATGCATTATCTTGAAATAGAATGAATTGCGTATTAAAGAGGGAATCTCAGGAAAAACTGATGGGAATGTAAGCTCACATCCACTAAATATGTTACAATTAGTTAGGGTCGCGAGTCTCCCCTAGCCCAGTGTCATCATTGCACCGGCAAAGAATTTTAGATATATGCATGTAACAAGGCTAAAAACAAGACTTATGGAAAATTTTGCCAAATTTTCATCAGTCAATTGAATGATTGAGGACAGTTGAAGCACAGTCAAACTGCTCAAAGTCGAACCATTCCAGCTTTTTCAACTCATACTATCATCTAAACATTCTATGTCGTGTTGTGATTCATATCACAATGTAAAAAGGGGCTGATAATCATAATTCAAGTAGAGTATTTTCCATACCGTCAATTAGATCATTTATTAGTAAAAGACTTAATGAATCATGCTTAACTCACCAACTCTACTTTCACTAAATTCTCTTCTGACTGCTATCTCAAGCGCGTTATATTCCGTTGTTCATTTTTTCTCAATTATTTTTCTCACAATAATTTTGCAAGAATTATTTGTGAAAAAATGACTTGAGACTTAGACATTGTATAGCTGTGACACTTTCAACTGAATTTTGTTGTACTAATGATGATTTTGGATCAATATTAGTATAATTTTTGTATCATTTTTTACTGCTGGGTATCATGAGATATGTGCCATTGAAATTATGAAACCATGTAACTCATGTGTGGTGTTGGAAAAATTCGACCCTTATTTTTGTCTCTTAAGTAACTCATCTAGACATTCTGGTGAACGTTTCAGAGAATATGTTTAAAACAACAAAGAAAAGTAACACAATAGTGTTTGCAAGCATGAGGGTAGGTCATTCTTTGAAAAAGTAAAATGTGATAAGAAATCTGCAGCACCCCAAATTGAGATGAGATTTGTGGTTTTGTAATTTCATCATTGTGTGTTCTCTGGATACTGATGTTAACATTTTGATGAGATGAAGAATTTTTGAAATTAAGCCATAACGAGGAAATGAACAAAGGGTTTAGGGTTCACAAACAAGAATTTTCACTGGTTTTCTAGTTTTGCACCTTTGAAATTACTCAAAAAATCTTGAACTGCTTACTGCAATTTTATTCCAAAAAGTAGCATCTCTCATTCATCCACAGTCAATGGATTATTGAGACAGCGAGTTTTCGTCCATTAAGTCTGTAACCAGTAGTTTTAGGATTGAAAATTTTTTCGAACTTCTTTTGATGTTGTGTAAGAAAATAATTGATGTATGAAATCAATTAATTTCATTTTCGAAATCAATGCTTCACCTTTTTTGTTTATTTTTTGCACTTTAGATTATTCACTTAGTTGCATTATGCACTTAAATATGAATGGATTATTTCTACCAAAGCGAGCATTGTAATCACATACAACCCAAACTCATTTGCCCTCAGGGGGCAGTACAAATTTTTGTGCTCATTATAATACTTCTCTAAGTCTTTAAACTCTCTAATGAGTTACATAGTAATCTTATCGGAATCACTCCTGAAAATATCAACAGGATGAGCTAGGGATGTAAAAGAAACTCTTGGTTCAACTCACCTAGTTCTTTAGCAAAATCAAGCTCTTACTTCAGTGTGGAGAGTGAATAGCTTCTTTAATCTAAAGATTAGACATCATACTTGAGCAAATTTTAGGGCAACACATATTTACTTCCAAGTTTACTGAATTATTTAAGTTAACTAAACCAAAGTTCATTCCCTCAAAAATTTCTTGACTAATTCCTCAATGGGTTTTGTATTTGGACAAAATGTTTAGTGCAAGTAATGGTCTCTTAAATTTGATAAAATCACGCTTAGAAAATGACAAACTTTACTCCTTGAGAATGTTTCTTCACCCTTATATGACTGTCATGTACAATCATTAAATCTTACAACGCACGCCGATTTGAGCAAAAAAGAGCCAAGCCAATGCAAATTGAAGCTGAGAGGAAGAGATTTTTAAATTATATAACTGATCAAGACTCGGAGCAAAAAATAAATTTGAACCCTCCTACCCCCTTTTTTAAAATGAACTAGTCATTTCTTACGGAGACAAAAGTTTCAAAAAAGGAAAATACACGACTAGCTGAGCTCACTATACTTTTAATTTAATTTTTCAAGAAATATGGATTGGTTCCTTTTTGTGTAGTTTTTCCATACTTTCTCATAAAATTTTCTCATCAACGTATCCCGACTAATATTTTCCTGCTAGCTCATAAAAATCCCTTCTCCTATTCTTAACAATCATTTTTTCCCAGCTCATTTCAGGTTTCTCTTCTTTTTCTCCTGTATGCTACATCCTAAGTCCCTTTCATTTCTTTTATATCAGTAAATGTCTTCCTCTCTCTTTTTTTAAATGATGATTGATTTGATATGTTAGGGGTCTTACTTCAGTAAAACTGGCATTCAATTTATTATGTCACTCAGGTGAAAAAGTAAAAATGTAGGAAATTTTTAAATTTTTTTTAAAAAAAGAAAAAAAACAATTTTTCATGCTTCAGCCTGCAAAACACTATCGCATCTAATTTGGTAATTGATCTCCGTGTCTAGTCTTCATAGCCAAATCTCATCTTTGTTCCTTCAAATTTTGAAAATTTTTTAGTCTAAGTCCGTATGAATCCTCAGATTTATGTGTAAGGGTTATTCCTTTTTATTCATCGCAAAACTCAAAATTTTTGTATTTAAAAACATGAAATATATTGAATGCTAGTTTGACTCAGTTGGAACCTTGTGACGAATCACATTAATGTTGAGAACATGTTTGTGTTTGTTCCGACACTGTTAATAACTGAACATCACTATGAAAATAATCTTTGGAAGGTGGATGTTAATTTTGATCACAACCATGCCTTTAGAATATACTTTGTGTACTTAAATAATGTTTTTATCCATTCATTTTTAACTTTTGCATCAGTCTGTTATTTATCGTATGTCTCACTAATTTTTGAAGAGCAGGCAACAGCTGACTTAGGCGACACTTCATAGTTGACGAAATTGTAACCAAACAAACACAACAATTTTTCAGAAAGGACATAGCATCTGAAATTTCAAGAATATAGCAGGATTTTTCTAGACCCGAAGCTTAAAAAAATGAACAAAGTTGTCAACAAGTTCTTTCTACAGAGATTTATCTGGAAAGAATTGGTTGAGAATCAAACCACATCCAAATTAACAGTACACATATTAACATTTGTTAGCTACAAACAGAATATACAGCTATATTTAGCTTATTGTAGCTATAAACACTGTCAATATCCTGAGCACAAATTGCCCAGTCAATGTTTAAAGCATCAGTTCTGTTTGATCCTGCTCAGTGAAACCAAAATCGATAATTTTGTCTGAATTATGTACTGATGTGATTGAAAGTATTTGCATTTTATTTGGTGTTGCATTATATTTCAGTGGGCCAGTGGCATCAGTAACAAACTACATTTTAACCCTAATAGTTGGGAGCAAAATTTTCTCCTCACGTCTAGAGAAATACAATTTATTGGTAAATGATAAAAACCTAATATAATCAGCAAATGCACATAATGTGTTGTACCTGTTGGTGTCTGAGTTGCATGTAATGATGAATATTGTTGGAGTTAACCAATTTGTGCATTGGAATTACTTTTACACATGGTTAGGAAATAGCGGAAGGTAATTTTAGAATTTTTACTGTTTTATTGTGAGTAATAATGTGTTGTTTTGTGTTTGTTCAGTTATGCAAAGCATTGCAAAACTCTTGGCCTCTGATTTGCCTCCCGGTGTGACGCATAGAGATGTAGAACTGTTCAAAAAAACAAGAGAACGAGCAATACAGGTACAATTACACATCATTTTACTTTTTCCCCCTTCATTTAAGTGTATGTGTTGCATGGATCATGTGTTTGAATTTAGTATTCTCGTTAGTATTATTATTAAATTATGAGGGCAAGATGAAGAATAATGACTGCTAACTTTGTACATTTTCATCCAAATTTGCTACGAAATATTTACAGCAGCAAAAACAAAATGAAATCAATTAAAGTAAGTACAAAATAAAATTCTATTGAAACTTTTGGAGATAGAAGCACCAAGGTAAATGAATATTTTGTGTTGATTTTGGTGAGAGAGGAATCTCATTTCCTTGCGATGAAAATATATTCTAAAAGACTGAAAGAACAGCTTCAAAAAACTAGAATTAAGATGGTCCTCCTGCAGAGGAGATTCCCAAGATTTATTATGATTTATTTATTTATTAATAGCGCTTGTCTGCTCAATAGCTCATTTGCTTTTAAGATCTATTGCCAATCACTTTATTTTTGTACCTTGTAGATTCGCAAACACACGATCTGTTTGAAGTGAGGGAAATATTTGATAGAAAATTTCTCAATCTACCAATCCAAAGTTTCGTAATTTCTTTCGTCAGTTTAAACTAATAATCATAATGTCTGATGCACGGATACGGGAAGTTCTTAGCCTTTCCATTTTAAAACATCTTTTTTATGAAAAATTTCATGGTGATAATTTTTTGTGCTCCATACATGAAACTTGCCGAAATCTCACCAAGAAACATGCAATATTTACCAGGATTTTGAAGAAAAAAAAAGTTTTTATCACCTTAACTTCGTGGAAAGTAAGAAATTTCTATTTTTACCCTCATGCAGGCTGACACTCCCATTTTTGACTTGTCAGTTGCAGGGTCCAAAAGTTTTTGCACCCTTCATCCTAGGGCTAAAGGATATTAAATGTTTGTGAATATCTGTGTGTTTAATGCTACATGTTCAATTTTCTTCAATAACCTTTGCATCAACTTGTGTGTTCCCAGACCATGTCCTGTGAGCCTCCTGCAACTGAATTCTCAGTAGGATCAACAGCTGGAATTCATGAGGCTCCTAGATGCCCTGCTGCAATAGAATTTGGGAAGTACGATATTCAGACGTGGTATTCTTCACCATTCCCTCAAGAATACGCTAGGTTAGTCTTTTCTGTTCTATTCTCATCACTCAATTGCCTTCAATTTTTAAACCAAGCCCAAAATATTCATTTCATTAATTTCCAATAACTTCAAAGCTTCTTTAAGATTCAAAAATTGAATTTCAAAATCTTAAGCCGCCCCTCAGAGTAGAGAGTAATGAGAGTAAGAGATCAAGATGAGAATCCACTAATTCCAAATTCCTAACTTTTGATTAAAGAGAAAGCAGTTCTCCTGAGTGTCACAAAACTTCCTGATTGTATCAGGAAAGTCTGAAATCTATTTCTGATAAAGTTTTCATCAGGAGCTCTGTAAGGTATGTAATTAAGTAAAAAAATGAGATTCAATGATGAAGTGAAAGATGAGAAAAGGTACCCGATTAGCAAAGTCAGCACATTACCTGTTAATGTGTTTTAGCATAACTATTCCCCCGGGACCAAGATAATTGGCAAAACAAATTGGCAAAATGTGAAAGCTTCTAACCACAGTTACTGTCAATTGCTGAAATGCTTGCACTGCCTATTGGTTACATTTGAAGCTATTATCCTACTGCAGTTCTGTGGAGGACCAGTATACAGGAACTCTATCACAGAGCAGAGCCAAGAAAAACGTTGATCTTTGTGATTGTTTAGGCTTGGTGCGATCAACAAAAAAGTGTTTAATGACTATCCTGGCAGTGAACGTTAAAAAACAATCAAGTTCACAAATAAACAGCATCAAAATTTAGTCTTGAAAAATTCAGCAAACTACTCATCAAACTTAAAAATAACCTAAAAAAATGTTGCATTTCATGAGCATTTCTCTCCCAATCCTAGCTAATTCTGCTGATTCTAAAGTTAGGCTGAGATAATTACAACTTATGTTTTTCTCCATTCCAGGTTACCTAAATTATTTCTTTGTGAGTTCTGTCTTAAGTACACCAAAAGCAAGGCACTACTTCAAAGGCACCAAGAAAAATGTTTGTGGAGGCATCCGCCAGGCACTGAAATTTATAGATTTAAAGAATTATCAGTATTCGAGGTAAGTGATGTCAAATCTTTCTGATATTCATCGCAAAATTTGAAACTTAAAGTCTTTAACGCTGAAACACAAGTCGCAACTTTTGATCAAAGAAATCATGAGTACTCTTTCCATCAATTCATAAGTCCTAATAAAAGCAGAGGGGCGAGGGAAATAATATGTCTCATTATCGACTCGTAAAAAATGGACAAAGTACTTGCATTTCTCATCACCATAAATCTTATTAACATCACCATCATCTATTGATAGTTGAAAAGAAAACTTAAACTTTAATGATTCCTTTTTAACAACTAAAGTCCCCTGAGATGGTAGAATAAAATTGGTGCATTATGCTAAAGCAAGTGGCCCAAACATAGGTTCAGAGTTTCTGAAATCATCATTGTTGCTTAGCAAAACAACATTCACAATGAGGAAAGAAGTTCAATCTTCCTTCATTAAAATGAACCCTATTTGTTAAGGAAAAAGTTAAAAAATTCTACCATCCAAGTTTTTGCATTTTTCGTTTTAACTGTAATTTTTTTTTCTTTTTCCAGGTTGATGGCAATGTAAACAAAATTTACTGTCAAAACCTCTGTCTTCTAGCTAAACTTTTTCTAGATCATAAAACACTGTACTATGATGTAGAGCCTTTTTTATTTTATGTTCTTACAATGTACGACATCAAGGTAAGTTGTACCTTCATTTTTTTTTCTAACAATTGTTTTTTTTTTATGAAATAGAACTGTGAATGTCAAGCACAAAATGAATACAGTGAAACCTCGGTAAGTCGGTTCCCGGATAAGCCGGTAACCCGCTTTAGTCGGTAGAATCGCCCGGTCCCGTTTATCACCCATCTAACACAATGCTAAATAAGTCTCGGTATCTCGGTTTGGTCAGATTCTGAACCCGCTTAACTCGGTGAAATTTTTCCATCTGGACCTGTTTTTCTTCGATCGTCACCCGTGATCAAGCGTAGGTAGTGTTTCCGTGCGCGGTGCGGGTCGGGTCAAGTTACGCCACGAAGGGTGAGCGAATCTCCGAGAAAGCGCAGCGCAGTGCGAGAAACGACATCGGAAATAGAGAGATAAGGAATCAAAAACACTCGATAACGACACGAAAGATGAGAACAGTAGAGAATAGGATATCTGATACCGCGTGTTATCTTATCGCGCGTGTGAAAACACGCATGCATAATTAAGCAATTTCACGCATCGATGAGTTGACAGGTCCAGTCGGCACCGGCCCCTCTCCCCCTACCATCTTGCATTGCCCTTCCCCGCTCCCCCCAGGAATCTTCCGCAGAGTTTTTCGGGGATTTTAGCGAGTATTGATACGTTGCATTTTCAGTTCAACGACCCGCCATAGCGGGTGGCCGCGGCGCATCACCGCGCGGCATGCCGCGGCGCATCACCGCGCGGCATGCCGCGTGGGGTGCGCGGGGGGTGATACGCAATGGGGTGCCGCGGCACCCCAACATAGATTAACCCGATGACTTCATGATGCCCTGACACTTTCAACACGCAATTTCAAGTGCATTTCATGAAATTTTACCATTTAGTACCATTTTCTTCGATCAAATGGCTCTTCAAAACACTCCTATGAGTCACTCTACACGCACGTTTGCGTTTGTCCAATTTAGGGCGCGAAATTTGAAAAAGCGCGGCAGGAAAAGTGGCAGTCCGCTTAAGTCGGTAACCCGCTTAACTCGGTAAATTTCCTCGGTCCCGATGGAAACCGAGTTACCGAGGTTTCACTGTACTGATATAACTCCAGTGACACAACATGAATCCTCCCCAACTTTTTTGAAGGATGACAAACCACCAAATAAATGAGTTTAAAGTTGGGTACCTTGAGTCTCAATTTCTATGTGCATAGCCAAGGATTTGTGGTTAAAATTGCATAATTTTTTTTGTACATCACAGCATCATTACAGTGCGCCCAATAGAATTTGGGAAAAATGAAATGCGCCTGTCAACATATTTTATAGTGTAGAATGCCGTTAATGTGTCAACTCATTTTCGTCAATATTGTCCGCTTAGCTGTATTGTTGTTCCTCAGCCCTCAAAGTGCCCGAGTAAAAAATTGCTGAATAAGCTCATTAGCTGAGAGATACTCTGTAGAATTTGCTTAAGAATTGCAGTTGGAACATGTATGAGATATCTTAGTATCATCCCCGGAAGCTTCACGCCTCCATTGCAAGACTCTGGTCAAATTAATGATATTTATCAAACCTCTCGTCATCACCTCTGAATTTTATCATTTTTTAATGGCTTGTACAATGATGTATTTTTCTCTTTTTTTTGCAGGGTTATCATTTAATCGGTTATTTTTCTAAAGAAAAACATTGTCACCAAAAGTACAATGTTTCATGTATTATGACAATGCCCCAGTACCAAAGAAAAGGCTATGGCAGATTCCTCATTGACTTTAGTAAGTATCTCTCCCTTAGACCATTTATTTTAAGCAGTTATCACTTAGCACAAAGGAGAAACCATTCGTGATATGAAAACAGTTAGCTAAGCACATATATCAGTCACACATGTATGTTTTGAAGTTGTTTCTGTCAGAATAGTGAAAAAAATACTTCCTCTCTACCCTATGGGAGCGAGAAAGTAAAAATTACACTGGTCTAGATGCTGAATTTATGCATAGTTCTTGAAGTAGTTAAAATCAGCTAAAAGTTCTGACATGAAGTCAAACACTAAACTTAGGGTAACGTTGCATGGTGTCAACGAACCCAAAATCTGATCGCGGAGTCAACTGTTGTTGACGTCGGCTAGGCTAAGTAAGTTTAAATTAGGTGAAGTCAAAGATAGGCAGGGTACAGGTCAGGGAAGGATTGGTTCAGTGAAGTTAGGTCAGGTAAGGTAAAGTTGGATTAGGTTAGGTTAGGTAAAGTTGGGTAAGTTTAGGTTAAGATGGGTTAGGTTAGGTTACATAAGAGTAAATGACGCAAGGAAAACTAGACTTACAATTTGAAAGATGTTATAGTGGAAAGTTATTAGTTGCGTTGACTCCGCCTTCATCTTTTATAGGAGGCAGAATTTTTTTTATTTTTGGATGATCACGGCGTCATCCAAAACTTAGAAAAACTATTTGTTGACACCATAATCTTTGATACAATGCTATGTAATCAAACTTACATATTGTCTGAACCTTCTGTCACTATCATATACCAGCGTTTACAAATTCGCAAAGTTTTATCCAAAAGTTTGAACGCTTGCTAGTGTTTGCCGAACTGGAGAAAACTAAATTACATAAGTTTTAAAATTTCTGTACCAAAATTTTAAAATGAGTCTGAACCAAAACCATCGTCCAGTTTGAACCTCAATGTATCTATTTGATTAGCAGCTAAATTTTCATTCCATCATTGAATTGTTTCACGTACTATGACATACTTCATACTTTAATGTGAATTACAGGTTACCTGCTATCCAGAGAAGAAGGGCAACCAGGCACTCCGGAGAAACCTCTTTCAGATCTCGGTCGAGTTTCCTACCATGCCTATTGGAAATCCGTCATTTTAGAGTATTTAAATACACATAGATCTGAGAAATTAAAAATAGATCGAATAAGTAAAGATACAGGTAAGTTTTCATTGTGCATTTTCCTCTGCTTTATCATGTTTTAATTTGCAGTTCTGATCGCAATGACATTCCATTTTGTCTTTTTGAGCCCTGATAGGTTCCGCCGGAAACCTCGTGTCAATTCTTGAGTTCTTTGCTTTAACAACATTAAACAGCAAAAACAACTCTTAAACATTAACAACAATAAAGTTTCTGAGTTTACTGAGCTCATAAAAGGACCTTTTCTTATTCTTCCACTACGGATTCCACCGCCATAACAATCGTTACGCATACTGTTAAAAGCTTCGAGCACACGGTGCAAACCCTGTTTTAGGCGATCCCATTTTTTGGCTTTTTCAAGTCAACTTTTCTTCCGGTTGTCGTCTTAAAAAAAAATAGGAAAAGAATTGTAAGCTTTGTTCACTTACCATTTTCGAGTGGCACAATAAGAAAAAATGACGTAACTGACCCACTCAATGCAATTATGTCAAATCTCTGCTTCTTGAATACTTCCTCAAGTTTACACATGTCTAATTGGCACTGAAAGGTACGTGTTTTTGAACCCTTTTTTTTTTTTTTGCAGGCATTTTCAGTCGTGATATTGCTTTAACGCTGTCTCTTCTGGGCTTTGTCGCTGCTCCAGAAGACAATGACGATGTAGTGCTGGCCATAGATTGGGATCTTGTCGATACGCATGCAGAAAGAGTAAAAAATAGCAAAACCAGGATACCAATTGAGCCAGAATGCCTCCGGTGGACGCCGCTAGTCATGGTTATCGCCAACCCCTACAAACCACCGCCTCCCATTGAAGATAAACCTGTACGTTCTCAGGAAATGTTTTATTTAATACTTTTAATTAAAATTTTTTACAGTTATCTGTGAATAAATGATTGTTGAATCATGAGATTTCCGGAGGTCTCTCTGAAAGGAAACATTTGTGTTACTAAAGCCACTGCTTTTGAACAATTATTTTTATTAAGAGGAAACAAGCACAGTCATCTCAATAACTATGAAGTGTCTCAAGCGTACTTCTTTGTAGCCTTACAGTCCACATTTTAAAAGCCTGCATTACTGATGCACCCCTTAAGCTTGTTATAAAAGGCCAGTTTTATAATGAATGCATGTCTTTAGATAATTTAGTTGATCAAGTTTTGAACTTGAGGAGTCAATTTTTGTGATTTTTACTGCCTCTGAAGTTTTCAAAATAATGAGATAATTTTTTTTTGTTTCTTGGAATTATACCTACTTCACATTTTACACTAATAATTATTTTTCTAAATAATAATTTTTAATCAATATTTTTGAACTATTTTTTATTTTAAATTATCTCTTGAAATTGTCAATCACTAATCCATTTCTCCTCTTTGAAGGTGGACGATAGCACCAAAATGGAAACAGAAGTCTCGGATGATGTCAAAACTGAAACAGATGCATGTAAAACAGAACCTGTAGTTGAGCCGGTGAAAAAAGGAAGAGGTCGCAAACGAAAGAGGCCACTAGAAGAGAGTGTAGTAGAATCTCCAGGTAACAAGGCGGCAGTGGAACCCGAAACGCCTATTGAACCACCACCCAAGAAAAGATCTCCAAAACAACTAATGGGCAGGCGGTCAGTTGGCAGACCAAAGCTCAACAAGCCACCAGTCAAGAAGAGTCCATTGAAAAAGACACCTGTGAAGCTAAGTCCACCAAAGCAAAAACCAGGACCCAAAACACTTAAACAAAGGTAATGAGCAACTCTCTTTTAATTTCAGTAGTTTAAAAACCAAGAAGTCACTGACAACTCTTGCAAATGATAAATAAATTGAAGCTGTGATATTTATAAACATTTTTGATGATTTTGAAATGTATATATTTATTAAAAATGCCATTTCATTGGATGTATAGGAGTAGTCAAGCAGACGCAATACAATTTTCACCATCAAGATAGGTGTGTCATGAGGGATGTTAAATTTCAAATTTCAGTTGACGCATTTGATAAGCTGTCCCCATGATAGCAGCCTTTAAATTGTTTTATATCGTATTCTGTTAATGATCTATGGAGCTATTTGATCTTTCATTATGTCCTCTCTCTGTACTTACTCTTTTTTGGACGTATTTCTATCAAACGGAACTAAGCGCCATAGGGGGAGGAAGGTTGAGGGGGGCTTGGATTGGCGGCGGAAACGGGCGTCCTGCTTGTTCCGTCCTATACTCGCAATGCTTTTCCATGGTGCTTAGTTCCGTTTGACACAACGTGCTATCCGGGATTCCAAATTCCTCAAAAGGAACTCAAATTGGCGCTTAGTTTCATTTGAGAGAAATACGTCCATTTAAAAGTCTCTGTAAGATAAGGCATCAAGTTCTGCTACCTTTTTTCTCTGAAAGCTTGAAATAGTGTAGAATTGTGGTTTTTCCTCTTTTAACTGTCATTTGTTTTTTGTTTTTTTTAGGTCCTTAATTAGTATGTTCAAACCAAAATCACCTCGGAAAGGTGATAAAGAAACTAGTATGCCAACTCTTAAACCGGTTGAAAATCTGTCAAGGCCCAGGCGAGAAACCTCACCGCCTCCTCTCTCACCACCATTACCACCAAAAATGAAAGGTGTAAAAGGTGTAAGAACTCCAACCAAAGTAAAAGATAGACCTGAGGAAACCGAAAAGGCAGTGAAAGCAAGCAAAGTGGAAGAAGCACCAGTTCAACAGGCAACCTCTCCCCGAAAGTACACCAAAGCAGTGAAACCTATCAAAGTTGCTAAGCCCGTGAAAGTGAAACCACCTAAAAAAATAATTATCAAAAAGCTAGGGAAGAAGAAGCCAACAAAGAAGAAGAGGCATTGGAAAGTGGAGAAGAAGCGAGAAAGGCTGCGAGCTGAAGCCAAGGCCAAAGCAGAAGCCAAGGCAAAAGCACTGGCAGAAGCAAAATCTGACACTGAACCCACCACCGAAGATGATGCCAAAATCAAAACAGACTCTGAAACCAATGCTGAAACTGAGCCTGAAGAAGATCAAGTGCGGGTGAGTCTCTATTTTTTTTTCCTTTTTCATTTCTTAGTTTGCAGTCCATGGCTGTCTTCAGCAACTTTGAATTTATCATTGAAATTAAAAAATCGCTGCTTTAGAAATAAACGAACATTATATCCAAGGAGGTATTTCTGACAGTGTAACTTTACTTTTATTTGGATAGAGTCCTCTTAGATGATACCTCTCTCAGAAGCTCTCAAAGTGCATCTGCTTTCAGCGCTACGGTTCTTGGCTCTGAAAATTATTATGCTAAATTTTTTCACTTCCCTGCTTGATATCCCCATAAAATTTCCAAGGCTGAAAACATCAAGAATGGGAGGGTATCATCGACATAATAGATGTGCCAGATCTCAGAGTTAGTACTCATTTTACCCTTCCCCTTTTTCCTTTCTGGCCCATCAATGAATCTGATAGTCATTTAGGTGACATCACAAATACTGGGAAACCCTATACGTATTTTTGAGGATATATAATATCATTTAGGGTGTGGAATATGAGAAGGTAGACCACACGCTGTTCAGATAAAGTGCTTTTCAAAAGAAAAATAAAGAAAGCCTGGAAATTCACTGAACATCTCCAAAAAAAATTGTATCAAAAGTGCTTGAACTCAGTTTCCAGGGTTCTCTAACTCTACATAGCTTCTAGGTAAGACTGAAACAGTGAAAGCTACTACAATATGCAGTTGGCAAGCTGTGGAAGAATTCTGTGTACTCCTTTGTCTCTCACATAAATTAAATTGTGTCACTAACTTGATGTGTTATTTAACTTATTCCTTGTTATGCACTGTGAATGCCTATGCTGAAGCTTTCTGAGTTTGCAGAACCCATCATCAGAAGAAAGATACAGCTCTATCTAGACTCATGGGTTGATAATTATCCTCTGCGTAATTTACTGTATTACATGATACTGAAACTATTCTTGATAGGCAATCAAATTTAATAACAGATCAGGAAAAAAGTGAAAGAGTTTTTCAATTAAAAAGAAAAGAATTTTCGTTCTTAGAACATAAACACTCACTCTTTGTTGCCTTGAAAAGACTTTCCCTCTGCTTCCCCTCAAAAAAAAAATTGTTCAGGCAACCTGTTGATCTATCATTAATTTGCTGACTTTCTTCTTCCAGAATGACAAGACATCAAAATCTCCAGGATCTCCAAGATCACCGAAGCCAATGGAGTCGGAATCCTCATCAAGTTCTTCTAGTGAGTCAGCTGATGAGGAGGAAAAAGAAGAGAAGGCAAGTGAGACACTAGATGAAATGAATATTTCTGAAAAAATTACTGAACAGAATGAAAAACCAGAGACTCCCAACCCTGAAAAGTCTTCTGAGGACCAAACAGAGAAGAAAATTGAAAAGAGGCCTGTGGACAGTGAAAAGGAGGAGAAAATAGTGCCATCCAGAGACCTTTCGGAAGATGATCATACAGATGAAGAAAGTGAAATTGTTGAGAAATGTGCCGAAAGCAGAAAAGATAGTAAAAAGCCCAGTGAAGCAATTGTCACAAGGAATGTAGAAGATGAAAAACCAAAGAGTGAAGCGTCAACAAGCGAAGCATCTAACAGTGAAGCCTCTAACAGTGAGGCTTCCAACAGTGAATCGTCCAATAGTGAATCCTCAGCTTCTGAAAATGATCTAGGTGGCAAAAGCAACACAAAGCAACCTGAAGTCATGGAAAAACCGTCTCTCCCGAAGACTCCAGAAGTCCATCTTGATCCAACAAATGAAGATTCGAATCATGATGTAGAAATGAAAGACAGCAATAATGATATCCAAAGTAAGTCTGAACTTCCAGGGAGTATATTTTCATCAAAAGCTGTGGAAAGCGAAGTTAGAGATAGTAAGGAAAATAGTCATTCAGATGATAATGGAAAATTAGAAAATTCAGAGAAAATTGAAAAGATAGAGGAAGGCGAAAAACTACGTTCAGAAAGCATAATGAAAAGTGCGGAAGGTGACAAAACTGAGTGTGGGGATAAGTGGGAGCGAACAGAAGATTTTGTGGTAGAGAAAGTGGACAAGAAGAAAGAAAAGAGTCTCGAAATGAAAGTATTGGAAAAAGAAAGAGAGGAGACTCCAAAGATTCTGCCTGCAGATGAACCAAGATCTTTTAGCGAAGTCACGAAGGAAATCCCAAAACAGAGGGACTTCTATGATCGCCGTGGACCCTCTGTGCTTTCATATCATGAGAAAACAAGTACTGACGAACATTTTGTAGCCCGATCAGGATTAGAGTCCAAAGAATCATTCAAACTGGCTGATAAAAATGCAGCATTGAAACCCGAGACTGCCCTGGAACCTATTAATCCCAAAGACAAACTGCTAAGGGATGTGTACGACCGTAAAGGAACCAGTGCTCTCACTTCTCGTGACAAAGAAACGATAAACATGGATCTAGGCTCCTCTGTTGTTCCATCCAACCCATACATTGATGTAAAAGATACCAAGCAGATAGAGAAATTCCAGAAGAGTGAAACAGAAGTGGTGAAAGAAAAGCATCGCATGAAAGATTACTATGACAGAAGAAATGCAGCCATACTGTCTTACCAGGAAAAAACTGTCGGTGAGTACTGCCCCAGTTTGGTCCCTGGTGGTCCTCTGTTGTCATTGCCGAATGAGAGTGAAATGAAGATGCTTCACAAAAGTGTAACACCGAAAAATGGCACAGACTTGCTTCCCACATCCAGTAAAGGGATGGAACTGAATCTCCCTGTTAAGGAAACGCCTAGCCAAAAAATACCTGAGAGCTGTGATAAACCTATGGCCAACTACAATAGTATGGTACCTCAAGTAGAGTCAGACAAAAGCGGAAAAATGAAGAGCAAACACTCGGACTCGAAAGAAAGGGATAGATGCAATAGAGACTCTGTAATGAAAGAACAAAAGCGCTACAACGATATGGCGAAAGAAAAACACAGACAAAGAGAGTACTATGATCGTCGGTGGCCCGGTGAGTCTCCACCTGTAGTCGTCTTGGACGATGAACGCAGCAAAAGCAGTACTCCTCATAGTGCCGAGCCGGTTAAGCATACTCCACCTCATTCGGATATGCAGAGCATGGGTGTTTACACCCCTGATTCAACAACTAATTCTGTGCACTCTTTGCACTATGGTCAGTGCGACTTAGACGTGAATCAACTCGGAATTGGTTCTCCGTCATCAATATCCTCCAGTGATATGGCACCCCTCTCAGTTGGTGAGCCACCTAGACCCCCATCCTACTCGGACTGTGTTCATCATCACTCGCCTGCTAGTCTACTTCCTCAATATCCACCCCACCATGCTGCTGCCCCACCTCCAAAGCCTCAGAGCACTTCTAGAAAGTCTCAAAACACAACCAGCCACCATAGAAATCGCTCAACGCCCCCTAGTCAGCACCAGATATCTCGACAGTCCTACCCACAAGGCAATTACATGAACATTCCGCAAGGAAACTACATGAATATCCCTCAAGGTGGCTCATATGTGAGTGTTCCCATGTCATCAGTCATTCAACATAGAATTCCAAGCCAGCAGGCATCGTCTCATCAGTCTTGTTCAAGTGTCGGAAGTCCAACGAATTTCTACCTTCAAAGTGCCATGCACACTCCAACAAGCAGTGCGCAAGGTAACTCGCCATCGTGCAGCTTAAGCAAACTGCAACAACTCACCAATGGGTTTGATATGATTCCGCCAGGACACTGCTCAACTATGACCCCTCCTCCAATGAACCTCACTCCTCCCCCCTCCTCCCACTCAACCATGACCCCTCCGCCTCATCAAGGGCCTAATTACCAGCGAATGTACCCAGGTAACTCGGGTGGAAGGAGTAGTCATCAAGTGCCTCCAAGGAGTCCTAATGTGACAATAAATCCTAACTTGATGGCTCAGTATCCCTCTTTCAACGGTTACCGTCAACAAGCGGGTTACGCTGGCTTCATCAACCAATCCCCACAGCTCCCTGTTCAAATGAGCGTAATGAATCAGTACACGCAAGAGCAACAGAACACCATGTACACTGCATATGGCCTTTACAATAGCAGTAGTTTGATGCAACCTTTGAATTCAACCATACGTCGGTGAAAAAAGGCCAAATACAGGGATAAATCATAACGAACCAGTAACTGAGCTTTAGTAATACGGCCGCTGCAGTAATCCTATTAATTGCCTCCAATGCTCAATATATTTCCTTTCACCTCATGATATTGATCAAGTTATTTTCTACAGCCTCATGGTCGAAAAAATTCTATGCTGCATGGTGAGCTGATGATTCCGAACAACAGGAAAATGTCCAGGAACTTTTATCTTGAAGCCAAGGATTTTTGTATAAAAGTAAGGTGTTTTTGTTTCCTTTTCTACTCAGTTAGAATTCCAAGCTTTTTAATCAACATAAGAGCCTACCTTTTGGAGGTATCACCATTGAGAGCTGAAAGAATGTCAACACCAAACCGCCTTCCCTTACTTATATTGGGAATTTTTCTGTAGTAAACGCTTTCTATAGTTCGTCGGAAAAAGGACAGCTACTTAACTTGTCAAAGTTTGATGCATTATAAGCACACGATCTACCTTTGCAATTTCGTATTTATGCTTTGTAGGTTTTGCGATTATCTTTAGTTGCTCAACTTGTTTTGTTCCTTCAAAATTTTCTGTATTCACCAAAACGTCATTTTGAAGATTATTTCTATAATTTATTTGCCCTCTGTTTACACTGATTTTGGAAATATTCGCTACATGTAGCCAACAGATGACACTCACTTAATCTCAACACTCACTTAAACTAATTAATTTTTATTGAGTTCCCCTTAAATCTCAAAGGGTTTTTCTGAGAATCAATTTGAAAAGTAAATGAAGCATAATCCAAACTGAATCAAGAAACTAGTTTATTTCCAGTTTTAAAGTTAAATATGTCTCAAATCATTGATGAAAGCACTTCCACTCTACTCCCAAATTATTAAGATCATCGTATGAAGGAGCCTACAAATGTGGCTATGAATCTTTCCTAATATTTTGCCTTGAAATCTAAGAATTAGAGGACGAATATGAGAAAATTAATCTTCCCAATCAAAGTTTCACGTTAGTAGAAGTATATGTTGGTCAAACAGAGGCTTTCAATTTTATTCCAGTGCCAGCGGTCAGTATTTTTCCTTAGGAGTTAAGATGAAAATAGGAAAAAACTTTGGTCCATAGCTGTTTCGTTGTCTTTACCATTCCTGTTAATGTGACACTTAATCTTCTGTGTAGTATTACAACTATATCTATTTTTGTACTGTTAGCTCTGTTTATCCTGAACAACTACAAGGGAGCAAAAACTAATTTAAGTGGTGGAATTCTACACCTCTGTAACTATTGTATTTTTTACAAGAAGACTCCCTTCGCTGTACATCAAAGAATTTCTGGATATTTGGGTTCTTTGGAAGTATTAAAACTAGTGAAACCTGTTTTCCTAATTAAAATCCTTCAAATAGCCCCAGTAAATTTGTGCTCTATCTTAAGAATTGTGCATTTGCCTCTCTTATCATCCGCCATCATAGCCAAGTTTATTGCTGTAATGCCTCTGTATTGCACATGCAAGATTCCTAGGAGTCAATTTAAATTCTGCTCTTAGCTGCGCTTATTTACATGCACTTCGCCATTTCTCAATCAGCTTAAATTCTGTGTCTGCTGACAGCCTTATCGAAGAAATTATCAAGGAATATTTACACACAGTACACTCTTTTTATGTAACGACCCCTGTCATAATGAAAATTTCTCTCCAAGCAAGGAATCATCCATTCCCTTGAGCTTCCCATGCCTCTCATTGCTGCTCATCATAACGAAAATTTCACTACAACAAAAAATCGTTCGGCGCTTTGCCGATTCGTCATGGAGAGAGAGAGAAAGAGCATTGCAATTGTAAAACGTCGTCAGAATACATTCCACCGATTTATCTGAAGCACTAAGCAAATTTGTAAAATGTATTTTTATGATGTTATGATCACATTGTATTTCTGATAGTGCAGTAAGTGGCATTAATGGTCAAAGCCGAACAAGAAGCAAAGATATTGTGAAAAACTGAACCCCTGTGTGCAATTCGACCCCATGCCTTTGTTTCATAGAACATTAAGTTTTGTAGTCCACTTGATCATGTCTGAAGCTTAGGAACGTTTAGCACAATTGTTGTAATTTACCGGAACAGTCAGTGTTCTGAAAATTTTCTGGAAGTATAAATAGATTCCACTAGGCTTAACATTTCCATATGTTGCTGATAATCACCTGAACACCAAGCGAATTAGGAGCAGTCAGTAGAGGGAGTCTTCTTCTTAGTGTAAATAAATTTTGTTAAGATTTAATACTATATTTTCGTAATAAAAATTCCAGCAACTAAAAATACATAAAAACATAAAAAATTATCTTGTAAAGTTGTACATTTTTCCCTGTACAAAGTTCCAGATTTCTTCGAAGACATTTTGAAGTCTTGTTGCTCCCAATGCTTAACTGAAATTTACATAATTTTGTTCCTAGAATAAATAATTGGGTTATGACGTGTGCTGAACTCGTTGTAACGACTTGTACAGCTGTTTTTTTTTTGTTTTTTGATAGTTCAACTATCCTAAGGTTTCAACCTCAAGAATCCTTTAATTTCTCGGTACGTATCATACCTTAGTCTAGCTATTTATTGCCTGTTTATTTATTTTCTAACAAATTGTAATTAATGTACGTATTCTCCTTATTTTGTGTATATAGGTGGATTAATTTAAGTCATTAAATTTTGTTGACTTATGAACAAATTGTTATGTGTTTTTTTAAGCAGGAAATGTAATTGTTAAACTTCCTTTCGTCTTTTCTCCTGTGTCAGTTCTTTAAGATAGAAGGTCTTTATTTTTTACATGGAAGTCCTTATTTTAAGGCTGTTTCTTTGAAAAGTCCTTATTATTTTATCTTATTTGGTAGCTGCAAATTTCCTGTTGTACAAATTTTTACAGAAGTGTTGGCTATTCAAAATGTTTGTTTTATGAAATTATACAACCTATTGTATTTTGACAAAATCTGTTGAAAATCTTGAGATAAAAAATTGCTTTGATTAAGCTCAAAGTATTAGTAGGGAAATTATGCTGTAATTTTTAGACGCAACAGAAGCTCTGTGTAAGAACGCTGCTTTCGCATTGAAGCAAGTCCTGAAAAATTCTCCAAGTCAAAAAGTGGATCCCCTTATTTGGATTGAAAAAGCAAAATGTACCTTGCGCATAACTTTTAGATTTAAAACATCCAATTGTGCATTTTGCTTTCTACCAGGAAAAAATATTACATACAGAATTTTAGTTCTGTTTTCGTGCATCAAAGGCCTCGCGTACCTTGAATTCTTGAACTTCTCATTGTATCTCTAAATAAAAAAATAAAAGTAATAATTTTTTTTGCCCTGGAATTGAAGAGCGCCTTTAAATTTTCATGTTCTCTATCAGACAGTATTTTATTTTTCTTTCAGTAATTCATCTTCTTGCATGAACTCTATTTTGACTTACTTCTAGATTCATTCTTTCACTATGTTGGCAAACATGTGCATAAGTTGCGTCTTCTAGAAGGTGTCCAGTGATCTGAGATTCAAGTTCATAATTACACTGCTTGTTGTGTAAGTTCATTTGTAATTGAGTCAGCACTGTCGAACATGTGGAGCCTTTTCGTCAAACGTTTTTTTATCCCTTTATTTAGGAGCTTGAATGATTCTGTGACTTCTCACCATTCACTTCGTTGACAGATCACTATTTAAGTTACAAGCACGGAGAATATTTGGAGGCCTTTTGTTTGCAAGGAAACGCCTGAAATGCAAATTTTTCATGTTCTCAAGCATTAGTGGTTTTTTAATATAATTCTGTTGTTTATTTTCATATCGTTGCCTTGTAAAAAAGTTAATTTATTGAAATAATTGTTTTTTTTTCTTAATTTTTTTCATTCATTCGTTAGGTTTAATTGTGATCCTCCCCTGGATGTGTCATTTCTTATTTTGTTAGGAATTTTACGAGGATTGTTAGTTCATCACTGTATGTTAAAATTTCCGGTGTTTTCAAGCATGAATGGACGATTGTTTCTGTTTGTATTGAATGAAAGTAGTGAGTCCTTTGTTTGATCAGGTCAGCTAGTATTTAATTAATTAAATTTAATTCTGAAATCACTCATTGTTATTAGAATTGTGGAGTTACAGCAACAGCTGTTCAATCTCTGTCCTTTACAGTATTCTCTTCTCACTTGTGTATATATATCTTTACAATTACTGTCGTGTCACAATTATTCCTTTGTAAATTATTAGGATTGCTTTTGAGAATGAACACGGATTTGAAGTATTCTACTCTTGTATAAATACACAAATAATTTTATTTATTCACTGATAAATTTGACTTTTCATTTTTTCGCCCCTATACCCTCCGCTCCTTTACTGTGAAGTCCTGTTTCACAATTCTGGAACACTTCAGAAAGCGATGAAAACGAATCACTCTGTTTAGAGTGCAGTGACGAGATGCAATTAGAATGCACACTTGATTGTTAATATGTATAAATTTAGTAAAGAAAAGTGGAAAATTCCAGGCAGTCCTTATAAAAAAAATATATGCAAGATTTCATCAGCCTTGGTTGTTACTGTATCATTGTCTGTTCATTCAACCATTGTGAATCAGGCAATCATTTCAAAGTGAAACTGAATATTCTCTCACTGAAACCAAAATCAGATTTTGCTTATAGGTACATAATAAGTAGTCAGTTCATCTTCCTTACCCTGAGCACCCAGGAAAAATTTTGTTGTGGTCCCACTTTTCTATAGTACTTAGTTGTATTTGGATAGATTTTACTATTATGTACAACATACAATAATGAGAACTAATTTCAATTAAAACTATTCGACGAATCTTCTATACCTACAAGAACCTTGTTCAATGACTTCTCAGAGGGCTCAAATGAATCCATTATCCTATACCAAAACTTGTTCCTTATTTCAGAGGAGAATTGATGAATGATCAATGAACATGCACATAGCCTTGTTACTTACCTATCTTGGTCATGGATTTTAACTTATTCTTCACTCCAGACACACAAACTTTTTCGGAGTTAAGGCGCCTTGTCTTGAAACAAGCTGGTATAGCAAATACAAACTTCAATAATTCTAAGTTCCCTGAATATAGTGGATTCTCGGATGAGGTTGATGCTTTTAATTAAAAATTAAACTTATGTGAGAAAAAGTAGGGGTAAGACAGAAGAAGAAAGCGAGGTGGTCTCTGGATATTTGTATCTTAAACTCAACATCAGGAGAAATAAGTGAAAAAAAAAAAAATTAGCTAACTTTCGTTGGCATTACCTACCTATCATTCATTCTACGTTTCAGACCATCCTCAAATATTTTTGATATATCTGTAGTTGCCATAGTTTCGGAGGAAGAAATTTAATAAATGTAAAAAAGGCACTAAATCCAAAAACCAGTTGCCAGTACCCGTAAGCTCCCCCCCCCCTTCCAGGGTAGACAGTTATCCTAGGCGCTTGGCTCATTGCTCATTATCAGCCGCGCCATGGACCAATAGAATAAATAAGGACTCCCAACTCCCTATGCTACCCTGTGTTAAAAACCGTTAACGCGCGCTCGCAGCGAACCTGGCAGAGGGTGCGGTGAACTAACGCCGCAGCGGTCCACGATCGTACCTCTATAGTATGTTATTCCATGCAATGTTCTTTGTNGCGCGCAGCAGAGCCTCACTTTTGGGCGCCTCATCCCTCCCGTGTGTGGCACCCGGCTGTCTACAGTTTTATCATTGTACCAATTTACGATTTACGATTCAAAACCAAAAGTTTTCAGTTCATCCGGCGCATTTTGCTAGTAGCAATAAGTTTTTAAGTTTCTGTGACTTACGCCATTATTGTTGAGATAAAGACCGGGCCCAACACAGCATTTAAACAACCCTCTGTAAGTTGTATAAGTAATTGTGACAAGTCTGAAATTAATTTCGTAGGTATGTAAGCAGCTCTGCTAATTTTTGAAAGATTTTCAGAAAGCAGTAGATTTCAGGAAAGTACAGGAATTAATCATTTAGTTTTACCCACACAAATTTCATTTTTATTTTTCATTTTGCTTTCGCTATTTTTCATTCAATCAGCCCTCACATGGAGCCGAAGGTCACCCGCAGATTGATCGTTGAAATTTTGTGTTTTTCGGCTGGACAAGACAAGGCTTCGGAGGAATTGAGTTGTGTAATTGGTTGACTTATCAGCAGTCCTATCTGTTGTACTTACGTTTTTCAATCCCCTCATCATAGGCATGACAAAGAGGACAAGTGACAGATCAGACCAATTACATAATTTTATTCCTTCGTATAATTAGTCTTGTTCTGTTGAGTCAGGAAACACCTAATTTCAGTTATCTGGCTGCTATTGGGGAATCGAATGTAGGATCTTCTGATCATAGGGCCAAAGTCACCACCAGTAGGTGCATCGATCAGAAGAGACTGGCAAACTCACATATTCTTTCGTGAAGTGACTATCCTTTGGAGACTTGGATACAGAACATGCACAAGATTTTTTTGCAATCCGTTACTAATTTGTGTGGTTGGATTAGCAATCAAAGTGTCTGTTTCTGTCCGTATTATATGTTATACTACTCGTGTTATACTTTATCGGACTCAACCCATTTAACAAGTCACCAGTTTCATTAGTGAAGTACTTACAGTTGAATGACATTTGAGGACCTTATTTATGTTTCAGGAAAGCTATTAACTCGTAGAAATATTGTCAAAATTTGTAATGGACTCCGAAGGAACGTATTCAAATTCAATGCATCTCTTTGGCTTTGATGGTTTTGGGCAGCTGACAGTCTGCAAAGAAAGTATCACTTCAGCCGGTTTGCCGAATGTGATTGGAATATCGTTTTCTTGGGCTAACTGCCTCCTGTTATGCACTTCTGCAGGTAAGATCCATTTTTATTTCATCTATGAAATACTTGAATTGCGTGAACATCATGCTTAATGATGGATCAATGGACACAGGCGGATGGTGGAATTGCACAAACTTGTATCTCGGTTAATGATGCCGTTGACTTTCTATCATATTTTATTTTCAAATGAAAAATATTCAACACCCTTTCTTGAAAACTGTGTTTATATTTTCTCTTTGTGTGACTGATACTCTTTGAAAATTTAAAGCAATATTGCTAGTCCATCCTCCCTTGATAAATAAAATAGGAGTGGAGATTTTTAAATCCTTTAAAGGACACACCTGATGTGTTTTTGCAATTTTACTTTTTAAATGTATATGCACTCGTTAGCGACAGGAAAGCAATAGCTGATGATTCGTCTTTTGTAAAGCAATGCTAGTTTATGTATATATGTATTTCTATTTATCCTAGACTGTTTACTCGAGATGCATTAGGTGGTTGTTTAGAAAATTTCTGACGATCAGGACAGAGTATTAAGGTACTCATCACATTAAAGAGAGTTTGCCTCCAGTGAAAAATGTTTAGAGGACAACTTTACATTTTCTTGTGTTATAAAGTTCAACATTTTTAGATTGGGATATTTTTTTTTTCTTTAACATTTTTTAAAACCTTCAATTATAAGAGTGTACTTTTTATAACACACTGCTTCTTTTAATACATATTTGATTTAATTCATGGCAAGAGAAAAATGTGTTGGTTAACCAAAGTACCAAAAGAACAAAAGTGAAAAGAAAGGGTTGTCACTCATTCCCTGCTTTTCTGTACCTATTTTTTAATACAAAGTGTTATCAGTTGGAAGGGGGCCAGGGGAACTATTGAATACATTTTCATGAATCTAGAGCTACTCTGCCTCAAAAAATCCAAATTATAATCCTTGAAAAATTCAATTTCATCACATTTTTACATCCTCCTTGAACCTTTGAATTTTTTAATACATTGTTTTAGAAGGGGGGGGGGGGAATGATTGAATGATTGACAAAATCTCCTCGGATAAGTACATAGCTCTCCTCTCCTCAGAAATCAAAATTTAATTTTACAGCCTCCTCTCTGTTTTGTACATTAGTAAAATTTTTTCTTGGGGATAAAGTGCCATGCTTAGGCTCTCCTATTCTTATTCTGCGATAGGTATTTTTTTCTCACTATCAAATCTTTATGCTGGAATTCAAAGAAGTACCTTGACGTGTACCTCTCAACGAATCCGCGCAGTCGCGCAGTCCGCATGGCATAATCAGTGTGAACGTACCCTATGCCCAAAACAACGAAATACATCGGTAGATGACCGGTGCGCACCGAACGGTAGCGATCTATTGTTTGTTTATTTCGCGCTTGGCCTGAAGAGTTATCAGTTTTCAGTTCTCTTACCGGCATTTGAAGACTCACTTTTCTATCAAGTGATTTTAAATTTTTAAAAACTCCCTCTCATCCATAACCATGAGCAATTCGGCCGGTATGTTGTACGGTGGTGACGAAATAGGTGCGTTAGTTTTTGATGTTGGGTCTCAGTCCTTACGAGTCGGCTATGCTCAAGAAGACACTCCGAAGGCTGAAATTGCAGCTGTTGTGGGGGTTGGCACCGACGCAAATCAAGTTGCTGAACCAATGGATGTTGACAAGAAACCAGATACCCAAAACATCAACACCAGCACTGAAAACACAAAGTATTATGTCGACACAACTGTGTTGCATGCTGCCCGCAAAGGCGTTGAGGTTCAAAGCTACATGAAAGATGGCATGATCGAAAACTGGGATCTTTTTGAAAAGGTTTTAGATTATACTTATTCTAAGTGCATTCAATCTGATTCTGAGTATCATCCGGTTCTAATGTCGGAATCTCCGTGGAATACCCGAACTAAAAGAGAGAAACTCACTGAACTGATGTTTGAGAAGTACAATGTTCCAGCCTTTTTCTTGGTCAAGAATGCTGTTTTAGCTGCTTTTGCCAACGGCAGAGCTACTGCCTTAGTTGTTGACAGTGGTGCGACACATACGTCAGCCATACCTGTTCATGATGGCTATGTGTTATCGCACTCTATCGTTAAATCTCCTCTTGGTGGCGATTACATCTCCATGCAGTGTAAACAACTCCTTCAAGGTATGGATATTGAAATTATTCCTTCCTATTTGATTGGAGGAAAAGAACAAGTGAAGGAAAAAGAGAAACCCAAGTGGACCAGAAAACGGAATTTACCAGAAGTTACTACTTCTTGGCATGATTACATGGTGAAAAAGGTATTGCAAGACTATCAACAAAGTGTTTTACAAATCTCAGAAGTTCCTTATGATGAAAAACAAGTATCGTCTCTACCTGCGTACCACTATGAATTTCCAAATGGTTATCATCAAGATTTTGGTAGTGAGCGTTTTAGAATTCCGGAAGTCCTTTTTGACCCTAGTATGGCTTTAATGGGCAACACAATGCTCGGTGCAGGACACATAGTAACAACCAGTGTTGGAATGTGTGATGTGGATATTCGCCCAGCTCTGTACAGCAGTGTTGTGATCACAGGTGGGAACTCTTTCATACAAGGTTTTCCTGAACGTCTCAATAGGGATCTCTCCGTTCGAATTCCTGCAAGTATGCGTTTGAAGTTGATCTCTGCCAACGGGTCATCTGAGCGACGGTTTGGAGCTTGGATCGGTGGCTCTATTTTAGCTTCCATTGGCACCTTCCAACAAATGTGGATCAGCAGTCAGGAGTATGAAGAAGCTGGCAAAAGCCAGATTGACAGGAAATGTCCATAATTGCATTTCACTATGTGCCAGATCAACGGAGAATGATCATTGCTTGATGTCTGATTTTTACATAATTTTTAACTGTGACATAATTTTTGAACTACACAGCAAACAATGATCATCATGGAATGCAAGTTGATCTATGAATTGATTCAATTTTTAAATGTACCTTAAATTCTTTTTGCACATATTTTGTATTCAGTATTTTTTCTTATTTTGTTGGATTTTGTTTGTAAATTTGTAAGTAAATTAGCTAGTGGACTTTTTTAAGATGTGATTAAGTAGCTATGGACAAAGGATGCTGCTGGCGTTGGGCTATGCAATTTGATTAAGATTTTGTTCTAAATTTCCACTGATCTACGTACTAAATTTCAATTGGCCCACCCCAACTCAGTCAGTCTTTTTGTTAGTCCGTATTTTATGTTCTGAGTATGACAATTTCAGAATATTAGGAACTAATTTTGTTTCCCTCGGAGATTCTAAAATCTATATTTGAGTTTTTTTATGGATAATTTTATTGGATTACTTTTTCCGATCAAGGAAGACGGTGAACTTCTTTCTGAGAGAAGCATTGAAATTTAACTTCTTGACTGTCAAGAAAGGATATCGGTGGTGAAACTGCAAAAACGCATGTATTGATTGCGCTGTTGCAAAATTTCTGATCTTATTTTATTTTTAAAGGAGACAGAACCAACATCATGGCTTAAAATTTTTCCAGAATATTCTTCCATCAGTGATGAAAAATCACTAAAGTTTTAAAAGATGACGTTGAGTAGTTCTCTATTTAGAAAATAAAGTATGACAGAAAGTCTGAAACGCAGCAAACTGAGATAAGCGTTTCTGCAGTTTCATCATTAATATGTTCGAAAATTATCAGAAGATGAATATTTGGGGTTGCTGACATAATTAATATTTAATAATGAATGTTTGATCTTGGAGTATGATGAAGCATTTCATAATTATCATTTGTTGTAAGTAGAACGTAACAAGTATGAATCGGCTGCATTAGATGTTTCAATAATCTATTTTAATTTTAGAATAAAAGCTGTCAAATAGCTGTGACAAAACTGTAAAAATAGTGTAGTCGCAAAAAAGTGTCTGTCAAAAGAAATATAATGACAAAACCCTGATGCTTTAAAAAGAACAGGATAGTCTGTTCATCTTCTAATGATTCATCTCGTCCAAATGGGACTCAATGAAAATCGTATATAAGTCATCTCTGTTATGTTTCGTCTTTCAAATTCTCAACTATTTATATCGATTCAGGTTTGATAAGTGAGCCTCATCCTTGTTAGAGTTTGAAAACTCAAAGTGTATTACCGTAAACTTTAATGTAATCCAATAGGGTAACCTAAAACAAAAATGGATGTTTGCATACTTTTCTTACTCAGTGAATTGAATCAATTCGTCATTGATAATGAACTGTAGTCGCATGAAACTGTGCTCATTGTTCAGTCCACTCTGCGATTCGCATTCAATACTATCAATCATGAACAGGTCACATCGTCAAAACCTGTATATTTTAAAAAACTCACCTGAGCTCAGAGAAATTCACACTGGAAAATCTTTGCATTGTCCATATAAATGGAATTATTTTTAACTACTTAGAATCAGCCATCGACTCAATTGACAACATGAGCACTCGCATTCAGACCAGGTTACTCTTCAGCCTAGTTTTGTCTTTTTTGTAAAAATAATTTTGTCAGGGAGAAAATATGTGATTTTTAAATAATCTTTTACTTAAATTGTAAAATTCTAATAAAAATGTCAAGATCTCTTACTTACTTTGGCTTCTATTTCTTTTTTAGCACAAAATCCACCAACCTGAAATCAGTACATGTCGAATGGTCCAATAATATCGCCTAAGCTAAAAGGGGATGTTAAGAATTTTCTCTAAATTGATTCCTCTCCAAACTTTGATCAATGACAGTCAGAGGTTGTACCATGTAAAACCTGAGAATTCGTATGGAAAGAAGGTGGCGCTATGACTCCTTTATGAGCAATATTAAAGAGGAAGTTCAATTTCGTCACAATTTTACATCCTCCTCGAATCTCTGTATTTTTTAATACATTGTTTTATAGGGGGGGGGATTGAATGATTGGCAAAATCTCTCTATATATAACTGTCCTGCACACAGAAATCAAAATTTAATCTTGCCTTTTCAAATTAATTATTATTATTAATTAAAATTAAAATTGCCCACCCTAATACAAATTATACCTAGAAAATATTAATTAAAAATCTTGGCTTTTCGAATTTTCTCGGAAACCACTGAGTTGTTCGCAGAATCTTTATCTCTCTAATCAAAAGAATTCTGGATCTCTTCACTTTCGTATTATTACAAGTGCACTGCATGAGTGCAGAATGCTATGGCTCGGTCATTCTTGAAGTGTAGACAAATAAATCAAAATTTTCATAGACTGGTTACTTAGTGCTTTTCTTGAGTTAGCTGCGTAGCTTTACCACAAATAAACTGGAATAGCTCCTAGGTATAGATCTAGAGAATTTGAAGGGCTTGAAATACAAGTGGGATTGAGTGCAATTTTAAAAACAATTGAGATATTAATGATTTCAACCGAAAGTAATCTTCAAATATATTCTTTGAACAAGTCATTACTAAAATTCAATTTTTAAACATCAAAAAGTGAGTTTGAACTTTCTTTCCACCATTAGGCTCCATGTAATTTTAAAACTTTCAACATTTATTTCTTGAAATAGCACAAACTGCACTTAAGTATCCCTTTTGTCCTTAAAGGCCCTCATTTCGATGATGAAACTGCAGAAATGCGCATAAGTATCGGTTCGCAGCATTGCAGACTTCCTGTCATACTTTACTTTTACATGGAAAACCACTGAACATCATTCATAGAAAACTTTGGAAATTTATCTTCTCTATATGAAGAATATTCTATGAAAATTTCAATCCATAGTGTTGGTTTGGTCTTCTTTTAAAAAAAAAAACAGGAGTGGAGATTTTCAAACACCGCAACTGGGATACGCATTTTTGCAGTTTCACCATAGACTTGTAATTTTTTAATTTAGGTAATGAAGGCATACAAGTCCACCAGAGAAAGAAGATGATATTTTTTTTGTTTCCTTGTAATGGAAATTTTTTAAGGGAGCAACTTGGAGTATAAGTATACCTATCCTGCTATTTTCGAAACCAGTGCTCTTAATGAGGACAATAGATTGGGTGTACCAGATGATGTGAAAAATTTTTCAGACTGGTGAGAAGAATGATCGTATCTGAATCTCAAGCCTTTGTGTGCACAGATTTGGAACACCCATACCCATGAATTTACCTAGGGGTGTAACTGTAACTATGCGTAGGTCAGTCGTTCAACTACACAGGATTGTCTTGCAGCTAGATGTAGGACCATCGACTCATGTGAAGTATGGTCACAGGTATATGCATCATTGCAATTACTGTCCATGAATTATGGGTGGTATTGTAGCATTTTTCTCATAGTTAGCGTTGATCGTAGCCAGCAGCATGGCTTCTCACAGCCTTCAGCAGGAATGGGATGCCTAAACATGCTGTATGATAAGTTTGGAACAAATAATATCTCTAGTAGTAGTTTTTCTTAAATAATCTCTTGATCTAAGTACTGTTTTTAATTTTTCAAGGAAAATTTGCCAAAAGACTTACACTCCAGCATAATTTAAAGAATGAGAGGGGTTTTAATTCTTTCTTCTATCTCAAATTTTGTGTCTTTTTTACCTACTTGTGTAATCATATTTTTCAGGTGAGCACCCAGACATGTATTTAGCAGGATTAATTTGTCAGAAAAAACAGCAATTAGATAAATTGGCACTGCCAGTTAAAGAACATGACATTATTGATGTAAGTTACTCATATCCACGATTATTCTTAATATTCCCTAGTAGCAGTGGCTGTTGAGGAAAGTTGTAAAAAACTCGTTAATTTTAAGAGATCTCTTTACTTAAAATTTACTTTAAAACCACTTGAAAATTACGTAAAAAAAACTCTTGAAATATTCGTATAAGGAAACCCTTTTTAGGGCTTTTTTACATTTTGAAGAAAAATTTTAAGTAAATTTTTACGTAAATTTTGATTACATTTTTACGTAAATTTTTAGTAAATTTTAAGTAAAATGTACATATTTTTTTTAGCCTCCTGCGGGCAAAAACGAGGGAAAAAGTGGTGAACAGAAAAGTATTAAAGGAACAGTTGCAGCCCATAAAAATTGAGGATAAAGATAATTGATTTTTACATAAATTTTACGTTTTCTTGTACAATTAAAATAACACTATTTTTTTACTTAAAAGAATGCCCCAAAAGGGTTTCCTAAAACGAGTATTTTAAGAGTTTTTTTTACTTAAAAATTTACGAACTCCTAAAATTTACAAGTTTTTTACATTTTTTTGGACAACTTTTTGTAGAACTTTTTTTAAGAGCCATTGCTACTAAGGTTTCTTTTTAATTCTTATGAAATAGGTACTAAGGTATATCCAATTTGCATCGCAATGATGTGATGCTTTTTTGGCTGAGCTGACCATGGTGTAACTCTGGAAACTTCCATCTCTTGCACTACTGAGACTGCTCGTGTATGTGTTGGTTCCTTAAAGGATTTGTGATGATCGATGGCATTAATTTATTATAGTACTGTATCACTTAAAGTAAGAGAATCTATTTGCGATCACGCATGTTTTATTAAAGCATTGAAGCAATTCATTTCTTTATTTATGATAATATACTTTTACAATTTTTATCATTTTCAAGTAAGAAGTAGATCATAGTTATGAAATATTTGCATAACTTTTACATTCTCTTTACAGACGCGTTAATTAATGATAATTTTTGAAAATTTTGAATTTTCCTTATAAATTGTATGTAAAGCAACTAAAGCAACTATTAAAGGAGCTTCAGAAGTTTTGGTGTTTTTCTGATTTATCATGACAAAAGTCACACAGTTGATGCTGAAAATGGTTATCCTCCAAAAATTTACTTTTATCGTAAAACTTGTTGTTTTGTTTTTCAGGTTATCATAAATTCCAAAAGTGTTCTAATATTGACTGGAAATAATGAAATCTGGAGACTCACTCTATCCACTAAGAAATGGGATAACATTACATCCATTTTTTTCGCTCAGCAAGAAGGATCTCTGACTGAAGTTACTAAGCCTCACGTTCGTAGAATTGTTGGTGGAGAAGGATTAAATGTAGCTCTTCTATCAAATGGTACCTATATCCTACAGCCTTTATACTTTCTTTTTGGTACCAAATCAAACCTATGCTCTTGGGCAAACCAGAGTGTTATGGTAATAATTCGAGCACATGGAATGATTGGCTTATGTAATTTCAATGAAAAATGCAGTTGTATGTTTTAAAGAGTGCAGAAAGTTCCAAGATATTGGCCGTTTCCTGCCATTGCTCTTTTTTCTTACAACTAAATTTCTTAATTTTTGCTATAATTCCTGTTTCCCCAGTACTTTTGGTCAATATTTCCCAAAACCGCTCACTGTGCCTTAAGTTTGTCACAATTCTTATATTCCGAGCTAAGGCTTTTTCTGCAGTTTTTAGCTCCTCATCAAAAATTAAATATGTTCTGTGCATTTAAAACCCAGAAAATGTATGCTTTTTTAGCAACTACTGTTTAAAACCGTGGAGAATGCGTTATAAACATTTTTAAGTAAAGGCGCAGAAATTTTACTTTTTTGTCAGGTACTTTTCCCTTAAGTTTGAAATCTTACATGCATGAAAATGCAAATGAAAATGCAGATGCTTTGAAATCTTACCTATGTCTATATCTCATGTGGCTTTTAGTATTTATAGATTTTAAACTTCTTCACATACACACCAATACAATTACCTTTGCACTAAAGAGTCTTCAGTTTGCAACTAGTAAAAAATCAACGCCTTCAGTGGATAGTAACGATTATTGGTGGATAATTTTTCAGTTTTTCTTTTAAACTCTGAATTGCCGAGAAACCTCGTTTTGAAAATTCCGAAAGTAGGACCCATTTGAAACGAGGTTTTCGGCAGACTCTGATGACGTGGCCAGGAGTAGAAAACGATGTTTGGTGATGGGCTGAACTTATCATCAAGTATTGCCTTACTATGTAAACTAAACTGTTGATTATTCATTAGCGCTTCCTTTAAAATTATTGTTCACACTTTTTAATGAACTTTTTAAGTTCTTCACAAAATTTTACACATGAAAAACTGAAGAACAATCCTTCAAAAACTCCTCGCCATTGCCCCATTGTTTTGATCTAGTTTGTGTCTGCCACTTGATTTCTTGAATTTCATTAATTTTAAAATTTGTGGGCATGATGTGTAACTCAAGGTGATGATGACTTTTGCAATCATTTATGTTTCAGGGATTTTGATGAATATTCCAAACGTAATCAACCAAGATCCTCTAAAATTTGAAATAGCTGATATTGCTGTTGGAATTGATCATGCTATCTTCTTATCTAGTGGAGGGATTGTTTTCACATATGGCTCAGGAGGGTGAGTAAATTCTGCAAGTGACCACTGATTAACCACTCTGAACTGAAGTATTGTGAATATTCTGTGATGATACCGTAGTACATTTACTCATTTAAAAACCGTTCCTAAACCCCTCAGTTGACCGTAAAATATCAACTTGATCCCCTCATACAAAAAGAGAGACAAAACCCATTGGCGCATCTCTATTACACATTGCTAATATTTGGTTTTTGAAAGGAAGAAATAAGATTCGACCGTGCTTTCGACCTCAACTTTTTTTCCTTTAAAATGTGACTTGGTTCCTTCTTGCTACAATTATTTGTATCTTGCTTTGTATCCAGTAGGTTTTAAAAACCAATATTTTTTATGAGCCAAAATCAATGATTAAATCAATTCAATTTATAGTTAGCTTCATTGATAAAATTTTTTGTTGTTGATTGAACTGTTGTGAAGAGCTAGTTAGATTTTAACGTTACTATTTGTGCTATTTTTGGATAAATTTCAGGAGAGGGCAGTTGGGGCATGGAGAACTTGAAAATGAAGAAAATCTCCGTGAAGTTCGAGCACTCTCAGGAATTAAAATAGTTGAAATTGTAGCTGGAGGCTGGCATTGTATCGCCAGAAGTTACTGTGGAGACTTATATGGTTGGGGATGGAACAATTGGGGTCAACTGAGCATATTCTCAGAAGAGGAAGATTCTGGTATGCTTTATTCCTTACATTCCAAGTAATATTCCTTACTTTTCCTGTAGAATTTCAACTGGACATTCTTCAATGTGTATGTTCTTTTAAAATCCTATTCAACACCAAGTTGGAAGTTTAAAGCAGTCGCAAAAAGGACTCAAAATCCTCGCTTATTTGGTTTTGTACCAATTTGACCGTGTTTCTTTACTGATTTTTTTTGTGCGAATTGGTGATGTTCACTTGATAAATGTTTATCAAGCACTGCCATTTAAGGCTGTCAAATGATTTGATGTGAACAGTGATCCATTGAAACTTACCTATGGCTGGTTTTTCTTGAGTGATTTCTCTTAAGCCAGTGTCAACAAATAGTGTGTCTTTTCTTTTTTACAAATTAGTATTTCCTTTCACCGACAAAGAAATCGCGAAATCATCCGTTGATTTTATGAACAGTGGGTGTAGCAATTTTGAAATTTTTCATTTCAGGATGGTGTAGATTGATTTTAATTGCTATGAATAATGACTCTCTTTTTTTCTTTACATTTTTAGTTGTTGATTTTAAAGGCATTGTTGTGCCCGAGCCAACTCTCATGAATTGGCCAACAGATGATGTCAACGTGACACAAGTTGCATGTGGAACCAGGCATACAATTGCATTATTAGGTAAGAGAAAATTATCTCTATTATTTCTGAAGAAAGATTTTCTTTGTATCTCCAGTTTGTCCTTTGAAAACCTCAAAATCGTTTCATTTATCAATTACCCCACCATATGATGGATCAATCTCTATCAGACATTGTGAAGCTTGCATCCAAATCTCAGTTGGAATTTTATGAAGATGGAAAATGATGCCAGAAAGTATTAGTGAAGTTTTTCGTTGTTTCTTTTTTTTCTGGAGTTTTTGGGCTCAGGGAGACAGAGAGCTTGTTAAAATCCCCAAAAAATTATCGGCAAAGGAGAAATGTAGGGTTGTTGTCTTTCTGACTGCAAAAATGTGTTTTGAATTCAAGTGCCATTTGAATTCAAATTTTTTTCAAAAAAACGAAAACTGCTTCTAGAATTGATGGTTTGGAGGAATACCAATTTGATTCAAAGAATTCAAAATGAGCTGTGACCAAGTGATCTTTATTTTTAGAAATACAACAAAAAGTACAAGAAAAACAACGTTTAAATGGCCCTTTTATTATTAGCTGGATTAAAATCCAAGGAAGCAGTAGAAGCTATCTATTCTTGATCATCTCGGGAAGTTTTTTGCCCGAAAATACGTTTTATGGTTCCAGTAATTGTTATTATTTTTATTTTTTCAAGTTGCATATACACTCTGCAGTATATTATTTTTTATTTATAAGCTATGACTGGTTTTTACAGATGATGGATCAGTTTGGGGTTGCGGATGGAATGGGCACAATCAGTTGCCTGGACTAGATTCCAATGAAAGTGCTGTTTACCCTGTTATGTCCCAATTGAAGGTGTCAAGCGAAAAGAAAGTCAGTAGAATAGCCTGTGGAAGTTGGAATTCAGCATTTTGTTTTTCCTAGTAGAGTTGAAAGAGAAATCCTGTCATGGTTAGTTATTAAACCGCCATAATTTTCATTTGTACTTTCTAAATATTTCTGCAAATTTTAGAATTTTGAGTCCTCTCGAAAGTATTTTCAGTTTTCTTTCATGGTATTATCTGTATTTGTTCGTATATCAGTGAAAAAACAAATCTGTAGGGCCTGATAAGTCTCATCCTAAAGTTTATTTCATTCAAAAACAGAGAAAAGTGGGCAATAGAGGCTTTTACAAAATCCAATCAAATGCCTAGTACACATCAGTCTTGAGCCTATTATTTATTTTATAACAGGATTGAGTTATTAATAAATCCATAATTCATTCAAAAGCAGTGGAATTGAATACATGTATTGATTGAAAAATACAATAGGTACATTGAAAAATCGTATTAAAGCATGAGATAGAAAGGAAATTCAGGCAAGATCGAAAATGCAGCCTTATGATGTGTTTAAAAATACTTAATTGTTGTACTAAGGAGTTGGCCGAGGCAGGATCTGCACACTTGAAATCACATTCTTATTCTATTTCGTTCTAGTGCTTTAACATTAATGAGTGTAGGCTGACTGTTCGAAGCTCAAATTTTTGGAATTTTTTTGCTGTTCTGAAATTCTTCTGCAATGAATTAAAACATTTATCTAATGAAGTAATGCATTAAGTCTGTGAAAAAAGTTTAAACTGATTTGTGTTGACAACTTAGACAGTCTTTTTTTATACCTATTATGCTTTGAGTAATTTCTGCTTTGAATCAGAAAGTTTTATTGATTTTACCATTGCTATCTATAATTACAGTCATTATTTCAGTATCATAAATATATCGACGGTGCAAGTCGGCAATCACATAACTCGTTTGCGGTGTCTGAAAATCTCCGCAACTATGTTATTTTTTTAAAGGAGAACAAATGGACATGATTCCTTGAAGTTTTTGCAGAATTTTCCTCGCACATAGAAGAAAAATCACGGAAGTTTTAAAGAATTACCGTTGAGTAGTTTTCCATTTAAAAAATAAAGTATGACAGGAAGTCTGCGACGTCGCAAACCGAGTTATGTGATTGCCGACTTTCACCGTCGATATACAGTATGTAATCAAATTATTCAGTGAAGTGGTAGATTTGGTTTATTGGAACAAAATTTTCTTGATACTGCTCAAGAACCATCTCATTTGGGTTTCAACATGGTTATAAATCTAATGACATTTAAACTATTAAGAATTATACGTACTGCAGTCAGAAGATCACCATCCAATAATTTCTCCAGTTCGTTTGTTTTCTGCTTCTAGGTATGTTTGAAGTGGCTTGAAGTACTGGAGTATTGCTGAGGTGTCCATTTCACTTTGTCCGGTTATTACTTTCATTGCTTCTCGCCATGGAACTGATGCTCCCAACGTCAATAGCCGCCTGAGAAATTATCAATACACTCTCAATGTATCCTAGTTGAATATGTTTTGGTGTGGACAACATGAGACTATATCAGGTAATCTTTTGTTTCATTTTTGTTTGATGGCATGACTAGCAAAAGTGCTCATTTCTTTTAAGTTTCTTCAGAAAGCTGTTTTTTCTTTTATTTTCACTATGAAGACAGCTACTTTTGCTGTGCAAACACATCAAAATATAACCAGTGTTGATTCTGCAGAAGAAGACAATATTAGAAAATTGGCAGCTTATTGATGCATTTAAATGATGATGTATGTCCACTCTTCAGTTTTGACTTTACCTGGTTCAAAATTTGATTTGGTCGAAGGTTTTCAAGGCAGAATCAAACAGGCTCTGCAGTATTGAATTGCGGTTCTAACTGTATGAGACATGATCTCAAAGAACACAGTTTAAAATCAGGGACCACGATACATGTATTTTTATCTAAATTTTAAGCACCTAGAATAAGATGGACACATTGAGACTTCCCAAATTCAACTCGTAATTTTGAACATTATGGTTTTTGTCCACGTTAATTCACACTTCCCACTCACAGAAATACTGAACCGATGGTGCTGCTTGGTCTCATCGGTGGATGTTACATTTCCCTGTGAAAGTGCCGCTACAATTTGACCCCAGTGCATTTTTGAGTATCCACCTTTCCCACCTGTTTCCGTATCGTTTGGTGTAGCTAGTTAAATTGTATTCGGGCCCGCAATTTATCCTTGATACTTACTTTAACAAGTTGCCTGCATCTTTGTTTTTGCAAATATCACATCGATGTAAAGGCTTTTCATCGGGATTGTTTGGATTATACTGCCCGGCAGCTTCACACAAGGATCGATGAAATTGAAATTGGATCACAAAGCTCACAAAATATCTGCGGTAGGAAAAAGAATAAAAAGGAATAAAGGAATCAGCTTTTCAAAGCAGAATAGAAAATAGCATGACTCATTTTAAAGAAATATTTATCAAATGGATTTCCCAGCTGAATGAAAACGATCAAAATTTTGTCAGTCTATGAAATTAAATACTACCTCAAATGAAATGCGTTTTTACGCACCTGTTTTTTGTTTTCTGACAATGGTTGGGAACTTTGGTGTCCGTAAGAACTTGATTCTGATTTATTACATGTATCTGGATATTGCATCCTGACGGAAGTCAAAACTGAATTTACTACAATATTTTTATGATATTGTTTTTATTCTCTGAGGAGGCGAAGAAATTGCATGAAGGTTTTTCTTATTGGTTGCGCAGGTCATGCAACCAAAGGCTCATTAATCCAAGGCTTCTCATTTCTTCAATCTAGTACCATCACTTAAAGGCTTCCAAAAAACTACTAGGCACCAAAAAAACCCTTCTTAGTTGATCGCCTTATTCAACAAAATTGATCTCAGGAAAAATGTAGTTGACTATAAAAATACCAGCGGTAGACCGATAAAAAAACTTTTTATACATATTTTTAAAGCCAAAAATGTTTTCTCACCTCAAGTATTCTTTCCCAGCAGCTATCTGGTACTTGACTCCAGGGTCGAAAAATTCTTCGGAGCGGAACTCAGGAGGCTCAAGCCCTTGGAGTTCAGTTCTAGAGGAAAGAAAAAGTTTTAATTTCCCAAGTCTAAGATAAACAGTATTCATACCCGCGTAGTTTTTTGTCCAAGACAATTGATGTAATTGAACGTTGTTGAATATTTCCAAATTTTGAAAATTTCACAGCGCTATTTCTGAAGAGATGTAACACTGATAATAACTAAAGCGTGCATCTCATGAGTGGAAATTGAACTTAATGAGTTTTTTCAAAGGTAAGAATGTACAAAAATAGTGATAAAACTAAGAAAAAAACTTATGACTAAGTATTTAATATCAAAACAAACAGGTGCTAAGCGATATGAAGAAAGGAAATCTCATATACGGTAAAACCAGTGATTTAGAAATAATTTTTGGAGATTCAGCTATTTTTAATGGCCACACTCACTTTGCCAGTTGATGATTGATATATGCCGCATTCAGTGTTTTTCTTGTGTCCCATTCGATTTTTTCCGTTAAGGTTACTCTACTTTTTGCTTCTATATCATCGTTAGTTGAATTCTATGGGAGTTTCTTTGTCATATGAAATTGAATGGGTCAGTGTTGAGACATTTTTGCAGTGCTATAATATGTGTTATCGTACTTAAAGTGAAAAAACCAAAAATTTTATTTTAAAGTTCAGCAAATCATTTCTAAGGGGAGAAAAAGCCACTCTAAATCTGACCAATTGGGTTGACGTAGCAAGGCGATGCCTGAAGGTGAGCAAACAGCGTTTCCCCTATTTGGCTACGTCATCAACACCTGCACAAAATATATTTTTATCCATTTTAATCCCATTACAGCCATATTTCAAATGAGGTTTCTCCGCCATTTACTTAGAATTAAAAGAAAATTGAAAAAATTCCTCGCTGCTCATTTCACTCCATACTTTTAGAAGATGAATAAAAGGAAATGGGTTCCACTGACCCATGTAAACATACTTTATGTTCCAACTCCTCTTGATTACCTACCTCAGCTTCCACCAGGCATGGTTGTACTGGTTCTCCGTGATTTCACCCCTAAAAACACCCCATCGCCACATATCCATCATATATGCATACGGTATTAGAATTATTTTCCTCAGTCCAGTCACAAGCAAACTAAGCAGTTCCGTGTCAGCATCCGGAACGGTGGTACCATTGATTAGTCCTAGTCCTTGCAAATGATTTGCCGTTTGTACGGAAAAAACAATTGTATCGCCAATTGCTTCACGGAAACCTGTAGAATCATTTAGCGGGTGAAAAAGCGAAGGTCAAATAAAATCAACTGATTTTCAGTAGTTTGAAGAAGGTAAATTTGAGGAAGTGTGAATTCGAAGTGAGTCAATATTTATCTTAAGCTCGGTGCTATTTTGTCTCTCTTCCTGAATTATCCAAAAATATAGAGGGTTCTAAGAAACTGAAAGAATTATTTCCTATCCTCTTCCCCCCCCCTCCAAAAAAAAATTGTAATGTTCATATAAATAGCAAATTCATCAGACATAAAAATAGATAGAAGTAGCGACCCCAGTACAGCCTTAAAACCTATGACAGGTAAAACCTGCTGCATCATGTAGTATGCGTAGCTTTTGCCGTGGATGTAAGCTGTGCAACATATGTTGGCAGTTTCTGACTCAACCTGAACGATGAATGGATGACGGATGAAATGTGCAAAGAAATGATAGAATTGATAAATTTTATAAGAATAACAAAAAAACTTTTTGTCTTTTGGGCCGAATCTCCCTCTCCTATTAACGAAGAAGGTTCTGGTCTGAGAGTCGATGAAGAATTCTTTGGAGGTGCTTAAGAGTCTACAATGAGCAACTCAAAGCATGAAACTCACTATTATGAAGTATTTCCTTCATTTTTCTAACAGCGCTAAAACTGCTTCTCATTTAGGCTTTTTTTGTATCAAGAAAGAGCAGGGATCTTACTAAAATTGCATATTTGATGATGGCGTAGTAGTTTTCTCTATATTGCAGCAGTTTCAAATGGTTCACCTTCAATCTCTTTCAATCGATCTGTTACTCATTCATAAACGCGGCAAGGGAGGATTATCAGCGGAAAAAGTATTACAACTCCTTTACTATTTCGAACGTATTCTTTAATTTTGGTCGTACCTGGATTAGCACCTTTCTTGAAAAAGTAGGGCTGATGTTTGTACTGCAGGAAATACTCAAGAAGTCCCATTTCACGATGAGCCATCCTCAGATTCTCATAAGTGACGGTCGTGCATTGTCTCATTCTAGCAGCACAAGAGTCATACTTAAATTACATGTCCACATGAAAAAGGGTCAACGTGTATCTTTACTGGGCAGATGACTATTCTCAGGCTAGAGTTTTTAATATTTTGCCTGTAGAGAGAAAAGATGAAGGACAATTTGGGAAGTTTCTGTAACAATTGAGTAATTACAGACTGTATGAAAAATGACTTTGAAGCTGCAAGCAGCATAAACAAACAAATGAGCAATAATAAATAACTGTAAAAAGTTAGTAAGCATTGTTTTTTTTCCTTTTCAGAAAAATTGTGATTTAATGAAGGCAATATTTTTGGAACTAAAAATTCTTTGGCTCTATTTTGCAAGTTAGTTGTATGAGATGTAAGCATTTTACATATCATACTACTTTGTTCAAAAATTTTCTAGCAAAATCTCTTACAGTTAAACATGCCTAGCATACAATTCCTTCAATTCTAATAATTTTTATTTCAAAAAACCTCACCTGTAATCTTTACCATCATAAAAGTCCTTTGCTGCTGCCTCGCATATGACTTTTCTGTCCTTTGGTTTTTCTAACATCGAAAGTTTCCAAAATGAATCAGGCATCGGGTTCAGATCTATGGATGTGTAAAAATCTTCAGCAACTTTAAATATTTTTTCTACAGTGTATCCCTTTTAACAAAATAGTAAATATTACAATGATTACCACTAAAAGTCAACTTTTAGGAAAAAAAACACTAAGTGTGACATCATTATCAGCTATTGTCCAATTGTCCGTCCGATCGTCGTATTGTTTGTTGATGCTGGCATATCATTTCATTTACCATTTTATAACGGTAATAGATGAGCAAGTGAAAGAGAAGAAAGGAAATTACATTCAGTTTCAGTCAGAAAACCTAGTGGTGTGGGAGTATTTTATAACTGGGCGCAATTTTGCAAAAGTTATAAATTTATGAATTGCACCTTGGGAAGTTGCCAAGAAACATTTTCAGGGTTTAAAGTAATGTGAACTATCATTTTAACATTTCTAAAGAGGACTGAAAACCCAAATGCTCTGAAACCGTGTTGCAAAATTTATCAGAAATAGCATTTAAAATTTTTCTATAAGAATCGATCAGAGCACCTTGTAGTATTTGTATACAAGCTCCCTACAACTCAGGTACTATAGAAATTTAGTGTTGCTGCTGTTACCTTTTTGACCATTTCTGGAGTAATATCAATTGCTTTCATATTGAATGGGTATGTCAAGTCTGCAATGCTGAACCATTGATGTGCCCATACATTTCCTAGTAAAAAAAAAAGTACAAAACATCAGGTATTTATGTCTGTAAAGAACTTCTGGTGGTTTTTTAAATTAACAAGCCAAGAGTAATTTCATTCTATGGCAGTGTCATTCTATAAAAAACAAAAAAATTCGTAGAACACGATGGAATTTTGATAGTTCCATAATGAATCCTGTTTAATTTTTTTTTTTCTAGATTTCTTTTTAAATAATTTTTTTTTCTTCTCTAGATTTCTTTTTAAATAAGGGTTCCTCTATTTTTTGTTGAAACAAAGAAAATTCCTTGAAATTTGTATACTTTCAAAAGCTTATGCAGGAGGTTTGGACTTTTTCATTTTATCTTCCTTGGAAAGGGAAATAAATGTGGAGCTGATATTATCTGAGAGATGAAACTGAGAAATTATGAACAAATTATCTGAATTTCTTGATTACTCTTAATTTTCTTTCATTTTTCAATTATTATTTAACTTTTCTTTTTACTCTTATTTTCTTACTGTTCTGTTTCCAGAACAACTAATTCATTTTTCTTCCTAATTTTTCTCTTTTTTCAAGTCAGGTTTTAAACTTTCCATTCATCTAAGTATCCTCTCATATCGATAGATATCGAGGTTCTGTTATTATCAGAGGCTGTACATTTTCTCCGCGAGAATAGAATGTTTTCTTACTTCTTCTGGTTCATATATTTTTTTGAGATTCTGGCAAGAATTGAGCACAAGCTCGCTCACCTCTTTAAGCATTTGTGCAGGTATAAATAAATTGTTTGTAAAATGTTGTGGTTTTGTTCTTAAAATGTTTATAAGTAAATACCCAGTAAATGGGAAGGAATCGGTTTGCCTCTTGGTACAACTTTTTCGCCATATTTTTCTCTCAATTTTCTACGTACGAAAGCATGAACCTGCAAGTATAATGGCTTCATTTGCTCCCAAAGTTTAGCGACATATGTTGTAAAATATTCATCTTCATATTCCCACAACCACAATTTTGCTGGGTCTTTCAAGTCTGAAATCAAATCAAAACATTTTTATTCTTTACAAGTCTTGAATTTTTTGTGTCACCGTCAAAAAAATCTGGGTGCGAATGCAACTGCAAGGCCTTTGATGTTTTTTTTTTCTTACATTTTAAATTCATTTCACTCGCTAAAGTATGGCCTGATTTTTTTATTTTTTTTTTCCATCTTTAAGAGTCTTTTCGGCTTGATCATTCTCTGCATATCAATTTTTTTTAAAAAGGTACAAATAATAAATCAGGTATAATCATAATCAATATCAACTTCTCAACTAATCTACCAAATCGTCATTTGTAGCACTGAATCTTACGAGCTTTGCACTTCATAATGTAACGCCTGTTGGCCTAATTGCTCTTTTTAAAATTACTGGACAAACGGAGAATGAATCATATAATAATTTTCTAATATTTTACAAACCAGTATAGGTACATCTATTTGACTCTAAATATCAAAGTGAAACCGTCGTGTGGCCGGAAAAACTTGGTTAGTTTTGACTTACTCAGAGAATTTTGTCTTTCAGTGGCATGTAATTTTTAAAAGAAACTCATGGGTGTCACTTCTGAGGCGTTATTGATTGTGACAAATTAAAATTTGTATTGGCCAGTGAGTTCTTTGATGCATATATTTTTGTCAGCTTAACCAACATTTTAAACGATGTCACTCCCCCAAGACCTTGATAATTGATGTTTCATGAAAAGATGAAAACGCATTTACTGTTACTGTGTACTTACTGTTTAAAGCTGCTGCTTCTCTGAATAACCGAACATATCGGGGAAATAACGGTCTGATACCCTTGCCAATGGCATTGTGCCATTCAATCCAGTAATATTTCAGTTCATCTGGATCTCTGCTTGCAGCCATTATTTTCATAATATCTGTAATTCCATTAAAACTCATTTATTCACCAGCCTTTGATAAATTCGGACACTCTCAGTAATGTTACTCTAATGCAAAGGATCATTTTATTCATTTACCAATATCTTTTTGCTTTATCTTATGGAAAGTACCCAAGTCCTCGAGTAATATTACATACCAATGCACTCTCCACTTTTGAGCTTTACTTTATTACTTACTCTTACTTTTTAAAATCAGAGTTCAATAGTCTGTTCTTTGCCTTTACTCAATTTAGTAAGTAAGAATCAAGAAAATCGTTTTTACAAAATCCCTTTTAAAATTAAGATAAACTAGGTTTTGGTTTTTGCTCTTCCAACCCTTACTCATAAAAAATGGTAAAAAACTGGTTTTCATCAATGAATTTTAGTTTTATAATCCGTAGGTTTTGACTTATTGTTAAACTATCTTCAGCTCTAAATATACCAAGGAGGCCCAAATTTTTCAGTAATTTTCTTTCAAGGATAAAAGACTGCTTTAGTGTGAAAAAGTAAATAAAAACCTGGGTCAAGTTTAACATCACAGTTAGTCCTGTTCTGGTAACTGCAGACCTTTGCTTGACTGTAGAGATCGGTCATCTCACCTATGATTTGTTTATACTGGGAACAAAATCCAATAGATTAAAAGTTAAAAACTTTTAATGACATGACACAATTATTCATGAGGTGGCCATTCCAATGCACTCACTATATGAGAAGAAAATTAATGAAAAATCGTTTGAAGAACCAATTTCTTCCGTGTATATCTAGGCTGGCGTTCAGCTGAGCAATGTGTAGCTTAAGCAGCTAGAGTGCACTGAAAGGAATGAAAATTTTATAAAATTGCGTTTGAGGTCTGCTGAACTCATGAAATGGGTGTTTTTACGTTTTTACTTGAGTGATTGTCCCGGAAATACTAAGCTGAGATGCAGCTAAATTACCGGTTTGGATCTGTTGCCTAATCGTTCAAGCGAAGGCGAGTTTTTTGTTTTACTGCAGTGAGAAACGGGCATCAGTTTCCAGGTAAAAATACAATTTAGTAGTGAAAATTTTACAATGTTGAACACTACTTTAGTTACGTGTTTTCATCTGGGAAATGATGTATGAGAACGATGAAGCTACTCATGGCTGGATTTAGGGGGTGGCCACATGGGCCGCGGCCTATGACGGCAAATTTAGAGGGCGGCAAATTTTTCAATTATTTTAAATGTAGGTATAAAAAAATCGGATTCAGAAAAAAAAATTAGAAACGAGAAAAGGTGGCAAAATCTCTCATTTCCTGAGAGTACAGTAATTTCTAATTTTGTCGTCTATCGGTGATACAAGAAACAGCACCTTTAATTAGTCGCGTTGAGAGAGAAACCTAACTCCCAATTTGGCCTTGAGCAGCGCGGCACAAGCAATGATGACGAGGACTTGAGATGAAAAGGAGAAGTCCTCGGCGCGGCGCGCGGCGGTCGGCATGTAAGCGCCTACAAGACTGCATGAATACTTCACGCATTGCGTCAAACACAGTGAGGTCAGCAGCGGTCGGCGTGAAACGCATAGCGCCTACAAGACTGCATGAATACTCCACGCATTGCGCCAGACACAGTGCGGCAGCACGACGCGGCGGCGGAAGTTAAAATTATTAAACCAAATTCATGTTTGTTCTTTCATAATTTTTTCGTTCATTTCTTATAAATAGAAGGCCTTGTCCACACAGAGATAGGTTTACGAAACTTAACTTTCTCGCAAAGTTCCGTCAACTTTTGCTTGTAGTGTTGACAGGGCTTTCGCAATGAATGTGTCCAACACGAGCGGACGTATCTTATGCACCCCTCCCCCTCCGACACGTTCACTTGATGGTTTTTATTGATGTTTCAAAATGAATGAGAAGGGGGCGGAAAAATACAGGCGGCCCATGGGCGGCAAGTACGTAAATCCGGCCCGGAACTAATGTGAACTAAAATCGTTAATATCTTATTAGTTAGGAGGTGATTTTAGTAATTTTGATGCCACCAGCTTGCGTCTCTGACTATGGATCTCCTAATTTTTAGTTTTATTTGCAACGTGTGCAGCGGCTTGAGTATGGGTGTATAAGTATAAAAAGTAAAAGAGATCTCTCTCCAAACGCTGTTCAGGCGGCACAGCGAATTACCTCTTTGTATTTTTTCTCCGTAAGAGCCTCCTCTCCTATGATGGAGAACATGAAGAACTGTCTTTTGAGCCTCGCATCCGTGAAGGTTCGCCAGCGATACTGCTTTGCCTCTAACCATCTCTTCCGTATAAATCTTGCACTCTCTGCTTCGACTGCAATCTACAAACGAAAGCAATCGAGAAACGTGAGGTAATCCTTTGAACATAACGTCATTATTTCCTTCTGTATTATTGGAAATTGAAGTTCACCATGGCTTTAACTTTTTTCTGGCAGGATTTCCGAAGAATTTGTATCAACTCTTCGAAATCGGAAAACTGAGATATTTCAAGTCGATTGTTCAGGGTTCCCAGCGGTTTGAAAAACCGGATATAATGGAAAGTATAGCTACATGAAAATCTGGGAAAATCAGTTTGGGATTTTCTTGAAAAATGCAAAGAGTCAGAGAATTTCCACACGGACTTAGAATCGGAAAAAAGACGAGATCTTTCAATTTGTATGTGTTTAAGTTTCCTGTCGCTGAATGTGAAGTTCAGAACTCGGAAGGAGTCAGAACCACTCAATACCGTTTGGGTCAAAATTTTAATAAGTACTTACTGTACCTAATTTAGGTTGAAGGATATGAGATTTTTCCTTCGAAAAAGTCAGGGAAAAATTTTAATTCTTATAGGTCCGAGAAAACTGGAAAATTCAGGGAATATTTGTCAAAAATTGGCAAAACACCATCATTTACCTGTTTATGAGATGAAGCACCCTTTTAATCAACCTTACAGATTTAAAAAAAGAAAAGAAAAAACAATCGTTTTCTTTTTGCCATATAATGGTAGAGCGACAATCTATTCATACAAGCTAGGCAGTTTTGGCATTTTGGTTCCGAGAAATCTGAAAAAATCGGTAAGCGAATATCCGCGATATAATCCGCTTCGCGGAAATTCGCGTCGGAAATACTTCGCGCATAGAAAAGCTCGGTTTATCACTTACTGCCATGCTAAGGAAAAACGCCGTATAAGAATTCGAATGTTGCCAAGTTTCTTCTCAGAAAATATTAACTTTTGAAGGAAGTTGTGAATATCATTCCTTGAAATTTCCAGAATTTTTAGATCAAGTGAAGAGCACAGTTCTCTGAAAAATTGGAAGAAAATTATTCACGAATTTTCCCCTTTACGAATTTTCAAAATTTTTGGCAACATCTGAAGACTCATATACGGCGTTCTTTCTTTTAGCAAGGTGGAAAAGGTTTGGTGTGGGACGTACCTGGTTATTGAGCGTTTCGTTGCTCACGTTTGTTTCGTAGGCCCACGAAGCGAGCATATTTTTATTCATTCGTTTGTCCATCTCTTTACTAAGACGAGCCATGAATCGCCTCGCATCTTCTTCGCCTCGTCCATTAATTGTCTCATCAGAATCATCGTAATCGCTAGAATCCTCAGAATCGTCGGAATCATCGGAATCGTCATCTGAGAACCAATCGCTGGGACCTTGGGATCGGACGCCGGTGAAACTGGTCACAACCAGCAAGAGGCCGATGCATATCATCAGCTCCTTCATACTGAAAATGGAGTGAAGCTCAAGGCGAGGCGTAAATGATCGATTATCTATTTTTCCCCATTCGAAGCCATGATAAAGAATCGATTATTGAGGTCTCCGTTGCCAACACCCTGTATATCGATCCTTATGGTTTAAATGGCTTTAATGTGTTAATGGAGGTTCAAATAGATGTTCGATTTATCGCGAAGTACGCCATGCCACTGAGTGAAGCTGGTCACGCGCACAGGTTAAAATTAATTTTTTGACCTGAGACTTTTTGGATGCCATTTTTGAGGTCACAGGTTTAGATTGGGAGCACCAATTTTCCTCGGGGAAAAACTTGAAGAAGGAAAAAAGAAAGAAAAAACTGTGAAGATTCCTTATTTGCCGCGTCACATCTTCCTTTCGTACTTAGGCCATAAACTATCAGGAGAGAAAGAGGGATCAGGAAAGTCAAATGCCATGACTTAGAAGAAGAAATTCTTAGCTTTTCACTTCAAGTGGTTCTCATTCCTGCAGTTTAAGAATTTTCATTTTCGCGTTGTAACGGACACATTTTCTTAAAAGTCAGTTTCTTTTCATTTACCTATTTATTCTGAAGTTTCAAAATTACTTACAATATACGATTTCTGTCAGAGGTGCATGACAATCCAGTGGCCCTAGCCCCAAGCAGTGAAGGAAGCTTTTGCCAACAATTTTTGCCAGATAGGTACAATAGAAAGACGGAAAAATCAGCATTTTGACTCTGCTACTTACGTCTTTGGAGAAGTTTCCCATATAAATCCCACAAAATTGTTTTTAAAGTAGAGACTTATATTATTTTTACCTGCCGTGGAGAAGATTTTTTTTTCTGTAGAAAATATTTGTTGCTAGCCGAAACCTATTGCAACAACTGATAAAAGAAAATTATTATAATCTATGTCAACCGGTATTCGTCGGTAGAATGAATTTTATGTTGTTTTGCTTCACGTACAGGCATGTCGCGTAAGTGATGACAAATCTCGAGGGTTTAAACAGCTGCGAAGTAACGCAACAAATAACCTCGCAACTTGCTAGTTCAAGTTTAAAATAATGGTTCTTTACGTCTAAGCATGGATCACTGATGCCTTGCTCGTGCCCAGAAGCACAGCTCTCAGATTTATCCACACTTACTTGAACTGCAAATTGTTCTTTCATTGGTTCATGCGTATGTCGTAAATAATGTAATAATACTTTTTTTTCGTGTACTTCTAATTTTTATCCGGCTGCTATGATTAATTTAAATGTGTTCTATTATTAATTGCGTTCCCTCGTGTTTTATTATTTTTCGAAGCAGAGACCTCTCAAAGAAGTCAAAGACTCATAAGAATTGTTTAATTCTATTTTTCTGTTACATTGACTTGCTGATTGCACATTCTGTGTTTGACGGTATCCAAAAACGCAAATATTCAAAACCGCAAATCCGTAAATTGAGAAATGCATAGCCCAAAAGCGTTAAGAAAGAGTGCAGAGACTCACTCCAGAAGCGCAAGTACTTAAATAAAGTCATTGCTTTGTTCAAAATTGTGTGCCTTTTTTCTGGACTTTATTTACTGGAGTGCGGGTGCGTGCCTGGAGAGTCAAAACGCCTTCAATACCGTGCATATACATCACGCACATCCATGGAACCCGAATAGTTGTATCTAGGCGTTGTACTGAGAGTCGTAAAGTTTTCGTCACGTGCGAGACTAAAGGAGAGCGCTTTGATCGTTTCTTTTGCATCTTGACTTAATTCTAGCGTTGCCTATTGCGCCGATGAACTAAATGATTTTTATCGCGACATTGAGAAGGTACCCGGCTAAGTAGCTCGATTCAAGTAAACTGCTCCGTAAATGGCCACGACGCATTTGTTTTCTTGGTTACCCGCATCGTTACTATTCCTCAGTGTGCATGTTTTTGCAGTGGCCGCTATGCTTGAGGAAGGTCTAAGTAAGAAGGATACCAGCTTACAAAATAGACTAGTTTTACAACCTCGAAGTAAATTTTATTAAACGAATCAACTAAACATGGATCCTTGTGATGCATTGGTATTATTCATCACTGAAAACACCAGAAAATACTTTAAGAAAAAAAGAAAATTCGATATAATTGAAACAAACCTATCGATACCTTCAGTATCCCCTAAAGAAACCTTAAAGTTATGGCCATTATGCTGTAATATATTTGGATTTATTTTAATGGAAAAGGACTGAAATCGACCGTAAGGATACATTTACAAGATGTTCAGTTTAAACTCTATTACAAGTTTGGTGAAATTATTTTTAACCTTATATTTTATTAAAGACCTCGTTAAAATTCCTTTTGTCAAAAAAAGAACAGCATCGGTGGATTAAGTAAAAAATGCACGTATTTTGATAGTAAAACGTTTAAACTTGTGCGCTTTTTTATTTTTCATAATGACTGAAATAAACGTGTTCGACCTTTTCCTTAGAATAATATTATCTGCTATGAAGAAAAGTCAACACAAATCTATATGAATATCGTTTACAAATGTTTTATCGGAAAAGTGGAATGTTTAATTTAAATAAATAGGTTCGACTTTTTTTTACCTTTGCTCGGAGTGGGCGCGAAACGTTCCAACAATAACCGCCTCTCACTGAAACTCACAGCAACTTTGAAAAATAAAAGTGCTGTGCGTCAGTAGGGACATTTGCTTGCCCCTTGGACAAAAATGTTTACATTATTATTCTTATTTCAAGGACATGTTACGTTGGTGGGACAAAGCTCAATAGTTTCTACAGCTTTACTTGCAGTTTGAACAGCTGCGCATACAACAAAGCAATAAATAACCGCCCCTCTGCACCGCATCAGCATCTGATGTAATTGGTATCCAGTTTTTTAAAAATGTCTGTAGCATTTGTTGACGCGTTTAAATCACAGTGGCGGGAGTCCTGTCCCCTCTCCTATCTTCAAACAATTCAAAATCTTGAAATTTCATTTGTGCGTTTGACGCTTTAACTTTATCCAGCATGTTTTAAGAATATTTCAGTAGAGGTTAGAAAGTTATGGTAACTAAGACCGTTCAAGTATTACGAAACGCTTTTTTCCGATTTTTTGACCCCCTCCCGTCGTAACGCACTCGTAACGCAGCCCTATACCCCCCTTTTCGATTACGTAACGCTGGCCTGCCCCCTCCCCATTTTCAAATGTCAAGAAAACGCCGATAAAACAGCTTGGGAAAAGGGTGGGATTTTTTATTTACTACACTTTTTTTTCAAATCTCCTCCTCCCCCCCCCCCCGGCTCGGATTTGTTACGTAACGCTATAGGTTTGATCCCCTTCCCCTTTGTAATGAATCGTAACGCTAGTTAAACCCCCCTCCCCTGAGTACGTTACGTAATACTTGAGCATGTTCATTTTGAACCATGTTCCCAGACCATTCCATGTTGAAATTCTTTAATATTCTTATCAGGCATGTTCACTCATAGAGTAGTGCGTGTTGTCATTGATTGCGAGTGAGCATCTTAGAATACGTTTATGAGCACCAATCATCAAAAATCTTCGAGGGCAGCGTGGTCGTGAATGATTGAAATCAAACGCAAAGAAATGTAATCGTAACGAAGAGACTGTTTTATTATACAAAATCAACTTTAAAGCAAAATAGCACTCCAAATTCAAGTAAGCAGGGCGTCACAATTAAAGTGAATATCACTCTCCTAATTTTCGTAAATCTGTTTTCTTATAAAGAACTGAACTGCAGGTATTTTCCCAAACTCTGGAGCGCTCTTTCGATGACTCTTTCTCCTTGTCCCCCAAGTCAGGGTGTACCGTTCCGTGTTTCATTCACCTGCTGCTCAGAGGAGATAACATAAATTAAAAAATAATCAAGCCCGTAGTTCCCAAACATTTTTTGAGTGAAATATTCTGAGAGATGAGCCTGCATGCCTTGAAGATTTCGTAAGTTTTCGCAAGATTCGCTGAACGAAGCATCCACACTGTGCCCAATAATTCAGGCTTGAACAGGATACTGCCTTGCATCTTGCAGAAATACACGTATAAGTAGAAATCAACAACGAGGACGTTCAATAAATGAAGGCCTTTATTTATCGGGGTGGGTGTTAAGTTTTTTTGTTCGCTGCTAAGCCAGGTGTATCACCTCCACCATCTGCATTCGGTATCCTATCATTTTCATTATTTAAGAATTCAGCGCTTGAATAACATTAAAAACGCCAAGTATTGCGTTTTTTGTAAATTTTGAAAATAACAGGTTAAAAGTTAAAAAACCAATGTAAAAGCAATAAACACATTCAGAACTCCGCGTCTCTTGTAATTGGAACTCATCAATCTTTCCTTTTTCAAAATACAGAAACAAAAAAATAAAATGAAGTTCACACTTAATGACTCCTTCAATATTGTGAGCTCGTGGAAATTTTGATAAGGTCACCGGCAGACAGTGCTCGTTTTATACGTAAAAGAAACTTATAAGTTTGAACCCTCCCCCACTCGCCATCAAAATACTTGAAATTCGGGTTTCCCATCAAAAGCTCTTCCTTTGAAAAACTTATTTATAGCGATCGATGACTTTACTGAGCTCTCTCAAAATCCGTTCCCGTTCCAGTATTTCATTCAATTTGCGCCAAACTGCCAGTTTGCGCAAATAGAGCCAATATCATTTCGCCTCCTCAGCGTTTTGTTCAGTCGTCGCTGCAGCCCTCATCCTTTCCAATTCTTCCTCTGTTTGCACGCATTCTGAAACAGTAAAATACACGTGTAAGTGTACAAAGTCTAGCAAAAATGCTTTAGTTGATAATCAACTTGATAATGATAATGACTTCAGCATTTCGACGATCGAAGTCGCAAAATACGCATTTACAGTTGGGACGTTGGGCGCATCTGTTTTTTTCTCTCTCATTTTCTTTGACGGAAAAACACCAACATCTTGTCTTGAAGTAGTCTGTGAACTATCTTTTTTTTCATCAAGAAATATTCACACAAAAATGAACCGAAGTGAATGGCGCGATTCATGTCACTTTGTAATTGCACTTGCGGTTTATGTTACCTTATTCTCTGTTCATAAAACCACGTTTCTACTGATCAAGGTCCTTTTCTCGGTACTTAAAGGACCGTCCATAAATTACGTAACGCTAGGTGGGAGAACGGAGGGACGAAGAAAGCGTTATGCCATTTAGTTTTCACGTGTCAAAGCAAAGGGCCCTACGTCACAAGAGCGTTACAAGGGGGAGGGGGGTCAAAAATACCGAAAGAGTACGTAACGTAATCTATGGCCGGTCCCTAGGGTCACATGAACTGAAAAATTGGCATTGCGTGCTATATGCAACGTAGCCAATGCACTTATAACACAGGCTCCCCCAGAGCGTTATCTATCTTACATGAGCGGCCTCTTTCCTCTGCTATAATTCGCGGAGAAGCCTTTAGATTCGCCTTCAATCGAGAAGGTAGGCATAAGCAGACCTTCGGAAGCCGCAAAAATTGTATCCAATGAAGATTTACACTTGTGACGTTTTATTGCATAACAATAATTTGTTAATAGTTGTTGCCCGTTTTCAGTGTTTTTCTTGACTATGTTATCAAAATTTCTGTCATAATAACAACATTCCCAATTGAAAGGTACTTATCAGGTACTATTTTAGATTTTTAACCATTTTTATTTTAATTTATCCAACCAAGGATGGCTGAATTTTTCAGCCGAAACGTTTTGGTTTTGTGTATGTGAAATTTTAGCCTTGTTACCCGCTTTTTATATTGTTTTTTTTTTTATTGAATAATTTGTTACGTACTTCTTTCGGATGCGGTCCATCCGATGTATTCACCCGTCCGCTTGTTCTCTCGTTCTAGGTATTGCTGGAGCGGGCTGAAATACTGGAGCAAAGCCGACGCGTCCATTTTTCCTTGACCGGTCATGATTTCCATCGCTTTTTGCCATGGCACCGAAGATCCTAATCGCAGCATGCTCCTGGGGAAAAAAAAAATATATCAGAAAACTTCTCATTGGGTGAAGAGCAAATATTCGAGGATTACGTTTTCGGATCTTGCAAATCATATGCAGACCAATCTTGGTAAGTTCTTAAACTATTTTCTGTTGTATTTGTTTCTGATCATATTGTTATACCTATGTGAAGGACCTCGTAGGCGCTTTTCTCTCGCTGAAGACGCAAGTCAGTCTTGTTTCTTCATTTTCAGCTGCGAAATGGATGGGATCAATCAAAGCACAGTCGCACCAAAACTCGATCAATTCAATCATCGTCTTGCAAATTCTTTATTTATACATATTTGTGTTCTATACATCAGTCGATGCCGGTTTTACTGCTTGTGTTACCGAAGAAGTAAATTATTCGTTACAAGATGAAAATTACAGCTTGTAAAGGCTCGAAACGTTCTGCCTTTTTAGAGAATTTAATATTGAAGCCTTGTTTTACCAATGTATTCAGTTTATATTCTCTCCAGGGCCGGATTAAGGGGGTGGCCACCATGGGCCGCGGCCCATGGCGGCAAAAATAGGGGGCGGCAAAATTTGCACTTTTTTGAATGCAGGTACAAAAAAATCGGATTCAGAAAAAAATTATAAACAAGAAAAGGTGACAAAATCTCTCATTTCCGGAGAGTTCATTAATTTCTAATTTTGTCGTATTTCGGTGATATAAAAGACTGCGCACCTTCAATGGGCCTGTTGCAAACTTTTGCTAGAGCAAAAATAAGAGTTGTTTCTTATAGATAATGCCTCAAAAATCACGATGAGCGCATTGGCAAAGTCTGAAATGCACTCATAACTTCACAGTCTGCGTAAGAAATTTGCGGTTTTTTGAGCTTCCCGCTTCAAAAGCGATACTACGGCACAGGTGAACATTTTGTAAGAGGAGTCGTTCCATCGTCGGCAATACTCATCATGGCCGACGCCAATCCGCCAAAACACGTGTGATGGGACGAGATAATACCTGAACTGGATTAGACCAGATAACAATCGGCGTGTTTTAACGTTCATGTTTTCCACGCCCGAATTGATTGACCTTGAACTCTCCTCGAATTACGCGCGGAACTGTGCGCAAGTGTCGGCCATGATGAATATCGCCGACGATGGAGCGACTCCTCTAACAAAATGTTCACCTGTGCCGTAGTATCGTTTTTGAAGCGGGAAGCTTAAAAAAACGCAAATTTCTTACGCAGACTGTGAAGTTATGAGTGCATTTCAGACTTTGCCGATGCGCTCATCGTGATTTTTGAGGCATTATCTGTAAGAAACAACTCTTATTTTTGCTCTAGCAAAAGTTTGCAACAGGCCCATTAGTTAAGTTAAGAGAGAAACCAAACACGTAATTTGGCCTGGAGCGGCGCGGCGCAAAGAGAAATGATGACGAGGACTTGAGATGAAAATGAGAAGCCCTTGACGCGGCGGTCAGCATGTAACACATAGCGCCTACGAGACTGCATGAATACTTCACGCATTGCGTCAAACACAGTACGGTCAACAGCGGTCGGCGCGACACGGCGTGAAACGCTCAGTGCCTACAAGACTACATGAATACTTCACGCATTGCGCCAAACACAGTGTGGTCAGCGTGGTACGGCGGCGGAAGTTAAAATTATTAAACCACATTTATTTTTGTTCTTTCTTAATTTTTTAGTTCATTTCTTACAAATGAAAGGCCTTGTCCCCACAGAGATAGGTTTACGGAACTGAACTTTCGCGCGAAATTTCGTGAACTTTTGCTAGTAGTGTTGACACGGCTCACGCAAAAAATGTGTCCATCACGAGTGAACGCGTCTCATGCACCCTTCTCCCTCCGGCACGTTTACTTGATGGTTTTTATTGATGTTTCAAAATGAATGAGAAGAGGGCGGCAAAATACAGGCGGCTTATGGGCGGCAAGTAGGTAAATGCGGCCATGATTCTGTCGTGTTCGTATTTCCGGGCTCTATAATTAGACCTTTCAATGCTAAAAAGAACTATGTTGCCAACAAACCCTGTGCCCATAGTTTCTTTTAGCATAAATACATCCAATTTATCGACAGCAAAACTCCCGAACCTTGTATCTCGGTCCACGAGGTTGCAGACTTCCTGTCGTATTTATTTTTTAAATGGATAAATTTACCCAAACGCAACTTTTGAAAATTGCCGCGATTTTTCCCCCGTGTGCTAAAAAAATTCTGCGAGAACTTCGAGAAATGATGTTGAGTTTTCTTCGTTTAAAAAAATAAAATAGTAGCCAAGATTCGAAAACACCGCAAGACGCAGACAAGATACGTGGTTTTGGAGTCTAACCTTTGTAATGCAGTTTTGCTATTCGTGGCGTTGAGTTGCAATTATGTGCATGGACCGCTGAATGAATGAAAAAGAGCCGATGGCTTATTCATCCTTTATCAGAATTAATCTTACACTGGAAAAAAAAAACACATTGGATCTAGAGTCCAGACTCTTGAAAACATTTACAAGAAAAAGGACTCTTGATTCAATCAGATTTAAGCTTAAATCAAAAGGAAATCCCCTCAAATTAAGAGGCTTGGTTCTTGATTTAAGCAAAACTCGGATTGAATCAACAGTATTTTTTCTTGTCGATGTTTCGAAGACTCTGGACTCTAGATCCAATGTGTTTTTTTTCCCCCAGTGTAATACTTGAGCATGTTCATTTTGAACCATGTTCCCAGATCATTCCATGTTAAAAATCCTTTAATATCCCCTCAAATTAAGAGGCTTGGCTCTTGATTTAAGCTTAGATCTGATTGAATCAAGAGTAGTTTTTTCCTGTCGACGTTTTTAAGAGTCTGGACTCTAGATCCAATGTGTTTTTTTCCAGTGTATTAACATTTATTCACCTTTTTTACCGGTGCTTGAAAAAGCCATTTTTGGGGCAAACATTCTTGAAGACCGCTGGAAGCGATACAGACCTCGCCCAACCTTATCGTAAACCACCCCCCCCCCCCCCCCCAAAAAAAAAAATTTGGAGTAAAAAGAAGAAATTCAGTGAGAAATTGACGCTCACCCTAATAGATTTCCAGCCTCTTTGCTTTGGTAGACGTCGCACTCGTGTAGCGGTTTGCTCATTGGATTTCTCCGGTCGAACTGCCCGGCCGCCTCGCACATCGCCTGGTGGAATTGGAATTGAATCACGAAGCTCACGAAATACCTGCAATTAAAATAATTTTCAAATTTTCGGACTTCTATCCGGATAATGAAGATACTTTTACATTCAAGTACTTCGGAAATGACTCCTCTACACTGGAAAAAAAAACACATTGGATCTAGAGTCCAGACTCTTGAAAACATTGACAAGAAAAAATACTCTTGATTCAATCGGATTTATACTTGAATCGAAATGAAATCCGCTTAAATTAAGAAGCTTGGTTCTTGATTTCAGCTCGATTCTGATTGAGTCAAGAGCACTTTTTCTTGTCGATGTTTTTAAGAGTCTGGACTCTAGATCCCATGTGTTCTTTTTTTCCCCAGTGTAGCTTGAAATTCTGTTCGAGGATGTTTTCCAGAGTACCCATAGGACATTACATGGTAACTTTGGAGTTAGGTCATAGAGCTCCTAGAGCATAAATGAGGAGCCGACCTCTGAACTCAAATTATCCAGCATGATTTATTATTACAAGTGTTACGACCCGTCGTATTTAAAGCACGTATTTTATTTAATTTTTGCATTAAGTTACTCATTTTTGTGGAAAGACGCTCCTTCATGACGCTCGTTTATGGAAATTCTTTGTCATCTTGATTTGATATCGGTATCTGAAGATGGCAGCGGCATTTTTCTGGTGTTCTACGTGTAGGAAGGTAGGCTGCTCTTTTGAGCCCTAACATCTCGTCTTTTGACCTGCCCATGGTGTTTCCATGATTTTCTGTGGTTTCAAAGCTTCAAACCTTATTATTCGAGATTAAGAACTTTAAATGCTCGATTTGGCAGAAAGTAAAAACAGTTCGGCTCGAAAAACTTTCTGAAAAGTTTCACGCGATTACAATACGTTTCCTATCGGCTAGAACAGTATGAATAAGTATTAATTAACGAAGCGTGTAATCACCTGAGATATTCAACGCCAGCCACGATATGATATTTAGCTCCGGGGTCGAACGAGTCTTCCGAACGATCCACGGGTGGCTCAACTCCTTGAATATCAGTCCTGCAAACGGAAAAATAATTAAAACCTCCATATCCGAATTACTAAATCATGATATGTCACATAATGAATAAGTTGGACGTAGTTTTGTCAAACGAAACCATAGAGTACAATAGAGTCGCAATGTACTGGAGAGCAGATGAAGTCACTTTTTGAGACTGTTTTGTCCAGGACTTCTGAGACTAGTGTGCTGAGTGTGCGGCGATTAGCGTTACTGTATCTGCGAGGTCCGAGCTCCGAGCTTCGGTGTCCGCTCAGAAAATACAGGTATTTTATCTCATTAAAACCGGGAGCTCCCTAAATTTTTTAATTTGTAATAATATTGGTCAATATAATTTGCCAAAGTTCGCGAAAATAGTTATTGATTTAAAATAATAAATCCCAAAATCTACTCACAGTCCGCGACTCTCTCATAAGCCGCCGTGTTACAAAATGCCATCGGGTTCACTTGGTTCACACTTTCCGGCGAACAAGGGGCTCGAAATGGCCCGTTCGTGGATTGACTTCATCGGCGCTCCAGTACATTGCGACTCTGTTGTACTCTATGAACGAAACTATGTGCATTGAGACATCAGCCCTGGGACCCATAAGAATATATGAATAACAGGGCTCATGTAGTAATGCATTTAGTTCCGTTTGGCAGAAATACGTCCATTTGTTTGTTGAGATGAATCAAAATAGAAACTTTTCTCAGTGCGAGAAAATAGATACTTTTTTCTATTATTGCGTTCAAGTCTCCTCGCTACCTTACATTATGAGGTGGCATGCAAAGTGTCCTTTAGGTTGCGGTCTATTACGGTCATGTTAAAAAATGTATGCTCACTAGGAGCCAATCAGTTCCACTCGTAAAAAAAATAATATCCCCAAATTTTGACTCGAGCCAATTCGAAGCATTTTTCGATAACCCTCATAGCGATCGAAATTCTAAAAATAATTACACTGGTTTATTGAGGGAATAGGCCAATCTGCGGAGATGCGTTTGTTGATTATGAAATGTGCCCAAATGAAAATAACCTAACCATCTCAGGTTGCAACTAGGAGCCTATTTGAAACTAGGAAATCACACTTTTAATCTATGAGTGGGGGTATGGGGCTATAGGGGTCACGGCATAGACGCTTTTGAGGCGCCGTGCGCAGTGAAATGATCGCATATAGATTCAATGTTTTTTTTTTTTTTTTTTTTTTTTTTTTCCCCCCAGTGTGTTTCTTAACAAGTTGTGAGGCATATTTTCGTTCAATTTCTAGGCACATTTTTTTAAACCCTCATCAATGCTCAAGAACTGAAACCCGAGCATTTTTTAAAATTTTCTTGACGTCCTTAAGCGGTAGAGTTTACCTCAACTTCCACCAAGCACAGTTGTAGTGATCCTTAGTGATCTGTCCCCTGAAAACATCCCAGCGCCACAGGTCCATGGTGTAGGCGAAGGGTAGGAACACGATCTTCTCGAGTCCGACGTGGAAGAGATGGTTGAGCTCGGCTTCCGGGTCGGTCACCGTGTTCGGCTCCATGAGTCCTATCTTTCGCAAATGCTTTGGAGTTTGCACCGAGAGAGCTATCACATCGCCCACCGCCTCATGGAAACCTGCAAAATCTCATCGAATTTTAGGCGCTGAGTTATTGAACTTTGGCAATTTGCGGAGGTACACGGTTGTTCTGAGTTAAGGTGATTCGATGGACGTCATATTTTGTGTCAGAACGGCATGCGATATATCGCATCAATTGGTTCCATTTTTTCAGCCACTCGTCATTTTTCTCCAATTTTGAGATCGCAATTCTGTTGTCAGGAGACTAAAGCACTCACAAATTTTAACAAAAAAATTCAACGTAATAAAGGCGTGGTTTTTTTAGAGAGAAAATATCGCATTCGAGTGCAATTTCGATATCAGTACCGAATGCGATGTTTCTCTCTGAAAAAACCACGCCTTTATTACGTTGAATTTCTTTGTTAAAATTGGTAAGTGAGTGCTTAAGTCTCCTGACAATAGAATTGCGATCTTAAAATTGGAGAAAAATGACGAGTAGTTGAAAAAATGGAACCAATTGATGCGATATATCGCATGCACAAAATATGGCGTCCATCGAATCACCGTAAGTACTTTTACAGAGAAACTCTGGATAATGGATCTCATGAAAACTCGTTAGACCACCACCGAAAAAAAAAAATTGCGGCGACTTCGGGTGGGAAAGGGTTGTTGCCAATTTTTGACGGTTATCGTTTGATGCGTTTGTTATCAACCCATTTCCTACATGTCGACTGTGCAAGTCGGCAATCACAAAACTTAAGAAACGTAATTTTTCAGGAGAAGGAAAAAACTCTCTACATTCCTCATCTTTGAAGGTAGGGGGGAAATAATTCTTGAAAACAGTCAGGATAAGATGCTTTATGAGACTCTATAATCATTTTGAGTAAATATTCTCGTCTGTCAGGAGAAATGACCGAAAAACCGAGTTATGTGTTTGTGGAACTAAGGTCCAACATTGAATTCCGAGATACGTGGTTGGCGAATTACTGTCTCAAACCTATTCTTTGCCGATGTTGACTGAATAAAGACTCAATATAGAGTTGCCTCTTAAAAAATGCGTTGCAAATAATATGGATTAACGGATGCAATAAAAATACTTAGATCCCATGGTGTACTGGTATTAAAATGAAATGATGGAAAAGGAACCGGCAGCTCAAAAAGTATTATTCTTGATTAAATCTTCTTCAATGGCGTTCCAGATAGATCAAGCACCTTCAAATACGCACTTATGCAACACTGATACCAAAAGTTTACTCCCCTTTCATCTAACAGCGACTGTCATACCGTACGTGAAAAAGAATGTGACTCCAGTCCATTTTTACTCTCTTGTTTTTTACCGGAGGAGGCATGACCGAGTGTCTGAGTTTTGACAGCCACTTTAAGTATCCTCTCACTTCAAAAGTAGCCTAACGTTCGTTTTAACACACTTTAATTGGTAGCGAATCACTAGAATGACACCGGAAAACAATTACGAATTAAAATGAAATGAAGATAAAAATAAGCGGACGATTAGGTACTCAGTTATCTGTCGGATTTAGTGTTAGATGTTACAAAAATAACAATGTTGTTGTTTGAAGATTTCCGATTGAGCACAGAGGAAAATTTCAATAGTCGCCGCCCGCGGCGCTTTATGGTCCAGAACTCAAGAATAGGAAAAAATAAGTTGTATAATGACTGAAAGATCACGAAAGTTTCGTTTCTGATGATTTTTGAGTCGCTAATTTTTAATTTGAATTGCCAAGATTTTAACACCCTGACCTATTAATTGTGAGCAAGTTTATGGCACGCTGCGGCGCGGCGCGGCATGCTGTCAGCTCAAAATGCACATTGACGCCTACAAACCTAAAGGGATACTTCAAGCATTGCGCAATGCGTGAAGTAACGCCTACAAACCTAAAGGGATACTTCAAGCATTGCGCAATGCGTGAAGTAGCCCTTTAGGTTTGTAGCGATACCAGCGAATAAAACATCATTTTCTGTAATTTCGAATCATCTGCATGATACAACGTTTCCAAAACTAGGCGTCTGGACTATTTTATCCAAGCGTGTAAGACTAAACTATCAAAACACGACTCACTCACTCGACTTGCCTCACAAGGAGTCATCGATCAAAACTTGTTTTTGAAGAACTCAGGGTTTAATTATTAAAAATGTTCTGAGAATAAGTGATTCTCCACCGTGGTGTAGGGAAAGGTTTGAATGAAATTTGTCTAGTTTAGTTGCTAGTTTAAGAATTTTGAGCGTTAAGCATCGCACTCACCTGAGTTGGCTCCATTTTTATATATGTGTGGCTGATCCCTGTATTGTTGAAAATACTCGATGTGTCCCATTTCATGGTGTGCCGTTGATAGCTCGTCAGCGGATACAGTCGTGCATTGTTTAATTCTACACAGACACACATATAAGTTTCATGCACATCAAAAGCCGGTTTGAAACAACAACAAAAATGCGTGCAATACACTATTTTAAGGGACGTGGATGAGAACATCGACGAAAAGAACATGAAGATCCACTGGGAACTTCTTTTATTGAAGTATCATTTTGACTCAAAGTGTTGTTTCTTGTGGACAAAATTTGGTTTTATTCGTGATTAAATCCGTGTGGATTAAACTTAAAGTCAGTTTTTTTGTTCAAAATCGTCGTTTTGCCATCGCCAAGTTAAAGCATCAAGGAACTTTAACAAAACACCGTTTAACTAAAAAAAAAACTGACCTGAAGTTAAATCTGCACGTGTGTATTGAACTCAAAAAAACCAAATTTTGTCGACGATAAACGAGGCTTTAAGTTAAAATATGACTTTTTTTCGGTGCAGTGTGCTTATTCTCTAATCTCGTAGCACTGTAATGTTTACATTACAAAATGGAAACCCCTCATTCTATTTCTCGCTTTTTTCTTTAATTTACACTGGAAAAAAACCACATTGGATCTAGAGTCCAGACTCTTGAAAACATTGACAAGAAAAAATACTCTTGATTCAACCAGATTTTTGCTTAAATCAAAAGGAAATCCGCTCAAATTAAGAGGCTTGGTTCTCGATTTAAGCAAACATACGATTGAATCAAGAGTATTTTTTTCTTGTCGATGTTTTTAAGAGTCTGGACTCCAGATCCAATGTGTCTTTTTTCCAGTGTATACATTGTTTCAAAAGTTCGATCATTCCTATCTTAAAAACTATATCACCATCTCGATCTCTTGCAAACTCATTATTTTAGTGGCTCTTGAGTTGATTATCAGTGAGTCTCGTATCACGAGCATCGGGCTTCTCTTGATGCCATCAATTGAGTTCTCGCCGGAGCTTCGGCCGGTGACAAGCCTTCATTCTGCCTCTCGACTCGAGCCCACCTCCTGCTGCAATCATCCACCCATACCTAGACCAGGTACTCGTTCAATCTTTAAAGTCTCTCGCTTCATTCTTGCTCCTCGCTCAAGTTCAGAAAATGATGTGTACACGGAAAAAAATAGGGTAGTCGACACAACCAGCGGCTGGTTAAAAATGCGCCAGCTACCCGTGCGGTAGTTACTATAACTACCGCGGTGGAGGTCACAACTAATCCGGTAGTTACATGTTGATGTACACAACTAACCCGGTAGTTATACATCAACGTAACTACCGGGTTAGTTGTGACCTCCACCGTGGTAGTTATCGTAACTACCGCACGGTAGCTGGCGCATTTTTAATCAGCCGCTGGTTGTGTCGACTACCCTGATTGTTGTTTTAAGTCTGGCAGTAGGCGGTTAAAAAGAAAAAATCTAATTGGAAACGTTTTTATTTCTAGAATCATTGCTATCAACCCTGAATCAGGTCATTTCGTATCCAGGTTTTACCCACCAAAAGCTGGAAAAGGTCGAGGCAACATCAATTACGTGAACACAAGTCTACGAGTATACAAGGTTCGGAAGGTTACGAATCTAAACGACTGGTCTTCGAATATTCCAACAATATAGTCCGGTCTACAACTACGAGCAACATCTATTTGATTTAACTTCATGCAGTCATAACAGTCTCATATAGAAACGATGAAAAATCCACCCTCTGACCTGAGTTCGCGCCACTTCTGTAAATAAAGGGCTGATCTTTGTATTGGAGATCGTACTCTATGTGACCCGATTCGTGGTGCGTCTTTGTGAAGCTCTCAATCGAGAGGCTCGCGCCGCATAACTTAACTCTGTAAATAATGCACCGGCAAGTAAGACGCCGTTCTTTCATACTCAAGCCAAGTCTCATCTTAAACTCAATTTTTCAGGAGTAGTTTTATTTTTGTGATGATTCAAGATAGCCGTGTAATGTATTTCGACTCGCGACCAGTGTTCGAAACTCACAGCGCGCCAAATGCGCCTTAAAAATCGGCCATGGCGCCTAAAAAATGAAGCCTCTGCGCCAACGTGGCCCCTAAAAATCTGGATTTTCTCAGGAAGTCATATAAAGAAAGAAAAACAAATCTATTTGAATTGAAAAAACTCGGAATTTTCAGCACTACAAGTGAAAGCTTGCTTTTTCTATTCTTCACGATTTCATTCCTAGCTGTGCTTCCCCAAGTTTCAGCTACTTACTAGTTCTGTTACGAAAATATCATGCGTCTAACTTTTCACTAAATGCGCCGTAATATATAGGCACAAAGTCAATTTGGCCCCTAAAAAATCTTCAATGGCGCCTAAAAATCGGGCTTGATGCGCCACATGGCTCCTAAAACTCAAGGGGGAGTTTCGAACACTGCTTGCGACGTCGTGAATTGTCCGTTATAGCTTTCTTCAATAAAAGTAAATCCAAGTTGACTTAATTCGTAAACTTTTGCCCGCGTTTTTTCTCTATTTTTCTCCTCCCTCTCGCTCTCTCTGAAAATATTTTCTAAAAATTCCGTGCAAAAATAAAAGTTAGTTTTCGCTTGGAACAGTGTATTACATCAAGGGGTTTTTCAAATCACCGCTCGGAGTGTTTCAGTCTCCCCATCAATTTGACACTAGCTGTACAATATACTTGCTCATGCTTTTCTCCCACATTGACATTAGGATCAATGTACTCAATTGGTGAAAATATTTTTCAATGTAAGAGTAGGCGCTGGGTGAAATACGGCGATTACTATATTCTTTTCAAAATTGTATTCAGAGCTCGATGTGGATTTGTACATCGTCGATGTGCTCATCAGAAAGAAACTTTTAAATTTATACTCAGGGAAAAGCAAAAACACATACAAGTACAATTCTCACGAAAGAATATCTCGAAATTGATGAAAGCATGTCGTTAGTATAACATCAGTATGGCATGTATACCATATGTAGGAAGAAGATCCGAGCAATATTGTCGAAAAGGGACACTGCCTTGCTTGTATTTTGAGGCAAAAATATGCCTATTTTATCGGTTTGAGTTCAGAACTAATGCGCTATAACTTTCCTGAATGAAAGTAGTACTAAACGATCAGTTTGTTTTATTTATTTATTTTTTTGAAAGGGGAGGAAAAATCAAGACTCTGAAAAATCTTACCGGTAATCCTTGCCGTCGTAGAAGTCCCAGGCGGATGCGTGACAGACGATGTTGTTCCTGTCTTTCGGTTTCTCCAGAATAGAGTACTCCCAGAATGTTTCCGGCATCGCGCTCAGATTCATTGACGTGAAAAACTCCTCTGCTAATCGGAACATTTTCCGCGGCGTGTAGCCCTTCAAAAGGCAATGATATTGATCAAAATCAATCACGGCTCTATTTTTTATTTTATTATAAATTGGACCGCATTAAGCAGAAAAAAACCAAGCCGCATTAGCTATTCCCAAATTTAATTGGACAGTTTTATCTTTTACATGAAAACGGTTGTCCGTATTTTTGTGCAAATTTCAGTGAATTTTCTTCACAATACTAAGCAAATTCCGTATAATTTTCAAAGGAATCCGCACAAACGTTCTCTTGTAAAAAATTAAATTACCTCCTTAAATTTGGCAATAGCTGATGTGGCTTGGTTCCCTTCTACTAAACGCAGTCCAATTATAATACATTACTGTCAGTTACTTTCCAACAAATTCAGTTTTCATTATCAGTCGTCAACTCAGAGGAAGCCAAGAGATGAAATAAATGAAAAACCATGCACCATAACAGTGTTTCACTGTCTTTTTTTGTCAGCCTCTCGTATGAATTTCGTTTTTAAAAAACAGTTTGTCATCGTAGACCACATAATGGTAAGTTAATTCATCAGAAATACATCAGTTAGACATACTTGCAACGTCTCGGTTCTAACGCTTGCAACGAAATATAGGTTTGAATTTCATTTCTCTTAAAATCTCTCTCAAAGGAGATAGAATCTTTGAAGATTTTGAAGTTCATCACCCTTTTTCACATTTAAAATATTTTTAGATTTCGAATTTTAAAGAAAAAACGTGTGGCTGTATCATCAAATGAAATACTCCTCACTTATTTTTATTTTAATTTAATTTTAATTTTTTATTTTTATTTAAACCTGCGACTTGGTCTTCCCTTTTAAATATTGTCTACTTCAAAGTCCAATCGCTAATATTATGTCGACCTTTATCCAGTCGTAGTATAGTGCGTACCTGATGTAACATCTGTGGAGTGACATCAACTGAGCTTTTCCCCGGGAATGGAGTGGTTAGATCATAGATGAGATTCCACTGCTGGGCCCACATGTTCCCTGCGTCACCGAAAAAAAAGAAGATATAAATCAAAAATACATTTAGTAGTTTTCATTACTTTTTTAGGCTCTGCAGTGATTTGCTTTGATCCCTGCCAAATTCGTGTTCCAACATTCTTCTGAATAACTATGGAAATCTTCTAACGTGTTCTGACTAAAAGAAAGGAGGATGCAATTTAAGAAAAAGCTATTTTAGACTCGTAGGGTTTCAGTTTACTTCAATGTAGCCTCCAGGCATAAGTAAGGAGGATGAGTGAAGATATTGATAAATACACTTAAAACGTTGATTACCTATTTGGTTTGAAAGCCAGCATCATTCCATTTTTTTTTTCATTTATTTTATACATCTGACGCACTTTCAACGTTTTGTGGCCATTCTCACAAGTTGGCAACACGGATTTGTTTAAATTTAAAGCCATCATAAATATCGATTCTAGATAAAACAGGCTACCTCATCCATAATCAATTGTTTCACATACATTTAAATTGAGAAAATTTTAATGGAGGAGTTGGCAGTGTTGCCAACTTGAATCTTACTATCCTACTAATCTCAAATTGAAGATTGACAGTAAGTCATTTTAACAGACGCAGTTCATTTTGACTGAGATAATCCTAAATCGTATGTAACTTAAAAATATCCCTGCAGCAAACAGAATTAGGAAATTAAAGAAATGAAAACAAATTGCGAACTGCTATCGTATCACAGTGTCTCTTCACTGAAATATCAAGCTCCACCAGGTTCTGAAATGTTCGATAAAAATTCCTGCCGCCGTTTTTAAAGAAAACCATATATAGTGAGGTAAAATTCATAAGTACCCAATAAGTGGGCTGGAATCGGTCTTTTTCTCGGGACAATATTTTCTCCATATTTTTCCCTCAATTTTCTACGTACATAAGCGTGGATTTGCAGGTACAGAGGTTTCAGTTGCTGCCACAAATGAGCAATCTCCTCCTGGAAGTGCGGATCCTCATAAGACCACAGCCAGTACTCAGCAGTGTCTGTAAAATCTGCAACAAAGAAATCATAGTCGAAAGTTCCGATTTTACCACACAAAAAAGAAGAAGAAGAAATGAACATCATAACAGCAACAATTTTTTCCCCCTCCGTGTTGCCAGTATATAATGCAGCTTTACCCTTTTTACTGGTAGAGAAAGAATCAACCTGCTAGCACTTAATTTTTAAGGCCCATAGTGGGTGCCGGTGCCCTCTATCGAATTATGAAAAATCGCCAAAATTTTGAAGACAATTGTTATTTAGTTTTTTTTCCCCCAAAACAAACTGAATAAAAAGAAAACGCGAATGGAGGTGTGCAATGTCGCAGCCGGAGATAAATCGGCTGTTTTGCGTGTAGTCAGCGATATTTGACTTCATTTACGGTAGGCGTACGTGAGATAACTATTCGACCACGGGAGATGTCCATATTGCCGCTAGCTGGAATTGAAGGCGCGTCACATTGCGACGGTGACATGACCACGCTGGGCTCTGACGCGGCGCTAAACTAGGATCACGCGTCGTAATCTTTGCTCGCTACCCGATTTTATTCATATCTAAGGGAAAATATTATATTAATTGAAACGTATGATAACCTCTGCATGTTAATTTTTTTTGTTTTAAAGAAAATGAAAAAAACTAGCCATAATACCGCCTCGACATTTCCTGCGAATATTTTTTAATTTACTTAGGAATATTCGTACAAATTGAAGAAGATTGTTATTTAGTTTTACCTACTCTTTAAAACAAATTGAATAAGAATAAAACGTGAATGGAGGTATGCAATGTCGCAACCGGAGATAAATTGGCTTTTTCGCGTGCAGTCAGAGCAGCCGTATTTGACTTTTTACGGTAGGCGTTCGTAAGATAACTATTCGATCACGGGAGTTGCCCATATTGCAGCTATGTGCAATTGAAGGCGCCTCTCGCTGCGACGCGTCTTTCCCCGTGAGCGATCACTAATGTCGGACTTCACCAGCTCATTCAATTATTGGTGCCCCTATTTTTCGCAATTCATGTTAGCATGACTTTTTGTCAATGCTGAAATCATATTTATGATAATTCTGTAAAAATTATTCATCTCTTTTTCATTTTTAGTTCCTGAAAGTTCAATCGGAAAGTGCCTAGCTCTTCGAGTTCACTCTTTTTCGTGATCTGAAAGCAACACCTGAACATGCTGCCTGATTCCTTCGGCTAGAATTCGGGGCGATTGCCTGTAAATTCTTGGATTAAGACAATTAATTGGGAAAATAATCTTACTGTTCATAACTGCGGCTTCGTTGGCCAGTTCGACGTATTTCGGGTATAAGTGCTTCACTTTTGCACCGCTGGCTTTGTGCCACTCGACCCAGTAATGTTTCAGTTCCTCAGGGTCCCGGCTTTGAGCTATTCTAGCTGTAATTTCTGGAATAAAAATTTGAAAGTTCCACATTATTGCACTTACATTGTGCCACATTTCGTCATTAATTTCATATTGAATTCATTAGAATGACCACTTTGGCGCATCTCCTGAGATAAGTGTTAATCCCCCCCCCCCCAATAATTGGGCTTTTTTACCTGAGGAGTTACTTGCTGAAGTATCAGGAAATAAAAATTTAGTCATTGACGAACTGTCATTGCCTTGATTTAAGTGCGTGTGGTTTATCAAAAAAAAAAAAAATAAAAAAAAGTTCTCCTGTTAATAAATTAATTCAACCCATGTAGATTGAGGCACATAATAATATCTCTCTTTTTCGAGTTTCCCCGCATTTTGTCTCTTTTAACTTTTAGACGAAACTCTAATTTGCAAGTGTAAGCACTGATCTCTCTCATAATGTTTCTCGCCCTCTCGCCTTCTTTTGAAAAAAATGATCATATGCTAACTGCGATCATTTCGAAGGAAGATTACTCTATCATATATTCATCCTCACCTGGCTCGAGGTGCATATCACAGTTGGTTTTATTTTTAAAATCGCAAACTTTAGCTTGGCTGTAGATGGACTCCATGTCCCCTAAGGTCTTTTGATACTGAAAATAAAGAAACAATTATTACATTCAGATTCGAATAGAATATTTCCCCCTATTTTTTGGAAGAGGAAGAATTAGTGGCATGGTTGAATTTTAACACAATAAATTTCCGGAAACAATTTTTAGGTTAGAGTCTTTAATTTGGAAGTATTCAACTTGTTTAAACTTAGCAATAGCAAAACAACGTTTCTATAACTAAAAAAAACTGACTTGTAGTTAAATCCGCACGAATTTAACGTTAGAAAAAAATTGGCCTCCGGCCAATTTATGCGCGGCGCTACGCGCCGGCATTTGGGGGGCTTCGCCCCCCCATCCGCTTAGCGGATTGGTGCGGGGACCGCACGGGACTTTCCCGCTCGAGGCGGCGCTTTGCGCCGGCATAGACACTTTTACTGGAATATTTAGAAAAATACTGCCAATTTTACAAAATCATAAAGTTTGATTGGAATTTTGATCACAGGATAATAGTTATNTCTAGAAATGATGAAATTTCAACTTTTTTTTTTTTTTTTTCTTGGAGGATGACAATACTTCCTCTCTACCCTAGGGGAGCGAGAAAGTAAAAACCAATTTTGTCGACAAAAAACGACTCTTCAAGTAAAAATAATGTCTCAAGATTTTTTTTTTCAGTCAAGCTGTTGTTAAAAGGATTTCCTAAACGTTGTTTGGCGATTTCAATATCTCTATGATTTTGAAATCTTTTCGCTTTTCATAGACATGATGTTCCTTTACGCAGTGTACAGTGTACCAGGTACATACTCGTATAATTATATTGACATAAATAAATAAATAAATGTATTTGCCAGACGTTATACCTCGATGAATTTTTCATCCGGCAAGGCTGCCGAGCCGAGGATGGCGAACATGGAGAACTGTCGTTTGATATCGTCGTTCTTGTAGCTCTGCCACGGGTATTTCATCATCTCTCGCCATTGCTCCTTTTGGAATCTTGCGTTTTCCGCCTCCACCGCAATCTGAAAGCATTCAAATTTCCATTTTTTTAGTTATGACTTTCATTAATGAGAGCTCAATGATGAAGTTAAACATCTTGGAAGCCTCTCACTAATGGCTTACAAAATGAAGGTATTATTATTTTAGTAATTAATGATCTTTACTAAGTGATAACTCCTGCACGTGTACACTGTGTTAAGCAATTAGGTAGGGATCTATCTTAAAATTTTAAAAACCTGCAACATATTTCCTCTCTTATTTTTTTATTGTTAGCAGATTGGTGTGATTCCTTATAAGGGTCTATACCTATGAAATGTTAAACAAGGTGACTTTCACTCGAATTTACGTTTTAGCCATTGTGAACCATCTCTTACTTAATAAAAGTAAACCACACGAGGTCTCCCTACACTGAAAAAAAAAAAACAACCATGGGCTACATATACATACCGTCTGATCGGGGCCCAAAGTTCAAAAGTTCAGGGCGCTGGAGTCGTAGCCTCAACAATTTTCCCGGGTTCAGTGGCCGGAACAACAGGTGCGACATCCGAAACTTTCGGTCTCTGAGCCCGGAACGGTCGGTAGTGAATATCACTCGTAAGTACGGCTTTCACAACCAGAATTTTTTTTTCGGTGTAAGGAATGGAGCTGTTGAGATAAAAATGATTTTGAATATGGCCATGAGACGTGAATACGAATGAATGTACCTGTTTGGCGAGGTTTTCTTCGGAGATGTTGGAGGCGTAATTCCAAGCAGCAAGCATGTTGAGGTTGGTCCTGCGATCCATCTCCTTGTTGAGGTAGTTCAAATAGTCGCGAGCCTCCACTTCGGCGTCGGTGTCCTGCTCGGGGTCCAGGCATATCCCGCCCCGCCAACTTCCCGCCAGCAGCAGCAACCACAGCCGCAGCAATGCCCTCATCCTGTGCAACAAATCACGTTTTGGAAGAAATTAGTCGGGAATAGCTTTGAATTAACCAGTCGAAAATTAAAAATCGAGGAAGATTCTTTTGAACGCGATTTAGTCGTTAAACTTTGTCCTCAGCATTAAATCTTATGGAGGGATACAATCGCAAACCTCTTTTTCGCAATCCAAACTTCATGTGACTTGACTTGGTCCGTTTCTTGTATCCAACTTAATCGATCTAGCAAATCTTAATACAATTTTGATGCGTATATTTTGATGTGAGTTCTGCCGTGTTAAGGAAGAACGCCGTATGAGCATTCGAGAATTCCAAAATTTCCCCAGATAAAACATGTATTTTTGAAATTTGGCAACGGCTGAAGGCTCTTACGGCGTTTTTCCTTAACACGGCAGAGTTGAGTATATAGATGACCAAGTAGAAAAGTGTGTATTTCCAATTATGGCGTTGCAAATCGTGGCCCTAGCATAATCTACTTTGTTTTTATTATTTCCTATTTTCCTCAGAAGAAAAAAAGTAACGGATATTTTTCCTCAACATTTTTCGTAAATTTTCTTCACTCTTTCAAAAATATTCACAGAGGATTCGAAAGGAATATTCTTAATGGTGTAGAGGAATCGGAATAAAATTTCAAAAGGAGTAATGTAAGTAAGGTTAAGAATGAAAACGAAATAAACAAAATGTGCAAACAGACTGAAACAGCACACAAAACGTCTGACAATTTTTGAGGTGGTCGTTTCGGCTCCGAATAAGATTTTATTTGTTCTACCAGAAAGATTTTTTGTTCGCTGTTTTATTGTCTATCGTATATGTGTTGTTTTTTTTTATCTTCCAGCCGTCAGTGCCCCTTCATTTTGCGGTTAGGCCAATTGTATAACGCATTCATATCCTCTCTCGTTACATATTGCAGATTTATCCACATCCATTTGAGCCTTTTAAGTTACTGCGTATTCCATCAAAGGCGCTCCGAAGTTTAATCGCAGTAAAAGGGGAAGGGTAGCTGGCCGGTTGTAATGAAATTAAGTGGACTTAAATTGCGGATGCTCAGAGAGCTTCTCTAGAAATTAAAAGGAGCACCTGAGACCTCCATGACCTTTTTCCTGCAGTGTCGATAGAATGCTTTTCCGCTCCCCCTGTGTTATATGTTGTCAAACGATGCAATAGTTGTATTGGGTTCTGTAGCCGTTATTTAATCATGAATAAAAGGAGGAGGTCCATCATTGGTCTCTCCGGGAAAAATTGTTTAGTTTCTTCCAAATAAACGAGTATACTCTTGCAAAAAGAATCGCTCCCTAAATTATTTTGAAAAGTCGAGCTAAAGTAATGTCAATGTACCAGCCATGTTCAAAATTCGTGAACGTTTACCTTTTTATGGGCTTTGAATGGAAAAAATCGGTATGAAAGTATTAGAGTTTTCCATGACAGTCTTTAAAAATTTGAGCTTAAAGTTGGTTTCAGGCCATCAAGTAGTTTTTTTGGTTTTTTTTTGGGTGTGTGTGTGTCGCATTACTCGTATTTGGTGGTTTTAAAATTTGGAATGAAAGAAATTTGACAGCGCAAGGAGGAAGAGTAATGTGGGGGACGAAATGACTTTTCGAGGATATTCATAACTTAAAATCACTTTCAAAGAAAAGCGATCTTTCCTCAGGTAACGTCCCTTATCTCAGGCACAAGTTAAGTTTACATTACTCAGAGAAAACACAGAGTGCACTGCAAAAAATCTCGGAGTGAAATCTAGAGCGCCTTTTACTCTGGAGCCTATTTTTCTCCCTCTTAGCAACCAGAGTGATATGTGTTCGAGGCGGAATTCACTCTTTTCGTGGAGTAACTTCCACTCTCCCGGAGCGAATTTCACTCGTCATTCAAATCACTCGAGATTTTTTAGAGGCAAAATAGGCAAAAGAAGTAGGGTCTTTCTGTAAATATTCTCTCTCAGCGCAGAAAATAACCTCCTGGAAAGCTTTTTTTCTGCTAGTTCCTCAATTGCGCACACCAATCAATGCTCAGCTCAATGAAAACCCGGAAGATTCGTTCATTCACATTTCATTGTAATAGGTACTCTCAATTCGAATGTTTCCGCCCACAGTGGTGAACCCGTCACAGGATAAAATCAATCGGAAGTTTCAGAATCGCAGGATAAATCAAAGATTCGTAGCGTGTTACATATCGCAGAAAGCAGGATTGATGGTAATTAGATGAAGGGGAAAAGGGGTTAGCGCAATTGGAATCGCGTGGCCGAGGGACAGGTCGCGGCTGGACGCGTCAAGGGATGCTGCCCAAGCGGTTAATCTTTTAATCTTCAGTTGATTGGATTTCATATTGTTTCTGCTCCAACAGCCCATGGCGTGATATGACCATTACCTTTGCGCTTTCCACTCATGACCTAGACTGCATCACGTGAAAATGAACTATTCCTACGATTTCTGGCTCATTTTGAAAGCAACATATTTGCCTTTGGTTTTCCTATTTTAACATCATTACCCTAGAGCCAAAAGGTGTACCTAAGTCCATGATAGTCATTGCGAGATATTAGGGAAATACCGTGTGTCGGCGCTGTTGACTTCAATGTAAATCGTAATTTTTGAAATTCCATTTCTTATGACCGGCGTAAGATGGGACTACCAACTTTTTCACACATGTGGAACCCTCATTGGAGAATTTCTAAAACGACCCGAACATCGATTTTTCAAAAATGTGGGTTAGGTACCTTTTGGCTATGAAATACTTCATTGTCGGATCCAGACATTTGAAACCAGAAGTGGGGGGAGAGGGGGTCTCTAATACAATTTTCGAAATTTCAAAGCATCAAATATGCAGTTTGAGTCTTCAGTAATTACTAAATATAAAAGTGACAAAATGTCAATTTGTAATATCACGTCACGTCAAATACATGAAATGTGACAAATACGAATGTGTAAGATAGTGTATCGAAAATTTTTTGGTCGTGACATTTATACTGCCATTGGAGCTCTTATTTAGACGACCGCGATTGCATTTCGGAGCGATTTCGGTGTGTCGTTCGTACTAAATCTCTAGGTAAGAGATGGATTAATTTCAAAAGGTTGTCTCCACTTTTCAGCCCTCTCCTCAACCTTTGCACAACAGGCTAGTGGCGTGGCGTCCTTTGCGATATATCAATTGATCTGCCATTTAAACCTGGAAAAATATCGATAAACCGGGTGTTTGCAACGAATACCTTAATAATAATCAATTCTTTACCATGGTCTCAAATGGGGGGAAAATCGATAATTGATCATTCACCCCTCGCCATTATAGCAGGTGTCAATCGGCACACAATGGATCGAGTCCATAGGAGAGTTTGGACATGAATTTCTGGACTAAAATTGCAAATTTTGATGTTTATTTTGACAAATTTTAAAATTTAGGAGGTTTTTTAAAGGAAATTTTACGAGAAAACCAATGGAACCTCTTTTAAAACCGCAACGTCTTGTACCAACGGAGTTATAAACTTTTTAAGTCTCCTGGCCGACTTCTTAAAAAGTCTCGTTCCATTGTACGGCACCACTCAGTATCTACTTGCTTCGTGACGGACCAGCGCACAACAACACAAGAAATGTGTCATCCATATTAATTTCCTTCATAATCCGTTTCGCATTTTATCTTGTGTAGTTTTGTCGGTTCGCAAAACGTTATCTGAAGATATGCGTGTTTCCTCAAAAATTTTGGAACTGTCTCAAGCAACTCATATCCCCAAAAATAATTTTGGGGGGGGGGGGAATTGCGCTCCCTTTTTCTTGATATGCGCCCATGAGTTATTTTAATCATGAGCTGATAACATAAGCTTTCATACAGACTCATACCTAACCGCGTCCAGATTGTTGGATGCTACGGGAAGTATGTATATGTATGAGCCGCTTTTGCGGCGCGCTAGGGCGCTCTGCGACGCCTACCCGCCAATAATTCCCTTATCATGGTAGAGATTCTCCGGATGCTACGGGAAGTAAAACACAAAATAAACCTAGCCTTCGATTGAAAATTTAAATAGAAAATAACAGCTAGTTCTCTTGAAGAAATTTAATAAAAAACGAGTGGTGAACACCTAAGTCGCGATTGAAGGAATGAATTTTCCCAGTCTCTCCATTGTTTTCTGCACGAATTCATCGCAAAATGTACCAAAATTAACACTTTGTGTTGGTTTGTGTTTCACTTCTTATTTTTATGTTAACCAAAATTAACACAAGAACACAAATATTTTTATGAGTGCAGATCAATCGATATATCGCAAAATACACAACGCCACTGCTGTAAAAAATCATAAAAATCAAATAGAAATTAAAGTCGGAACCAATGATATCTCTGCAATCATATCTTACGTGGAGTTATGTTCTTTCACCTGGAGAACGACGAATTATAAAAAATTATTAGAAACAAATAAAAATTAAATTCGGAACCAACGAAATCTCTGTAATCGTATCTTACGTGGAGTTAAGTTCTTCCGTCCGGTGAACGACAAATTATAAACAATTACATAAAACCAATAAAAATTAAATTCGAAACCAATGAAATCTCTGTATTTTAACATCTTACGTGGAGTTGAATTCCCTCGTTTGCACCGGAAAAAAAACACATTGGATCTAGAGTCCAGACTCGTAAAAACATCGCGACGGTGAAACTACCAAACCACGTATCTCGTTTGCGGTGTTTAAAAATTTACGCTCACATTTTATTTTTTTGAAGTTGACCAAATCATTATCATTCCTTGAAATTTTCACAGAATTTTCTCCGCGCGAAGAGGAAAAATCACAGAAATTTTCAAGACTGGACGTCAAGTAGTTTTCCATTTAAAAAATAAAGTATGGCAGGAAGTCTGCGACGTCGCAAACCGAGATACGTGGTTTGGTAGTTTCACCGTCGATCGACAAGAAAAAGTACTCTTGATTCAATCAGAATCTAGCTTAAATCAAGAACTAAGCCTCTTAATTTGAGCGGATTTCCTTTTGATTGAAGCAAAAATCCGATTGAATCAAGAGTATTTTTTC